CTTTAATATTTACATAATTGTTATGTTCACAGTTGCAAACTAATTAGGACGTATAAAACACATATGTTAGTTAGTAAGAGATTGACGGGCATGTTACAAATTTCTTTCACGAGTCAAGCATTTTAAGAGTTTTGAATCCATCACTTGAAAGTGATGAACTGACAAATTCTTGTTAATCAATGAGATTTGTTTAGCATGATATTTAATCAATCTGGAACTTGGAGAATCAGCTTTTTATTAATTATGAGTTTAACCTTGTGCTAACTCACGGAAAATGGAAACCAAATGATAGATAACTCTTTTCAAGGATTCTCCTGATCACTAATGAGATAATTTAGATTTCAAAACTTTTAACAACATGGGTGGCAGGCACAAATCCAAGCAATGAAAAATATCCCAAAATACTTGTATGAAATGAAAATCTTCACAAATTACAAACTATTGGTGGCTGACATGATCTTCATTTTTAGACTGTGGATGAGTTTTCAGGCATCATGCTTGCCTTAATTAAGTTCAGTGCTGTCTGTTTCCTTGTTCAGGTATATTCTTTCCTGTGCATGACTGATTGCACATCTATAGAAACATAAGAAGTATGATTGTCTTGTTATGAACATTTGCATTAAAGAGTTATTTCCCTTATTGACCTTAACATTTTGATTTTTTGTTTTTGGTTTCCAGGTGATAATGAAAGTACCATTTAAACCAATCTTTTTACATTTTAACACATTGTTATAAAACATTAAATACAGGTCACATTCAATTTAAAATGTGGTTATGTCATTTACTGTTAAAGAGTTTTTCTGCAAGCATAGTCATCTGTGATCAGTTGTTTAGTTATGTTTTACTGAATAGTTTATGTCTGAGTAACATGCTAGATAAGAACACTTGAATTTGGTGAGACATATATCCTTACATTCATTGGAATAGCCTTGATGTCCATTGACCTTATAAGGTCCTTATCTCTTTATTTTTTTGATAGACATATTTACGCTTTTGGTATTTAGCTGAACTTTGTCTCTGAATGACCCCCAGATCTGCCTCCAAATAACCAACTCTCTGACGTCAAGCAACAATCACTTTTAAATTTTGAAGTCAATTTTTTCAGGGGTTAAATTGTGATGCAATATCTCATTAATTTAGGATTGTATGGGGAATTCATTGTACATTACTTTGTCAGAAAAGGAACTAAGCTTCATAATTTCTTTGTTAATCAGTTCAAAAGTTTAGAACCAAAAACTCCTGCAGAGATCAGTAGTGTATAGTATTACCCCTGAACATGTTTTTGCATAATTTTATGTCATGGGTTACGATTTAAGTGTAGTTTGTTCCTTGATATTCTATTTAATAGTCTCAGTAAAAAAGTTTTATAGCTTGCAAGCTATTTGAAGCTATTAAGCTTTAAAATTTTATCACTTATTACGTAATAAAAGTCACACCTGTTTTATTATTTTTGCCATAAATTCTGATATTTTGATGATATTTGTATTATAAATGTTATGAACATTTACAAAATTTCTTTTGCTGTCATGTTTTCAGTTGTAAAAATCTGTCTTTCATTTGCTGACAATAGTCAATTATGAGGTTTCAAGAGCTATTTTTATACGACCGCAAAAAAATTTTGTGGTCGTATATTGGTATGACGTTGGCGTCGTCGTCGTCGTCGTCGTCGTCGTCCAGCGTCGTCGTCGTCGTCCGGCGTCGTCCGGCGTCGTCGTCCGAATACATATTGGTTTTCGCACTCTAACTTTAGTTTAAGTGAATGGATCTTTTTGAAATTTGACCATAAGGTTAAATACCACAAAAGGAAGGTTGGGATTGATTTTGGGGGTTATGGTACCAACAGTTAAGGAATTAGGGGCCAAAAAGGGGCCAAAAATGAGCATTTTCTAGTTTCCAGACAATAACTGTGGAACGGTGTATGGATCTCTCTGAAATTATACTACAAGTTTCCATACCACAAAGGGATGGTTAGGATTTGCTTTGGGGGGTTATGGCTCAAACCGTTTAGGAATTAGGGGCAAAAAAGGGGGAAAAACAAGGTTGTCCTGGTTAATGGACAAATACTTTAGTACAAAACATAATTTAAAGCAGTGTAAGGGAGATAAATCAAATACATCATTGAAATTATCTCCCTTACACTGCTTTTAAATTATGTATAAAGTAATGGTTAATGAACAATAAAGATAATCTAAAACAGTGTAAGGGAGGTAATCCAAATACAACGTTTTGGTTACTTCCCTTACACTGCTTTTAAATTATGTTTAAAGAAATGCATATTTATAAAGGAAGACCAGTAAAAATATCTGCAAATGTTTTCATCTTTTTTTTTTACAAAAAAATCCATATGAAAGATTTGACACTATATTTTTATTAATTCTATTATAAAATAGATTAAGTTAGCACTATGGTAAATTTAAATGGGTAATTATGGTTGCCAACTCCATTGGAAATTTGAATTGAGATTATGACCATATCTTGAGGGAAAGAATTTTTTTTGGGGAAAAAGGGGGGGGGGGGGGTGGGATAAAAAGAAATTGTGGGGGGCCAATTTTTTCTCATTTCAGATTTCAGAAATTAAAAAGAATTATTCTTCAAATGTTATTTTTTTTTCAAATTTCAAATATTGAAAAATTTCAAGAAGTAATCTTTAATTGCACAGTATGGCGCATTAGATTTGTAAAATCTTTGTTCACATTTATTTATTTGTTATGCCGAATCTAACAGTGTATTTGGATTTTTAATTTTGGGTCCAGTTTTCAAATTGGTCTACATTAATGTCCAAAGGGGCCAAAATTAAACTTTGTTTGATTTTAGCAAAAATTGAATATATGAGGTTCTTTGATATGCTGAATCTAAACATGTATTTAGATTTTTGATTTTTGGCCCAGTTTTCAAGTTGGTCCAAATTGGGGTCCAAAATTAAACTTTGTTTGATTTCAACAAAAATTGAATATATGGGGTTCTTTGATATGCTGAATCTAACCATGTATTTAGATTTTTTATTTGTGGACCCCGTTATCTAATTGGTTCATATTGAGGTCAAAAGGGTCCAAAATTAAACTTTGTTTGATTTCATCTAAAATTGAATTATTGGGGTTCTTTGATATTCCAAATCTAACCGTGTATTTAGGTTTTTAATTTTGGGTCCTGTTTTTTAAATTGGTCTACATTGAGGTCCAAAGGGTCCAAATTAAACTTAGTTTGATTTTAACAAAAATTGAATTCTTGGGGTTCTTTGATTTGCTGAATCTAAACATGTGTTTAGATTTTTGATTATGGGCCCAGTTTTCAAGTTGGTCCAAGATAGGGTCCAGTATTTAAACTTTGTTTGATTTCAACAAAAATTGAATATATGGGGTTCTTTGATATGCTGAATCTAAACATGTATTTAGATTTTTGATTATGGGCCCAGTTTTCAAGTTGGTCCAAATTGGGGTCCAAAATTAAACTTTGTTTGATTTCAACAAAAATTGAATATATGAGGTTCTTTGATATGCTGAATCTAACCATGTATTTAGATTTTTTATTTGTAGGCCCCTCTATCAAATTGGTTCATATTGAGGTCAAAAGGGTCCAAAATTAAACTTTGTTTGATTTCATCGAAAATTGAATTATTGGGGTTCTTTGATATGCCAAATCTAACCGTGTTTTTAGATTTTTAATTTGGGTCCCATTTTTTAAATTGGTCTTCATTGAGGTCCAAAGGGTCCAAAATTAAACTTAGTTTGATTTTAACAAAAATTGAATTCTTGGGGTTCTTTGATATGCTGAATCTAAACATGTGTTTAGATTTTTGATTATGGGCCCAGTTTTCAAGTTGGTCCAAGTTGGGGTCCAAAATTATACTTTTTTTGATTTCAACAAAAATTGAATATATGGGGTTCTTTGATATGCTGAATCTAACCATGAATTTAGATTTTTTATTTGTGGGCCCCGCAATCAAATTGGTTCATATTGAGGTCAAAAGGGTCCAAAATTAAACTTTGTTTGATTTCATCAAAAATTGAATTATTGGGGTTCTTTGATATTCCAAATCTAACCGTGTATTTAGATTTTTAATTTTAAGTCCCGTTTTTTAAATTGGTCTACATAAGGTCCAAAGGGTCCAAAATTAAACTTAGTTTGATTTTAGCAAAAATTGAATTCTTGGGGTTCTTTGATATGCTGAATCTAAACATGTGTTTAGATTTTTGATTATGGGCCCAGTTTTCAAGTTTGTCCAAGTTGGGGTCCAAAATTAAACTTTGTTTGATTTTAACAAAAATTGAATATATGGGGTTCTTTGATATGCTGAATCTAACCATGTATTTTGATTTTGGACATTGGACCATAATAGGTAAATTAAAAAAATTCAAGTTCTTAGACCACATTCTTTCTGTGTCAGAAACCTATGCTGTGTCAAATATTTAATAACAATCCAAATTCAGAGCTGTATCAAGCTTGAATGTTGTGTCCATACTTGCCCCAACTGTTCAGGGTTCGACCTCTGCGGTCGTATCAAGCTGCGCCCCAGCGAAGCATTTTATTATATTTCTAATGTACACTTAACAAACAGTGTTAGATGGGCCTTGGTATTGTACTCATTATAACATAATACAAGGGAACTCACATAGCTAGAATTCTGAAAAATTGCAGTAGGTCTAATATGTTAACTGCTGGGTCATAATATCAGATATCACAAGAAAATGCAGGACACTTGACCCTGCTGGGTCATAATATCAGATATCCCAAGAAAATGCAGGACACTTGAACCTGCTGGTTTTGATCCCTTACATAAAAAGATCACAATTTACGAACCCTATTACGGTTAAAATGATAAATAGACCTGCCACTCTCAATTTCCATATGGTCATTTATGCAATCAGTGTTGGATTAGTCCATATTTTTCGTCCTTTATGTAATGCTGTGGCTTAAGTATTTTTTTTGTCCTTATATTGCATTATTGTCTGCATGATGACATCTTTTTCGTGAGGTAATTTCTGATTTTTTTGTTTTCACAGATTCCAGGATACTCTAGTGTTAAACTTGTGAAAGGTAATAGTCGCAGGATTGTCAGGAGAGTTGGCCAATTACCAGAGAAAAGAGAGAAGCTTCTGGAATGGGTAAAACTGAGATATGGGGCTGTTACATCATTTGCAGAATTAGATAAAGGGAATCAAATCACACTCCATGTTGGTCCAGGTATTGCTGATTTATTTGCATAGAAATTCCTTATTTTTGTCTAGCCTTGACGGAGTCAAAAAGCGAGACATAGGTATGCTGTTTCCGGCGGCGGCGGCGGCGTCAACAATGTATTAGTTTGTGATTAGGTCTAGTTCATGGTGAACCACTAGCGGTAGGTCAATGATATTTGGTATGCAGTTGAATTAGCATTGGCACATCTCATTACCATGGAGATTATTTGGCCCCTCCCCCTCAGTCAAAGTCTATTGACTTTGAAACTTTTCATAGTTTACATGTATTAGTTTGTGATTAGGTCAATTTATGGGGAACCACTAGTGGTAGGTCAATGATATTTGGTATGCAGTTGTATAAGCATTGGCATATCTCATTTCCATAGAGATTATTTGGCTCCGCCCCCTTAGTCATGGTCTATAGACTTTGAAAATTTTGCTAAGTTAACATGTATTAGTTTGTGATTAGGTCAGCTCAAGGGGAACCATTCGTGGTAGGCCAAGGTTAATTGGTGTTCAGTTGTATAAGCATTAGCACATCTCATTTCCATGGAGAATATTTGGCCCCACACCCTCAGTCATGGTCTATTTACTTTGAAACTTTTGCTTAGTTTACATGTATTAGTTTGTGATTAGATCAGTTTAAGATGAACTGCTAATGTTAAGTCAATGATATTTGGTATGCAAATTTATTGGCATTTGCAATTATTGTTTCCATGGAGATTATATAGTCCCACCTCTGATCATAGTTCATTGACTTTGAAACTTTTACATAGTTTACAAGTTAATGTTAGTGTTTAGGTTTGTTTAAAGGGAACGACTTATAATAAGTCAATGGTATTTGGTATGCAGTTGTATTAGCATTGGCACACCTCATTTCATGGAGATTGTTTAGCTATGTACCTTCAGTCATGGTTCATCGACTTTGAATATTTGCATAACTTACATGTTAAAGTATTGCTATTTTAATTTCAATATTTGCATTATCAAAATTACAAAAAGGCGAGACATATCTCTGTGATAACAGTTTATTATAGGAAAGTTTTGAATTCTTACATAAAAATTGGTTTCTTGTAACTCTGAATTTGACCTGTAGCATGGTATCTAATCCTGAATCACCTGTAGTAAGGAGTATAATCCTCGCTTGCACCCTTTGAATGACTGAATCACCTGTAGTAAGGATAATAATCCTGACTGATGTCAACGTATATTTGTTCCGCCTAACAGAAGTTCCACTGGAAACTTTGTTATAAACAATGTCATAATATCTGTTCCTGTCAGAACAAATATTCTATACCATTTATTCTGTTAGGAACATTTACTGTAATATTTATTCCAGTGGAAATAATATTCCAGAATATTGTTTCCATTTGGAACTTACATAATGAAGGAACTTCTATTCCGTGACAACTTGCACCCTTTGAATGACTGAATCACCTGTAGTAAGGAGTATAGTTTTCACTTGCACCCTTTGAATGACTGAATCACCTGTAGTAAGGAGTATAGTTCTCTCTTGCACCCTTTGAATGACTGAATCACCTGTAGTAAGGAGTATAGTCCTCACTTGCACCCAGTGAATGACTGAATCACCTGTAGTAAGCCGTATAGTCCTCACTTGCACCCTTTGAATGACTGAATCACCTGTAGTAAGGATTATTATCTTCACTTGCTTTGAATGACTGAATCACCTGTAGTAAGGAGTATAGTACTCACTTGCACCCTTTGAATGACTGAATCACCTGTAGTAAGGAGTATAGTCCTCACTTGTACCCTTTAAATGACTGAATCACCGGTAGTAAGGAGTATAGTCCTCACTTGCACCCTTTGAATGACTGAATCACATGTAGTAAGGAATATAGTCCTCACTTGCACCCTTTGAATGACTGAATCACCTGTAGTAAGGAGTATAATCCTCACTTGCACCCTTTGAATGACTGAATCACCTGTAGTAAGGATTATGATCCTCACTTGCTTTGAATGACTGAATCACCTGTAGTAAGGAGTATAGATCTCACTTGCACCCTTTGAATGACTGAATCACCTGTAGTAAGGAGTATAGTACTCACTTGCACCCTTTGAATGACTGAATCACCTGTAGTAAGGAGTATAGTCCTCACTTGTACCCTTTAAATGACTGAATCACCGGTAGTAAGGAGTATAGTCCTCACTTGCACCCTTTGAATGACTGAATCACATGTAGTAAGGAATATAGTCCTCACTTGCACCCTTTGAATGACTGAATCACCTGTAGTAAGGAGTATAATCCTCACTTGCACCCTTTGAATGACTGAATCACCTGTAGTAAGGATTATGATCCTCACTTGCTTTGAATGACTGAATCACCTGTAGTAAGGAGTATAATCCTCACTTGCACTCTTTGAAAGACTGAATCACCTGTAGTAAGGAGTATAGTTCTCACTTGCACCCTTTGAATGACTGAATCACCTGTAGTAAGGAGTATAATCCTCACTTGCACTCTTTGAATGACTGAATCACCTGTAGTAAGGAATATAGTCCTCACTTGCACCCTTTGAATGACTGAATCACCTGTAGTAAGGAGTATAGATCTCACTTGCACCCTTTGAATGACTGAATTACCTGTAGTAAGGAGTATAGTACTCACTTGCACCCTTTGAATGACTGAATCACCTGTAGTAAGGAGTATAGTCCTCACTTGTACCCTTTAAATGACTGAATCACCGGTAGTAAGGAGTATAGTCCTCACTTGCACCCTTTGAATGACTGAATCACATGTAGTAAGGAATATAGTCCTCACTTGCACCCTTTGAATGACTGAATCACCTGTAGTAAGGAGTATAATCCTCACTTGCACCCTTTGAATGACTGAATCACCTGTAGTAAGGATTATGATCCTCACTTGCTTTGAATGACTGAATCACCTGTAGTAAGGAGTATAATCCTCACTTGCACTCTTTGAAAGACTGAATCACCTGTAGTAAGGAGTATAGTTCTCACTTGCACCCTTTGAATGACTGAATCACCTGTAGTAAGGAGTATAATCCTCACTTGCACTCTTTGAATGACTGAATCACCTGTAGTAAGGAATATAGTCCTCACTTGCACCCTTTGAATGACTGAATCACCTGTAGTAAGGAGTATAATCCTCACTTGCACCCTTTGAATGACTGAGTATAAGCAATATATTTTTTTTCCTTTGTATATAAAAAATATTATTACTTATTAGGCAATAAAGGTATTTTGAAGGTGCAAATTAGAACACAGCTTTGTTTACAAAGCAAAAGGAAAACACATAAAGGAATAAATCAGTTGTACATGAAAAAGAGACAATAGATTTATTTTCCCTATTTGTGAAGAACTGTGCTGTCTAAAAATATAACAATTTAAAAAGGAAAAGAAAAACGGAAATGAGTGATGCCATTATTTTTGTCAAAAGGACAGAAGAAAAAGTTTTGATAAAGTAACATACACACCTGTGTTTGTTTATTTTAACACCATTTTATTTTTGTAATTTTAGATAACACTGCAACAAGTGTTTGTGAAGTAAAAGATTCTCAAGCAAAGACAGTTGAAGCCATTTATGAAAAGCCAAAACCTTTTGCAGGATGTATGGTTCCGCCAAGGTCAAATATTATGGAAAGGTTTGTTTAAAATTCTATGCTATACATTGGCTAAATTTTCTTTATACTGTAGGATTACAGGCACAAGAAAATAAATACTGGTAAGCCTTCTCTATCTACCTTTAAAGAGAGGTCTCATATATACTTCCTGGAACATTGGTGTATGTTTAGCTTTACCTCAGAGATAAGATGAAGGAGAAGTAAAAAATCTGTTCCTTTCAAAAGCTTCTCTATGACCACATTTTATTCTTTGTTTTACTAAAGATTTAGTTGCTTCAGGACTTTCGGTCATTTAACCTACCATTTGAATAAATTAAGAAATTTCTGTCAGCTTTCATTTAAATTTTCATTTTAACGGGATAAATTTCATATTAGAGTTTACTTCTTTGATATTTAGTAGGCTATACAGAGAATCACAAAAGCGCACCACCACTTTACATTTTAACAGGGTAAATTCCATATTAGAGTTTACTTCTTGGACATTATGTAGCCTATACTGAGATTCACAAAACTGCACCACCACTTTTCATTTTAATAGGATAAATTCCATATTAGAGTTTACTTCTTGGACATTATGTAGCCTATACTGAGATTCACAAAACTGCACCATCACTTTTAATTTTAACAGGGTAAATTCCATATTAGTGTTTACTTCTTGGACATTATGTAGCCTATACTGAGATTCACAAAACTGCATCACTTTTAATTTTAACAGGGTAAATTCCATATTAGTGTTTACTTCTTGGACATTATGTAGCCTATACTGAGATTCTCAAAACTGCACCACCACTTTTCATTTTAACAGGGTAAATTCCATATTAGAGTTTACTTCTTGGACATTATGTAGCCTATACTGAGATTCACAAAACTGCACCATCACTTTTAATTTTAACAGGGTAAATTCCATATAAGAGTTTACTTCTTGGACATTATGTAGCCTATACTGAGATTCACAAAACTGCACTATCACTTTTAATTTTAACAGGGTAAATTCCATACTATTGTTTACTTCTTGGACATTATGTAGCCTATACTGAGATTCTCAAAACTGCACCATCACTTTTAATTTTAACAGGATAAATTCCATATTAGTGTTTACTTCTTGGACATTATGTAGCCTATACTGAGATTCACAAAACTGCATCACTTTTAATTTTAACAGGGTAAATTCCATATTAGTGTGTACTTCTTGGACATTATGTAGCCTATACTGAGATTCTCAAAACTGCACCATCACTTTTAATTTTAACAGGATAAATTCCATATTAGAGTTTACTTCTTGGACATTATGTAGCCTATACTGAGATTTATAAAACTGCACCATCACTTTTAATTTTAACAGGATAAATTCCATACTATTGTTTACTTCTTGGACATTATGTAGCCTATACTGAGATTGACAAAACTGTATCATCACTTTTAATTTTAACAGGGTTAATTCCATATTAGTGTGTACTTCTTGGACATTATGTAGCCTATACTGAGATTCTCAAAACTGCACCATCACTTTTAATTTTAACAGGATAAATTCCATATTAGAGTTTACTTCTTGGACATTATGTAGCCTATACTGAGATTCATAAAACTGCACCATCACTTTTAATTTTAACAGGATAAATTCCATATTAGTGTTTACTTCTTGGACATTATGTAGCCTATACTGAGATTCACAAAACTGCACCATCACTTTTAATTTTAACAGGATAAATTCCATATTAGAGTTTACTTCTTGGACATTATGTAGCCTATACTGAGATTTATAAAACTGCACCATCACTTTTAATTTTAACAGGATAAATTCCATACTATTGTTTACTTCTTGGACATTATGTAGCCTATACTGAGATTGACAAAACTGCATCATCACTTTTAATTTTAACAGGGTTAATTCCATATTAGTGTGTACTTCTTGGACATTATGTAGCCTATACTGAGATTCTCAAAACTGCACCATCACTTTTAATTTTAACAGGATAAATTCCATATTAGAGTTTACTTCTTGGACATTATGTAGCCTATACTGAGATTCATAAAACTGCACCATCACTTTTAATTTTAACAGGATAAATTCCATATTAGTGTTTACTTCTTGGACATTATGTAGCCTATACTGAGATTCACAAAACTGCACCATCACTTTTAATTTTAACAGGATAAATTCCATATTAGAGTTTACTTCTTGGACATTATGTAGCCTATACTGAGATTTATAAAACTGCACCATCACTTTTAATTTTAACAGGATAAATTCCATACTATTGTTTACTTCTTGGACATTATGTAGCCTATACTGAGATTGACAAAACTGCATCATCACTTTTAATTTTAACAGGGTTAATTCCATATTAGTGTGTACTTCTTGGACATTATGTAGCCTATACTGAGATTCTCAAAACTGCACCATCACTTTTAATTTTAACAGGATAAATTCCATATTAGAGTTTACTTCTTGGACATTATGTAGCCTATACTGAGATTCATAAAACTGCACCATCACTTTTAATTTTAACAGGATAAATTCCATATTAGTGTTTACTTCTTGGACATTATGTAGCCTATACTGAGATTCACAAAACTGCACCATCACTTTTAATTTTAACAGGATAAATTCCATATTAGAGTTTACTTCTTGGACATTATGTAGCCTATACTGAGATTTATAAAACTGCACCATCACTTTTAATTTTAACAGGATAAATTCCATACTATTGTTTACTTCTTGGACATTATGTAGCCTATACTGAGATTGACAAAACTGCATCATCACTTTTAATTTTAACAGGGTTAATTCCATATTAGTGTGTACTTCTTGGACATTATGTAGCCTATACTGAGATTCTCAAAACTGCACCATCACTTTTAATTTTAACAGGATAAATTCCATATTAGAGTTTACTTCTTGGACATTATGTAGCCTATACTGAGATTCATAAAACTGCACCATCACTTTTAATTTTAACAGGATAAATTCCATATTAGTGTTTACTTCTTGGACATTATGTAGCCTATACTGAGATTCACAAAACTGCACCATCACTTTTAATTTTAACAGGATAAATTCCATATTAGTGTTTACTTCTTGGACATTATGTATTAGCATTAGCCTATACTGAGAATCACTTTCTGCACCATCTTTATACCGACACAATGGTAATTCATGATCACGTAATTCATGCTCATGATCAAAATAAGTATTTGTTGGAAATTTAGTCCAAAGCTGAAGGAAAAAATAATGATTTATAGTGGCACCAGAGGTTTTCACTATGTGCAAATGAAATATCATAGATTTAACTTTTTATCCCTCGCCGTAGCGGAGGTGGCATTAAGTTTTACCCTTGTCCGTCCGTCCGTCCGTAGTCCAAAAGTTGGTTTCCATTCTCTAACTTAAGTTTGCCTCAATCAAATATTAAGAAACTTATACAGAATGCTTATTATCACAAAACACAGATCAAGTTTGAATTTTGATGGCGTCACTTTAACCGTTCTAGAGTTATGACCTTTAGAAATTGAAAAATTGCTGATTTTTTGTTTCCGTTCTTTAACTTTAGGTGTCTCAACCAAATGTTATGAAACTTATACACAATGCTTATTACCACAAATCACAGATCAAGTTTGAATTTTGGTGGTGTCACTTTAACTGTTCTAGAGTTATGCACCTTTACAAACGGAAAAATTGCTGAATTTTTGTTTCCGTTCTCTAACTGTAATTTGCCTCAACCAAATGTTATGAAACTTACACACAATGCTTATTACCATAAAACACAGATCAAATTTGAATTTTGGTGGCGTCACTTTTACCTTTCTAGAGTTATACCCCTTTACAAATGGTAAAATTGTTGAAATATTCGTTTCTGTTCTCTAACTTAAGTAAGCCTCAACCAAATGTTATGAAACTTAAACACAATTCTTATTACCACAAAACTCAGATCAAGTACAAATTTGGGTAGTGTCACTTTTACCGTTCTTCAGTTATGTCCCTTTATAACTTTGTATGATATGAAAGCGGGGGCATCATCTGTGTCCCTTGGACACATTCCCCATTTATGTTTTCTTTGTGGATCTAGAAAACAGACCCATTTTAACTATTAGCTAACCTTTTATATAGGTCAATGTAAGCTATCACTTTTTTCCCTTTTTATTGTTGTCCATCTGTGAGCATTTTCTATGAAACCACTGTGCAAATTAAAGATTTTTGTCTCCCTTATGACGAAAGGCAGGGAAGGCAAGACATAGGTGTTGCTTTTCTGGTGGGGTCAAATAGGAACTACTTGTGATAGTTCAATGATATTTTCTATAAAGTTGCATTACTATCAGTACATATCAGTTTGACAACTATTTCGAGGCCTTGCCCCCTAAACACCTGATTTTTTAGGGGGAAAATAAAAAAGAAACTGTCTCTTGATTTTCTAAAAGTCTAAATATAAAATGTTAACTTTCACTTTCTTATCATTGGAATGTTGATCATTTGTTTATAGTTGCATTTATTTCACACGAAATTATTTCAGGATATATTATCTGAAATTATTAAAACACTTGGACTTTTCCATTTTGAATTGAAACTTCTTAAACAACAGCCAGGCTTTTCATAATATTACTTCAAAAAAAATATTTGGAATTTACCTCTTTTATTTCATTTTGTCATAATAGATTTGCATGCGGTCTCATTTTTGGATTGAATAAAATGTTTGCCGTGGCCATTTGCAGGCACAATTGAAGAAATAATGAAGCATAAAGGTTAGCGCATTCCGAATCTGAAAACGACAACTTTCAATGAAATGTTGGATTAAATGCCCCCTTATTATCTGCATTGATTTGCAAATGATCGCTGATCGCAAATGAGGTCACGGAATAAATATTTGTGATTTTCATCGGACAAGACCTTTATCGAAATGTACAACATTGAAATAAACGGCTGTTGAACCCATGTTGCTCCACGGAGGAAGCCATTACTTTCCCTCAGCCGTGAACGAAGTTTCAACTGTATTTTTCTTATTTTAAACCGTACGATTGCACAAAACAAAGCATAGAAACAAATTTCATAATACGGTCCATGACTGCATCAATTTTCTCGTTAATACGCCCTGTCAATTCGTTTAGAAACTGATTTTAAAAATACCTAAAAAACAATGCCTTGAGGCATAAATCGTTGGGGCAACAGGAGGTGATGCCTTGAGGCTTTGTTGGGGCAGGCGCCTGGCGATGCCTCAAGGCATCATTTCGGATGAAAGGGTTAAGTTAGTTTGAATAGAACTACTTGTGATAGATCAATGATATTTTCTATAAAGTTGCATTACTGTCAGTACATATCAGTTTGACAACTATTTTGAGGCCCTGCCCCCTTTTTGATGGGCCAGTGACTGAATTAATTAGCAATGTTGCTGTCCATCAGATTGTCTTTTTCTGAATTATCTGCCGACAGGCGAAACATGTCTCTGTCAACAGTTTATTTTTGATAATCCTTGGATGACTAGTTTCAGATGTGTTCGCACCATTCCTGCCTGTCAATAAACATACTCATCATTACTAACATAAGAACATAAAAGTGTAATGCAAATAATGTTAAACATCTTGAAATTGTAAAATTTGAAGAAAAATTTGAGGCCATAAAAAAGAATAGGTTGGTTTGCCCTCACCCGACCGACCCATAAAAAAGCACCCGAGTCAAAATCTTTTTTTAATCAAAATTCGAGATGTTTTTTTTTTTTTGCGGAGTTTTGTCGTTGCCGGGTCCGTCTTGAGTTTGTTGCATAGAATAACCTGATCCGATCTGACCGCGCTTTATCACAGGACAATTTGTGTTATGTATTAAAGCCTCCAATTGATACGGATCAAAAACAACATGTTACCGTCTAGTACAAATAATGGTTGGATTAAAAAACCTGTAGTTTCTAACAAATTCTATCGTTTTGAAAACGCAAAAACATGGAAAGAGGTGTGTGATGACAATTTCATGCTACTGAAAACTGATGAAATTTATGTGACTGTCTCAGACCGATCGGGACACTCGTTTGAGCCCGATTTTGAGGAACCAATCCAAGTTGTTCAGGAATTTGATTCGGCATTAAAATTTGATTAAAATGATATTATTCTGACAGAAGTTCTGTCAACAATGTTTTGTTCAAGTGTTTTGTATTTCAATTTTGTATTCAAATAAACTTCTTAGTATGAGCCGCCTTTAATTAGGAGAACCTCCAAATATCTATGGAGTTTTTCCTTAACTTTAAAATTTTAAAGAAAAATACAAAAACATTTTTTCCAACATATGAACAGAACATATAAATATAAAACAATAAAAGTATCATGCATGGCATATTTACAGGGACCTTTTTATTAATTATCTAATTTCATTTTCATAGCTTTTAATATTTGTCCAGAGCTTCTTTACATTTCTTACAATTGTTTTATGACAGACTCTGTGTTGGTATATATATGTCACTTATGATAATCACTATTTTCATTTGTTTGTCATTTCCTCCATTTTGAGATATATGTATATATATATGTATATGCAATATATGTCTTGCTATTTGTTGTCCATAATTTTCAATCTTTCTATATTATATGCATTTGGAATAACATATTTCTGGTTTTGTTTTCAATATTTTCCTGGAATTTTTTACAGTTATCAAACAGCTCCTTATATTTTGAACAGTCTATAAGCAATTGTACTATCACAGTTTTGTTCGTGAAGGTGCAGTTCCATTTTGTTGGTGTGATTTTATCAGTGATCTCTTTTCTTATTTCAGGGAAATATTTTTCTCTCGTAGTACTGAGTATAAACTCATTTAAAATGTTTGTATTTACAATGTAAACATTCAGAAAAAAAGTGTGAACATTGAGGTGGAATGCTGAAAAAAAACTGTTAATAGAAAAGATCTTTATAGTACATATAGATCCTGGCATAAAATTTGTGTCTGACAATTTATACAAAACTCTATAATAGTCTTTCATTTTAAAGTTGTTTACAAGGTAAAATAATTTTCCCCCCTATTTTTCTCTAAAAGTATAAAAAAAAAAAAAAAAATTTCCCTACCTACCTACCCACACCTGAGACTGGTGGGAAGGGTTTGGGCAAACAGAAATATTTTTAAGTCTGGCCTGATGGAGTGAAGATGCTCAGAAAGTCAAGATCTGCCTACTTTCCATTGACCTAAAATATAGCGGACAACTCTTTAAAGGAGTTATTGCCCTTATATGCTAAGTTTGACCAATGTTAGCATTTATTGAATGTTATAAACATTTTGAATCTGCAAATAAAACTTCAGCAGAAATTGTCTAGAGAGATGAAAGTAGTATTAATTCGATTTGAAATCAATTATATGTCATATAGATGAAATTTGCATAATGAAGATGTCGATTACAAAGTTGATAGCTCATAAAATATTTATCAAATTTCAATATTTTTAATTCATTATTATCATAGGATCAAAATTTATTATTACATATTTCTATTAAATATTTATATTTATCATATATAATGTGAACTTCTTTTTCAAATTGATAAGATTAGTGATTTTTTAGACAGCTGTTTGCCGGAAGTACACAAACAATGTGTAAAAAATACTGTTGTTTGATTAGGTCGGCAGAGCGTATAATTTTATGGTTGCTTTGATATAGAATTGGAAACATTTAAGGATATGATTTGATTTAAAAAATAAAAAATCTGTATTTATATGATTTGAAAACCTCCTGTAAATACTTAATAGAAAATACAAATAAGTATAAAAGGAGGTGTGAGGTATATGTCAAGAGAAGCAGCAAACCAACAACATAATTAAACAAAGTATATTTGTAATCAAGTTTTCATTGCAGGCTTGCTTATGTGATAGAACTGGAAAAGGAAGATCAAAGTACAGAACATATAGAAATTGAAGATGTGGAACTTGAAATCAAAAGTGGTCGAAGAAGAAAAACAAATAGAAATTTTTATCTTGTCCTAAAATCTCCTTGGAGGAATGTCACTTGGAGAGTAAAAACCAAAAGATTAGAAGGATATGCAGAAATAGTTGTAAGTACATGTTTGTCACTGAACGATAAAAAGGTTAGAATAGAAAAATATATGTACAATAGAAAAACAAAGGATATAGGGTATCCATCCATGACACAAAAAACACACAAAAAGCAAAGTAACAGCACTTTTATTGCTGTTCTTCATCTGAAAGTCACAGTGGGGCCTTCAACACGTAGCAAAAAAACTCTCACCTTATTGCAAGTTTAAGACTGCCCCTAGCACCAGTTTTTTAGCGGAATTCTTTACAAAATGATTTGGATAGACTTTGTAAGATGTAACACCACCAAATCAGGCTCGGTCAAAAAAGAACATACTGGAAAGTAGTACATATTTAAAACAAAAAAGTTCCTACATATCAGTGTAGATATCAAACTATGTAGAATATATTTTAGTAATTAAGGTATCAAATGAAAGGCGAAGGACTGGTGATCCTTGTAGAACACATATTGACTGGTAATTTTGAATAATACAAAAACATATGAGTGAATTATGAGTGAACTCTAAGATTGAGGGCATCGTCTATGATTGCAAGTTCATGACATTTGGGGATTTCCAATTTATTTGTGATGTCATGCAAAAGTATTTATCATCGGCAATGTGCTACTTCAAAAAAACTTAACCATATATTTTTCATTGCATTTTCACTAATATCGCCTTGAAAAAGAGAAGTTGAGTATGTTCTTGCATATTATTTGTTGAAACGTCTATTTCCACTATTACTGTTTTTATTCCTCTCCTAGAATTTCTTCGAATTCTTGGAAAAATCCTTTCAGCAATGTTATTGACATCTCAACAATGAGTCATCATCTATTTTTAGGTTATGTGGCGTTCTTTTTCCTTTTTTTAAGGCCAAAAGTATTATTTTTTAAAGTCTATATGTGAGCGGATGTTTTATGATCAGAAAATGATTTGATATATTTTGATAAAACAAAACCTGCCAAATATTGGCTCGAAAAAGTAATTTATGAATCCTATGCCATTTAATGCAAATTGAATGAAAAAATACTTTGATGCATTAATGACAATGTGACATCGTTATAGTTATCTTAAACGTGTTTAAAGTGTTTAATTCTGGATTTTCAAATTGACCATTGAAAATCACGTGTAAAAAGTATGGAGAATAAAAAAGTTAGTATGTCCCAATTTCTCTTTTTTTTTTTCGTGATATTCATTTGTTACTTGATCTCAAATTTATTCTGTAATGTTCAAATGCATAATACAATAGGCCTGACCTATATATTGTTGCACATGTACAAAAGCCACGGTCCAAGACAAAGGTCACGAACTTACAAGCATGTCTACTTAATTTACAGAATCGGGTCACAATACGAAACATAGACAGATTGACCATGTTTCTGAAGCTATTTATCAATTAAGTGTATCAGACTGTTTGCAAATAAGTAAAGAATATTTCCATTCACACTGGATACTATTTGCTCCAAGGTCATACTTGCCAACCTCTGACAATGAGAAATCATGTCATGACATGACATGACATGTCAAAAAGCGTGTGACGTAGAAAACACATTATACAAATTTGTTAACATAAAAAACAATATTCTACTATAAACTTTTATTGTATTCAACAATGGTCTGTTTTGGTGCTTTTAAAGCAACACCACTAAGTACAAATTCAAAACAACTGCCAGTTTGCTTACATTTACTTGATAACAACTAAACAAGGCTCACAATATATCATTGTCAAGTTCTGATCAGAATTCAGTGTGAATTTCTTTATAATTGAAAATGCTTTCTCACAGTCAGAATTTATATTGGCTGAACTAAAATCGCTTTATCAAACTTTAAAAGAGTGTCATAACGTTTTTTTGCCATCTAAAATGTCATCTATTATCTCTACCATTGCATTAGTAGGCATTACTCCCAACAAACTATATATGTTGATATTGCCTGGTCAAAACTAGGTAGTTCATCAGAAGACAGCTGGTACTAATACTATGAGAACTGATCCAACAGTTCCGTGATATGTCCATCCCCTATGGCTGTGGAAATCTGTTGGCTAGATTTGAAACTGAAAAAGAAAAGTATTTTATTATTTGATTACCATTAAACACGTTGAATGCTTTATCAAATAACTACATTGTAGTTCTCCTCTCACATGTATTGTTATGATTGCAACATAGGGTTCACAATGCGTTACTCGTCCCTCGATCATTTAAACTCGAACTCCCAAATATAATTTATAAATCTTGAAACTTAGACGTACACATCGTTTTCACTTAACAATCGGCTCTTTAGACGACGGTACAGGTCCTGAAAGCGACCTCTTTCTGTGGACATTTCCCCTACGTGAATTTGAAAGAAAGAAAGTCACAAAATCGTAAAAACTAATCACAAACTACTTACCTTAAGTGCTTTTTGCTGTTCGTCCATATAGAAAAATAAACAATGGTGAACAAACAATTACTTCGAAATTTTTGGTATTTATCATCTAATAATGAAAAAACCCGAGAATCGCGATATCACTAACGACCAAAAAATCAAAACAACGAAAAAGCGTGTAATAGCGTGTAAAGTGGTGAAAAGCGTGTACACGCCATGTGACAAAATCCTCACGTGTAAACCGTTGAAAAAGCGTGTATTACACGCGAATATCATGTCAGTTGGCAACTATGTCCAAGGTTGTGATTTATTTCTTCCCTTTTCAAGTTAGGGTAACGAACTTCTAATCATCGATGACATATATATCCTGTTTCTCAGATATGAAGTACCTGGTATGCATTTATTTGTTAAGATTATCTTCTTTGTTAAAAAGAATAGCCAATTTAAATTCAATTTTGAGCAGGACAATACTATAAGATTTCTTAAATTGGAAAAGCAGGGGTATCTTTAGTGAGCAATAGCTCACAGTTACTTCAACTTGTTTAACCACATTGGGGGTAAAATGTTAAATTTCAATAAGTACGAAGGTTAAACTACAACAGCTCAATTTCAGTTGTCAAATAATTATACCCCACCTCCCTTAGCATGTGCATTCTTGTTTTCTCATTCCCCAAATACCTCAATAGGTACTTTTTGTTGAGGTCTTCTTTTGTATACTTTTTGTGTAATCTCATATACATGTATAACCAATACTATTTACTGGATTCAAAATTTTATGATTTTTCAGTTTTTTGTCTTTTAACAAACTGTACATATTTTTTAGTCTAACAGCAAAATAGATATATCAGGAATTAAGATGGATCCTGTTAGTGAGAGGATTGAAGATTTTACAGAAACAGGACAAAAATTCCTTAAGTGGGTGGAAAAATATGTTGGTCAAGTAGCTATGTATACTGCTATTCATTCAGCTAATAAAATAAAAATGGTCATACCAGGTGAGAGTTGCTTGTTAATTTATATGCTATGTTCGTATCATGCTGGACAAATGCAGCCTTTGAGATGTCAGACCACCAATTCACCCACTCAAATTTAGAACACATGTGAAAGTAGCCCTTCCCTGACAAAAAATAGTGCTTTTGATGTCATAATATACTTAAACTAACCAACAAATTTGCAGAAATTGAGCCAAAAGTTACTTGTCCATGAATTTGCATTTAAAATTGAGGATTAATGGCTCCATAGTATACTTATTTAAGATTGCTAGAAAACCAAGGGTTATTTTTAGTAGTAGTTGCCTTCCGAGCGGTTTGTGTCTCACTACAAGACTTTAATAAACATTGGTTGAAAATGGCATGTAGAAAGGTGATTCATGTACAATTCAGGATATACATAGTTTTTATGAAGTTAAACTTAAGGTAAAATATTTAGAAAGCTGTGAAAATTGAAAGATTTGGTTGAATAGATAGGGATTCTGAATTGGTGTTCTGACATGACACCTTGATGTTTTACAACTATTATATATAAACAGTAACTCATATTTTCAATTACAGGTTAATTAACTTTTATGGCCTTCAAGTACTTTAGATTCATTATTATTCATGGGATGTCATAGATTTTGTGGGTACAGGTGAACCACAAATTTAAATGTTCAACAAATTATTCAATTTTTTATGGGCTTATATGCGGACTTTGGCAAAATATTGAAATGAAAAATCTGCAAAAGTACAATTTTTCCCAAATTCACAAAAAGAAGTACCTACAAAAAATAAATGAATCCACAGTAATTGTGAGAATGATGAGAATTAATGAAAACACTTTATCTTTGATCAAATGGTGATAGGTAACCATTGGACTGTCATCTCATGTATACCCATTCAATTATTACTATATAAAGTTGTAAGGACAATAAAAGCAACTTTGTTGTATGATAGATTTGAATTTATAGTCCTTTCTAGAATATATTCTGTTGGGGAGATTTATAAATATTCAAAGAACTAATTACCCTTAAACATTAATTTTTTTGCTTATTGAATTGTATAAAAAAAAAAATAAAGGTCTTCAGATGATCATAAGGCATTTTTATACGACCGCAAAAAAATTCGTATATTGGTATGACGTTGGCCTCGTCGTCGTCGTCCGAAGACACATTGGTTTTCGCACTCTAACTTTAGTTTAAGTGATTGGATCTCTATGAAATTTTACCATAAGGTTCAATACCACAAAAGGAAGGTGGGGATTGATTTTGGGGGTTATGGTACCATCAATTAAGGAAAAAGGGGCCAAAAATAAGCATTTTTGTAACTTCCAGACATAACTTGTGTGTTAGTGTATGGATCTCTCTGACATTGTACCACAAGGTTCCATATCACGAAGAGAATGCTGGGATTGATTTTGGGGGTAATTGCCTCCGAATTTTAGGAATTAGGGGCAAAAAAGGGGCAAAAAAACAAGCATTTTTCTAGTTTCAGGACAATAACTTGTGTGTAAGTGTATGGATCTCTCTGACATTGTACCACAAGGTTCCATATCACAAAGGGAATGCTAGGATTGATTTTGGGGGTAATTGCCTCCAAATTTTAGGAATTAGGGGCCAAAAAGGGGGAAAAACAAGCATTTTTCTTGTTTAATGACAATAACTTGTGTGTAAGTGTATGGATCTTTATGAAATTGTACTACAAGGTTCCATATCACAAAGGGAAAGCTGGAATTGAGTTTTGGGGTAATTGCCCAAAACGTTTAGGAATAAGGGGCCAAAAATAAGCATTTTTCTAGTTTCCAGACAATAACTTGTGTTCAAGTGTATGGATCTCTCTGAAATAATTGTACTGCAAGGTACCATACCACAAAGGGAAGGCTGGGATTGATTTTGGGGGTAATTCCCTCAAAATTTTAGGAATTTGGGTCAGAAAGGGGCAAAAAACAAGCATTTTTCTAGTTTCAGGACAATAACTTGTGTGTAAGTGTATGGATCTTTATGAAATTGTACTGCAAGGTTCCATATCACAAAGGGAAAGCTGGGTTTGAGTTTGGGGGTAATTGCCCTATTGTTTAGGAATTTTGGGCCAAAAAGGGGCCAAAAAACAAGCATTTTTCTAGTTTCCAGACAATAACTTGTGTTCAAGTGTATGAATCTCTCTGAAATTGTACTGCAAGGTACCATACCACAAAGGGAAGGCTGGGATTAAGTTTGGGGGTGATGAATCATAAGGGGGTTCAAAAAATTTGGGGGGGGGGGAGATTTTTTTTTCCTTTTTTTTTCTTTAAAATTTTCCATTTTAAATTGGCTATTTCTGATTTATATATAAAAGCAAATAATAATGATATGGTTTGAATAGGTAAATTAAAATTTTTTAAGTTCTTAGACCACATTCATTCTGTGTCAGAAACCTATGCTGTGTCAAACATTTAATCACAATCCAAATTCAGTGCTGTATCAAGCTTGAATGTTGTGTCCATACTTGCCCCAACTGTTCAGGGTTCGACCTCTGCGGTCATATCAAGCTGCGCCCCAGCGGAGCATTTTATTATAATCTGTCTTAGATTCAGTATTTATATTTTTATACGCTCATCAAAGACGGGATCTATTATGGTATACCAATGCCCATCCATCCATCCGTCCGTCCATCTTTCATTACTTAATATAAATCTCATAATTGCCTTAATTTATTCTCATGTTATTTTAACACAACATTGAATTTTCAGGTATGTGGTTCCAGAGTAACAAGACTTGTTAAACTATCAGATTTAAGTAAATATTGTACCATAACTTGAGTGTGCTGGAATTGATTTACATAATTGTTGGAATGGTGAACATAACAAACTGTTCAATTAAAAAAAAAGTTCTGGAATGTTATGTCAGAGTTATGGGACAGTCAGATTTTTTAAAAATCATGCACTAGCTCTAGTATGTTTGGATCAAATTACTACAACCTAAACACAGTTGTTTGGATTGGTGCATGTAGATTCACTTATGATTTTAAAATTTTTTCTGGTCTGTCATTCCAGAGTTTAATATGTGATGTTTAACAGTTATATTTGATACAATTTTTATATGCCTAAGAGTGTCCTCAGACATCTATTTCTACAAAGCAGTTTATTATATGTTTTATTTAATTGTAGACACTGATGATGAAGAAAAGACAAAATCTCAAATTTTGAACGATCCGTTTGATGACATACCATTTACAAAGAAAATTTTAAATCGGAATGCAAGAACTGAATGTATTGGACAAGGAGTGATTAAAGTTTCTTTAAGTAAAGCTGTATACCAGGTAAGAATGCTTATTTTCAGACAATCCATAAGTTCTTATTAATAAGATACAAGAGAATTTTCAATCCAGAGGGTTGTTAAAAGTACTTCTCCTCTGGAAGATATGAAGGATTTATTCTCATTGTATTAATTGAAAGCAAAAAGCACAATGACAGCACCATGTAAATCAATTGATATTTTGTGTACATGAATACTAATAGAGACCTGTGGACAAGTTGTCTTCCAAATGGTTTAATTACTACATGTACAACAAATGAATTTGTTAAATTTCTCTTTTCGTACTTACAGGAAGGAATAACCCCAGTTTGTTTTAGTAAATGTTAGAGGTCAAAAGATGTAGCTGTCAAAATTAATGTTGATATTACTTTAAGTTCCTTTCCAAAATATAAAGTTTATGATTGTCAAAAACTAGGAGAGGAGGGATTAGCAGTTGAATACCAAGGAAAAGATAAAGGTCATAACATTTTGTGAACTCAAAGCTATTAAAATAATTATACACCGCTTTAAAAAAGTGGGGGTATACTGTTTTACCTCTGTCTGTCCGTCCATCCGTCAGTCCATCCATCCTTCAGTCCGTCCCTCCATCCGTCCCATGAATATTTTTTGTCGCATCTTTCTCAGGAACTAAATTACAAGGATTTACCGAACACGTGTATTTTTTTACACATGATAGCCAAGTTGAAAATTTTCGTCACATTTTTCTCTGAAATTTGGTTTCAAGGTTCATATAAGTCGGCTTTACCGTGTGATGCGTTTTCAGATTCATCACTCAACAACTTCCTGTTTACGGAACACTTGCATATTTTTACACTATTAAAATTATCCACTTGGTAGGGTATTATCAGTGAGCAGTAGCTTGCAGTTTCACTTGTTGGTACATGTTATAAGGATCAGAAGTAAAAAATCATGTTTAGATAAAAGATCATTGTCCTGGTAAAGGCTTTTCTTTGTCTATAGTTTTTGAAGGATTCAGGGACTGTTTTAAATCGGGACCAAAGAGAGCACTTTAAGACATTTAAACAGGAGATTCATGGAATACAACCCTCTTTACTACTGCAGCAAGATTTTCAAAAATCAAATGAATAATAACAAGGAATTCACCACTAAACTTTTCTTATTTTGTAGACTTATGGTTTAGATCTATATCAGATGTCATTAATAAGTCCTTCGTGCATTGCTACCCAGAATGCATCACATATTATCTGGGAGTCTGCAGTAGGAGAATGCAAAACCAGAAAAACAGTACAGGATGGACAGATAACTCTGCACAATGCTGTATGTATACTTTTTATTGTCACAGAAATATTCAGATAACTTGTATGTCATAAATTTTCTCTGAATGTGGATTAATACAGTGATATTTTTGAATGCATATCACTGTTATTGTATGAGTTGGTGTATGATTAGCACGACTACATATGCAGCTTCTTGTTTAGGTATATTTTCTGGACTTCAGTTGTACCAAAGAGTACAGAAAAGTGAAAGCAATAGTGAAGATATTTTAAATGAATATATTAAAGGATTTTTTAGTGTTATGACTTAAAAAATCAATTTAATGTATATATGTTTTAAACAAAGTATAAACCTTTACATTGTAGCTTTTAATCCATCGTTCACCTGCAGATGCAATTGAAGCAGGAAGCGGTTATCACTATGACAACATTGATGAAGATGAATTGAATATCTCAGGATCTGGATCATTGAATCAGGTGACAGAGACATACATTGATGATGAGGATTATAGACACGATGATCCTCCAATAACAAGTGATGTTAGCTGTCGTTTACAGCATGGCAGTGATAAAACTACTGTGTCACATGGTGTAAGTATAGTATGAAATAATCAAATCTAACCTCAAGTAGCTCTAGGGGTCATGTGACAGGTTTTATTATTTTGAACAGTTTCAACATTTTATGTGCTCCCATCTCTTTGGACTCAGTTTTTATATGCCTGTTTACGGGACGTATTATGGTATATGCCGGACAATAACTCAAAAACGCTTTAACCAATTTGCTTGAAACTTTGGTGAATTGTTTATATATATTGATGTGAGCTCCCTTTCGTTTTTATAAATTTAGATTTTACGTTTACGAGTTATGGGGTTTTATTTATTAAAAAAGGGGAATTTCCAGTTTTCAGACAATAACTCAAAAACACTTTCACCAATTTGCAAGAAACTTAGGTGAATTGTTTATATCTATTGACATGAGCTCCCTTTCAAATTTTAGAAATTTTAGATTTTACGTTTCCGAGTAATGGGGGTTTTATTCATTAAAAAAAGGGGGATTTTCCAGTTTTTGGACAATAACTCAAAAAAGCTTTCAGCAGTTTAATGAAACTTTGGTGAATTGTGTATATCTATTGATGTAAGCTCCATTTCGATTTTATAAATTTTAGATTTTATGTTTCCGAGTTATGCGATTTTATTCATAAAAAAGGGGTGATTTTCCGGTTTCGGACAATATCTTCAAAGTGCTTTGAGCAGTTTTCATGAAACTTTGGTGACTGGTTTATATCTATTAAGATAACCTCCCTTTAGTTTTTCATAAATTTCTGATATGACATTGAGAAGTTATTGAACTTTATTCTTTGAAAAAGCGAGTCGCGTATCATGCGCTCATGGTGCAGCTGTTTATTTTGTTAGTTCACAACTTTATTTAAAATATTTTTGTAGAATAAGATCCATGTCCATTATACAATAAAGAAAACTGAACATCAATTAATAAAAGCAATGCCCTATCAAAGCTGCTTTTATTTTGTTTATGTTTAATTCGAGGTTAACAATAAGTAGAAAGCTTGAGTTATGAGGAATTGATTAAAAAACAGCTGGTTTGAAAGCCTACTGTGCACATAAAAATTAGGTCAATCTATTGAATGTAGATATTTGAAATTGAATTATCAGAATTTAGATACAGCAGGATGTTACACAAACAGATTAGGTCACAGGCTGCTGTGTTAAATGTGCTGAAAATTTACATCTTTTATGTGTATTCATACAAGCACTTCTTTCGATAATACTCTGGGAGTTATTTTGGGAAAATTAGAATGTCAATCAGAAAATTGTTCACAGTTTGGAAAGAAACAGATTTACTTTTGATGCTTAAATGATTTTTCATATTTTATGGTGGTTAAAGCGGTTAAGTAAATTAAAACACATGAGTACTTGGTTTAAGGGGAGCTTTAAGTTGGCAAAACTTACATAAAAAAGTGTGCCCTCATGAAATATTTAAAGAATTTCAATTCAAGGTATTTTGATAAATCCCAGAAATAAATTTCAATTAAAGTACAAAATTATTCACCATTCCAAATCAGGAAGGGGGAAGAAAACTGCTAGATTAGTACACACTTTAAATAATGCTGATGTTAAAGTTTTAAATTGAACAGTAAAACCAGGTGGGAAATTGGTGACTTATTAGTATATTTCTGGATAATAAATTGTAAGCTGTACTTTATTGTATTGTTCTAACATGATAGTAATGAAATGTTATTTTTATCTATGATTTTAAACATATTTGTGATTCATTAAGATATGAAAAGGATTGAGCAACAGGTACAGCCTATAAAAGGTCTCTCATGTGGAGTGATTGAATTCCTTCAAAATACTTGAACATTTGTATAGATAGCACATAAAATTGGTGAAAAATGTTCTTAAATTTGTCTTAAAATCATCAAATCTCTATTTTCAAATGCATAGAATAATGATGTATACTGTTAAAATGAACTTGTTGACCCTATTATTTTTTTCATCATTAAAATGGAAATTTATGTATCAACAACATATAGTTTTTTAAAGAAAATCTATGGGTTGGAAGATTTTAAGACAAACCTGATGTGCCTCCCATACAAATGTTCACTTAATTTGAAAGAATTCAATCAATAATATTTCATATAATAAAAGAGATAAATATATTATTTTATGATTATCAGTTATAGGTTGCACTTCTGTAAATATAGACAATGCAATTTCCCATAGGCACTCCCTTTGCGGCTAAAGCTGTACCACTGTTGCTTTGCAGTTTCGTAAAAAATTATATCCTAGAACAGAAAGTTGATATGCACTACTTTTTTATTCAAAGGTCAAAACATAGGGCTGTGCGGCATATGTTCAACGTTTATATGCCCCAAACTTCTAAGAGTTTAAACTTATACTAAAATTCTGTACTACCCCTACCTTCATTTCAGAATTCATTTTTCACTGCTACCATGTGTTTTTATACTGGTAACATTCCCAAGTTTTTTCTCTATGAGATAAAACATAGAGATCATATCTGGGAACCAGTACGTAATCAAAACAAAATATCTATGAATATTATATATCTCCCCAAAAGAGGTGTGGCTTGTGAAACAGCTGTATTTACAAAGAGCAACCTATAGTTAAACAAAGCAAAGTGTTACCAAAATCTGTGACATAACCCATTTACTGTAACCTGGGCTGAAATGGGAAAGCCTTTTGGGTAATTTCTGATGGAACTAGAGAATGTTAACAAGGGTCCAGAAAAAAGAAAAGATGATATAAAAAGATCGAGATTTGTATTGCTGTATCTCTTTTATATTTAATGTTGATTATTCTGCCTTGATTTTAGGATAAAATAAAACCTATGACACCACCATCAACCAAAATAACACACAACATGGATCTATCATTTAGTTTACAACTGTTCAAATCACCACTTTATTTGGACGCCAACTACCTTTATCCAATGAATATCTCCTTAGGCTCAAGAGTGTTTGTGGATGCAGCTATTGAAGGAGGCAAGTATATATGCGAATGAATGATTTCTTCTATTTTCTAGTATGATATTACATCTTGAGCATGTGACTATAGAAAACTTGTTAAAAACTTATAAATATTGTAAATGACAATTTGTATCAATGTTGGTGTGGGTTAGTAAAGTTTTCATATCGTGATTATTAGTGTGTCAAGCCAATAACACTGCATAAAAGTAATCATTATTTGTATGAAGCAAAATATATAACATGCAATTTCAGTTTAAGAAAAACAACAGTTTGGTATAGGTTTAAATTCACCCATTACTTGAAATTACAAAGCTAAATGAAGACATAAATCAGATTTTTTCATTACTTATTGATTGACATTTTTTATGCCCCCACCATTTAGTTTTACCCTTGTCCTTCTGTATGTCTGTACATCCCGAAATTGGTTTCCGTTCTCTAACTTTAGTTTGCCAAATGTTATGAAACTTGTACACAATGCTTATTACCACAAAACTCAGATCAAGTACAAATTTGGGTGGCGTCACTTTTACCGTTCTTGAGTTATGTCCCTTTATAACGTTATGTGCAAGCAGGGGCATTATCTGTGTCCATCCCCATTTTTATGCCCTGCCTTATCATGGGGACATTAAGTTTTACCCTTGTCCGTCTGTATGTCCCTATATCCCAAAATTTGCTACTGTTCTCTAACTTTAGTTTGCCTCAACCAAATGTTATGAAACTTATACACAATGCTTATTACCACAAAACAGAGATCAAGTTTGAATTTGGGTGGCATCACTTTTACCTTTTGAGTTATGCCCCTTTACAAATTGAAAAATTGATGATTTTTTTGTTTCCATTCTCTTAACTTAAGTTTGCCTCAACCAAATGTTATGAATCTGATACATAATGCTAATTACTACAAAACACAGATCAAGTTTGAATTTTGGTGGTGTCACTTTTACCGTTCTAGAGTTATGCCCCTTTACAAATTGAAAAAATTGCTGAATTTTTTGTTTCTGTTCTCTTGCTTAAGTTTGCCTCAACCAAATGTTATAAAACTTATACACAATGCTTATTATTTGGGTAGCGTCACTTTTACCGTTCTTGAGATATGTCCCTTTATAACGTTATATGCAGGCGGGGGCATCATCTGTCAAATCCCCATTATTTATGTGAGTTTCAATAGTCATATATGGGAATTATAACTTGCAGTATATGGAAAATAAAGGGGGGATAAGATATAAATTAGCAGAAATAAGAACTATCAGGTTATGGAAGATAGAAGAATTGTTATAAAGTTTTTAAAGATCCTTTCTCCTGTTATTCTGTGAGCTAACTTTTGCCAAACTTCAGCACAATCATCCACATCCTTCAAGGGTAAAAGCTGCCAATTGGGAACATGATAATTTAATGATAACCTTTAAGTACTTAGGCTGATGATCGATTGATTGATTGAACTGTTAATGCCACTTTCAGCACTATTGTGCTATTTTGTGGCAGTCAGTTTTTATTGATGGAGGCAGCCGGAGAAAACCACCAACCTTTGGTAGGAAAACTGACAATCCTAGTCAATTAAGATTGGAGTTGAGTGCACCTGCCACGTGAGGGATTCGAACTCACAATCTCAGTCTTAACAGGCTAGTGATACAGTAGTTGGACTACTTAGACCACTCAGCCACCAAGGCCCATACTTAGGCTGATGAACTGATACCACTATTTCATGGCTGGCACAGTTACACATTTTTACTATTTGACAAACAATTCAGTTAAAAAAATCCTGAAAGACCCTTTGGGAAAATACATATACTGTCTCTCTTATGAACTTGTTAAACAATTATATTTGAGCCAGCAAAAATGAAATCTTGCTGTTGATAAAAAACAGAAAATTGAGTAAAATGGAAATAATACATCTGACATTAAATTGGAAAGTGACCACAATTGTAACTAGATACAGTCTCAAGAATTATTAAAAATCAGAAAATTTCAGAAAAAAACCTGTAAAGAGCTGTCTGCAGCCTTATGTAATTTTGATATTGAACATACAAGGAATGAGATTCTATAGTAAAAACTATTTTTTGCTTACAGATAAGTCAATGCGTGTACAGATTATTTCATGTTATCTAATCAGAGATCATAAACCTGTCAAGACATTGATACAAAATGGGTATGTATTATTTTCATGAAAATTTTTTAGATTTAAGGTGGTACATAACACTACAGGGAGATAACTCTGTAAAAATCAGCTGAACGTTTTAATCACGTTCTACTGTTAAGGAAATATTAAGTTTCTCAATGATCAAAATTAGTGTTTGTCAAACTGCTATATATCCAATGAAACTTTTCCGATAAAGTGTGCAGTTCAAGTTTTTTGAAATTATTATATTTTTGTCAAAGGGTCAAAGTAAATATTTTGTCAAAATTGTATGAAAATTAAACGAGCCACATTAATTTTAGTAAAGGAGTTTGGTACCACCTTAAATACTTTTTTTGAAAAAAGAAAATATACAAATTTTATTGGAATCTTAAATTCATTGTCAACAGTTTAAAAAAAAAAACTACATATTCTGTCAAATACATGTATGAACCAAGTAAACTTTAAAGAAGAAAAATTGTGGATGTGTTGTGTTAAACATTTATAAAAAATCAGATTAAAGTTAACTTTGTTATTAAATATTTTTATGCCCCCCACCCCCTTACGATAATATTGGTTATTTTTTTCTGATTTGCCTTTAATCATTGGTCCGTCTGGTCATTGATTTTCCTATATTTAAGGTAGTTTACTATGAAGTAGTGGTCAATCAACTTAAAACTTATCCACATGTTCATGATTATGTGATCTTTTAAAGATGTATGCCAAAAAGGGTTTTGACCCAGATTTCAAGGTTCATTGAATACAGAACTGTGATGGTGTGAACAGGACATGGTGTCCTATGGACACAAATTCCTTATTAATTGATGTATTATTGAAATGACTATCTGGTAAATGAACATTCAAAATACAATTGATTATTGATTACAGATGTAAAGGTTCAAATACCAATTGGGAACCAGTTGTGAGAGGGAAACCTTTGATGGGATCTGTAACACAGAGTCAGAGATTCAGTTTTCCAGCAGACATTTTGTCACAATATTTAAATCAGTATATTTATATCAGCTGCCACTTAACAGTGTGTAGGAACTATCAAACAAGAGACAATGAATTCATACCACAGGTTGGTTTGTAATGTAGATGGTTAGTGATCACTCTGCAAAAACATTTAAAAATAACTGGCAAAATACACTCAAAACTTTGCTAGCTTCATAAATTTAATGTGGTAACTAAAAGTATTAGAACCAAATCATTTTACAGTTGTCCCAGTAGTGTTCAAACTTCAATAGTTTTAACCATGTAAATATATGACAAAAAATAAATGTATAAGTTGAAGTATGAGTAAATAGTATGACATAACTTATACTGTGAGTAAATAGTATGACATAACTTATACTGTGAGTAAATAGTATAATGTAACTTGAACTGTAAGTAAATAATACAATATTACTTGAACTATGAGTAAATGGTATTAGATAACTTGAACTATGAGTAAAGAGTACAATATTACTTGAACTATGAGTAAATAGTATAATATAAAAAGTAGAACAACAAAAATACCAAACTCCAAGGAAAATTCAAAACAGAAAGTCCCTTATCAATTGGCAAAATCAAAAGCTGAAACACATCAAACGAATGGAAAACAACTGTTATATTCCTGACTTGGTACAGGTATTTCCTTATGTAGATTTGTATAACTTGAATTATGAGTAAATAGTATAATACAACTTGAACTATGAGTAAATGGTATAAGTTAACTTGAACTATGAGTAAATAGTACAATATTACTTGAACTATGCGTAAATGGTATTAGATAACTTGAACTATGAGTAAATAGTACAGTATTACTTAAACTATGAGTAAATGGTATTAGATAACTTGAACTATGCGTAAATGGTATTAGATAACTTGAACTATGAGTAAATGGTATAATACAACTTGAACTATGAGTAAATGGTATTAGATAACTTGAACTATGAGTAAATAGTACAATATTACTTGAACTATGCGTAAATGGTATTAGATAACTTGAACTATGAGTAAATGGTATAATAGAACTTTAACTATGAGTAAATAGTATAATCATTATAATGCCATATATTTTGGACACTATTGAGTGTTTATGAAGAGAGTTGCAGTGATATTTTGAATGGTACTTTTAATGGTGTAATGTATTTGTAACACAACAAACTTCATCACAGGGAATGCATTACACTAATCACATTGTACAAGTGTTTCTCTGATGTTTATTTTTAGTGTATTGACAATAAAGATCAGATTTGTAGAGTTGGACTGCCACCAATTAGTCCCAGAGTTCCTGCTCAGACTGATGTAACTAAAGGACCAATGAAGATTGTAAATAGTAGACAAGTACCGATGCCACCAAAGCTAAATGGTAAATATTTAAAATGGCAGTATTATAAAATATTTTAAATGGCAGTACTATAAAATATTTAAAATGGCAGTACTTTAAAGTATTAAAAATGGCAGTACTATAAAATATCTAAAATGGCAGTATTATAAAATATAAAAAATGGCAGTACTGTTGTAAGGCCTTGTAAAAATATTTCACAGGGAGTTTATCTAAAAAAAAAAAGTTTTTTATTTGACATCTATAAATATAAACCAGCAGCTGATTTTTTTTCCTGAATCAGCACTATCTGAGGAAAAATTTTGGAAGTGCAAATTTCCTACAGTTCCCATATGGATGAAGCTAAACATGACAGAATTCACACAATGTTTAATTTTTGATCCCTTGACTGTATTTGAATCTTGATTGTAATATGCATGGCTGGTAAACTAATTCTGGTCTATTTTATAACAGTTGGTGTTGAAGATGAAGTAAAGGATACAGGGAAACAAACAGGCAAACAAAGTGTTGTTGTAGATGGACTAGAATCAGGGACAGTCATCTGTATTGCATTTGCAGCATTTTTTATTGGTGTATTATTAATGGCAGCTTTATGGTTCATCCATACACATACAGGTAGGTTGATTAAGACACTATTGACTAATCAACAGAAGGCCAATAGTAATCAGCTTGTCTGTCTATTCATGCTAGTGTCCACCCGTCACAAATCTTTCTCCTGATGTGTTATGTACAACTAAGGAAACCCTACAGTGAAAGTCAAGGTCAAAAACTTAGTTAAACTAAGTCTCCCTGTGCATATGTACAAAAGTCTTTGCTGCTCTCTAACTTTCAAACCCCACTTCTAAAAAGTGTGTTGTGCACAAGGAAGACAACCATGCAAATAAATTTGTAGTCAATATCTTATTTAACCTAAACCATCCCTGTGCAAATGTGCAAAAATTGTTTTAGTCCTATAGAATTTAAACAAAAATTGCAGTTTGGGGAGAAATTACTGTTGCATCAGAAAGTTTCTGTCTTACATGGGTATAAGCTTTGAATAATAAGCCAACACAATTTACTAGTTTACTGAAGTAATAGTCAATGTAATATATACATACCTGCCAACTTTTCAAAATCTCCATGGGGGATTTTAAGTGCAAGAGGACCTAATGCTCCTTTTAAAATGTCATAATTAGGGCCCCGCCGATTGGTGGACGCCCTACAGTGATCAGTCTGTCCGTCCGTCCGTAACAATTTGTGTCCGCTCTATATCTAGAAAACCGTTATGATTTCAAAGTTTATACTTGGCATGTATATTAACCAACACCAGAGGGTGTGTCATAATGTATGTACAACTTCCTAGGTCAAAGGTCAAGGTCAAAAACTTTGGTTTTAGTTGACAACCCCATGTCCTATAGTAAAGATCGTGTCCGCTCTATATCTTGAGAAACGTTATGGTTTCAAAGTTTATACTTGAAATGTATATAAACCAACACCAGAGGGTGTGTCATAATTTATGTACAACTTCCTAGGTCAAAGGTCAAGGTCAAAAACTTTGGTTTCAGTTGACAACCTCATGTCCAATGATAAAGATACAAATTTTTTACCACACATTATTCACAGCGGGGCCCACAGAGATGGCTCCCATCTCAATGATATCTAGTTGTTTTTAATTTACTTCTATATTGTTTGAATGAGTATGTATATACTCAAATACCCTTTTAACTCATTTGAAGGCCTGTTTTGAGGTGTTCAGTTCATATAATAAAGAATTTCAAAATTCAGGTCAACACCTCTCATGGGGGATATCCCCCCATAAATCAGGATAGTTGGCACGTCTGTATATATCCAATTGGCTTTAATGCTGGATGCAAGGTAAAAAATCTGGCTTGAAAGAAAAAAATATTTTAATCCTGTCAGAAAAAAATCAAAAATTTAGTTCTTACTCAATTAGTAAAACGTGAACATAGGGTTAGCATATCTTTGAAAAGGTATTGTATGATCAAAGCATTTCTATTTAAAATCTATTAAAATGTCTTAATTTCATAATAGTTACATTACACAGATATTTCATATGATTCCAGAATTTTGAAAGGCAAGTGCACACATTTTAGTATGAACTACTTCCATGCTTCTGTCAACACACTTAAACTCCAATGAAATTAAAAAAGAAGCATTCAATTCTTAATACAACTGGAAAAACTCTGCTTTTATGTCATAGGAACTTGTTGTAAAATAATCTTTTTGCATTTTCAGGTCCTTCAAAACGTACAGATACAGGGAAAATGGGTATCGATGGTAGTGGGGAAAGTACCCCAATGTCTACAGCACCTATTGCTGTAAATTCATAGTGTCTGTCATACAAAGTATCATCTGTACTGAAACATACTCTGCAGAACTGCAGCTTTACACGGGTAGTCCATGATGTTCATTCCCAGGGAATAAATTCTATTTTTATTAAGTATTCAGATTGTATGTTTACTTTATTTAAAAATCTGTTTGACATATCTCAATTTTATTTTGTTGCACAACCTTTATGTTGTATTATATTAGCTTACTTTACACTTTAAATTACGACCATTTTAGTTTGACTCATTTGAAGTCATTTTACAGTTATTTTTTAAAAAGATTTTAAAATGGCATCTAGTTTAGTTCTTTTGCAGTGCATGGCTTAAATATTTATAAATTGGTGCTACAAGCAGTATTGCATATAGAGCTAATTCAGATTTTATATTTTATTTTAATTTTGTTGCTAAGTTTTTAGCAGTGATAAATGGCATGTGATCATTGTCAAGCTTATTGTACTTATGTTTTTTAGAACCTTTATAAGTCAAAAATCTGTTTTATTGTAGAAAATTATAGTGTTTCAGACATGCATACTAGTAGTATAAAGGTTTTGTAACGTTTTGTACAGAAATCAGAAATAATTTTACCTCTTGAATAAGATGCATTATGCACATCAGAATTATGGACTTGTTTGTATATTATTTGTGATTGGTTGAGTGAGATTGACATTAATAAAATAAGAATTGGACTGCTCTTCATTAAAACTTATTTAAGGGAAGATGTGATGATTTAAGTAAGAAGTATAAAGAACTAGAAAAAGTAATTAAAAATAATATTAAAATCAAAACACAATGTGCCTTCTCATTATTATGTCATTTTCATCTTTTGGCAATGCTCATTTTATTATTGTTTAAAAAAATTCCAGTGGTACAAAAAAAAAATCTCCATTTATTGGACATTGTTTAAAGAGACATTTTTGTTTTGAGTAACGTACCTTAAAACTGTTAAAAAGACAGTGTGTATAGTTCACATTTTTATCAAGTTATATTTATCTTATATCCAGAACAAGCTTTGGTTTTTCTTTTAAGGTGAGAATGACAAAATAAAACAATACTTAACTAAAACAATGGTGTGCCTGCTCAATTTTGGCAGCTCATGGTATCTGTGATGTGTAGTCCTAAAGATTCACAAATCTAAAAGTTAAGCTTTAAAACCAGTTTTGCTTTTTTATTATAGGGTTTTTTTTTTGTTTTTATTTTTCTTCAGAAAGAACTATACTGGTTGTATATTATGCTACATGGTATATCCAACTGAATAGCCTATTTTTTGGTGCTTTATGTTCTATTGTTGTGCTAATCATATCACTATTGTTTAGATATTACCTCATGTTATTTATTTTGAGTGTATCGTTTAGAACAGGGAATTAGTTTTGCTGTATTTGTCGATGGACATCATGGCGAAATATATTGATGTTTCAGTACATGTGATCTTTGTAGCTTTACAGTTGTATAAATTGATATTACTTAATTATGTGGACTTGAGATGTAATTCTGTGTTCTTATCATTCAAGAAAAATATTAAACTTACAAATTCGTTTTATAATGTATATAGAGACACCTCTCTGAAATGTTTGATTTTGACAAAGAAAAAGAAACTATTGCCAAAATGTTGACTAGATTACATTGTTGTATATCTAACTGTAAACCAACAGTATTGTAGATAACAGTATTGTATTTTGGACATTTATTTCAGTGTGGAGTGCTTTATGTGGTGGACTTCCAAAACATCTTAATGAAAAAATTAATTTAGAAATTGGAAGAAGTTTTATTTTCTGCCTGGAATAATTTTAATAATGCCATTGTATTTTTCTCTCAATTATTTCTAATAATAAGTATGCATTTGAATAGAAACAGTTGGAAGTCCTTAATCAAACTAAAATGTATTGATAATTCATTTGCCAACAATACAAGTATTGTTTAAAATAGAAAAGAAATCCTTTCTTTCTTCCTGTTCTACTGGTACCTTTGTTTGGATGTTTACCATTGTTTACTCTGAGAATTGTTAATACAGATCTGATGATTTGTAATGTTTTTGAGGAGGAGCTGTACATATTAAGCTGTATATTGATTGTTTTAGATTTTTTGGTCATCTGTTTTGCTTTAGAATGTGATATTATTGTAAAAATAATGTTAATTATTGTTGATCAGTGTGTTATGAATTTCAAACCTTTCGTAGTAGTGGTGTGATGTATAATTTATTCCTCAGCCTTGGAATATAACAACATCTTTATAAAAATATCAATGAAAAATTTTCTTTGACTTTGTAATTTGTATTCAATGCCATTTGAATTTTCAATTCCTTCAATTAAAATGATGAGAAAGCATACAAAGGCATAAAATAGAAAATAGAAAACTCAGTTTTTGTTAATGAAGTTATTGATGAGTGTGCTTATGAATTATGACTGTAGGGAAGCTAGGTATACAAATATACATAAATATATCAGTCACACATATGTATCAATTTTGCAGTGACATCATAGAATTGAAATTGGTACAAAGAATGAAATGTTTTTATTATCTATGAAAGTCCAAAGTACATAACATACTAATCTCTTGTAATCCCGGTAAATAATATGTTGTGTTTTATTGTTATTATAGGTTGAACTGACTCAGGACGATTCATTTACCCATGTATAGCTGTACAAGTTAATACATTTATTAATGTATTATGTAATGTACACTTATACATGTTTTAATATTGTATGTGTGTATAAGTACATTTAAAAAAGTATTTTCATATGTTAGAATACATTTATACATATATTACATGTTATATGTATACATTTTTGACTCGTTGTATGCATTCATACAAAAAGACATACATATGACATGTATTGAATGAATAAATACATTTTGCATTGTGTATTGTATGAATACATTTTACATGTATTATGTATTGTATGAATAAATACACGTATACATGTATTATGTATTGTATGAATAAATACATGTATACATGTATTAGATATTGTATACATGACTACATTTATTAATGTATTATGTATATGGGAATACTATATTATATGTACTATGCCTTGGTGTATGTGTTAATACAATTTCATGTGTAATATGTACTGTTGAATGTAAGAAAACAGATCATACATGTAAGTTTATCTTTTTATTTTTCACAGGCAATTGTCTTTTAAATTAATGTTCTTTTTGAAACAATTTTGCCAACAGGATGTATCGCTTTATATTTTGCTTTGGAATTTGTAAGGGAAATTTATCTAAACAATTGGATATTTTTTTGAGAATTTAAAAAATTAACCACAATTTACTTTTGGTTAATATTTTCTATATTTCAAATCTATGCATAATATAATCTTGTTATAACAAAATTAATATTCAAAGTTGGCTGTTATCTTCTTAACTATTTTTTATGTATATTACATAGCTATTAAGTGCTAAAACCCTTTGAAGTGCTACAAAGTTTTAATTTAAGTTTTTTTCTTTGTGCCATATCTTGCTGATTTTTTTAAAGAAATTGTGGAATCCCTGGAATATTGTTCTGTCCATTTTTTGTTTACTTTTTTAATTGAAAAAATAGAATGTGTGAGAATTGATTCATAAGGCAGCATCAGTACACATGAAGCCTTTTACTAGAAGCAGGTATCTCCTAACTAAATAGAGGTCATATTAAATGCATTATAATTTTTTCATATATTGTAAATTTTGAAGCACACCAAAATGGTATGTAATTATGCATTAGAGGCTATTAAATTCATTTCAGATTACATATATGTTACATAGAAGAAAACATATTTGAGATTTAAAAAAAAGACTGTGTGAAATTTTAATTCCAGGACATCACAATTTTTTTTTTTTTTTTTCGAAATAATAATTAAGTTTTTAATTTAATTACTTAATTTTTTGGTAATAAAAGGTGCACATTTGATCTTAATCTAGCTTCCCAAAAAGTGTGTCAGTAATTGTATAGAATATTGATGACCTGGCATGATTCCTGGAGGTATTATTTGTATGATATATATGATTGTAAAGGTTGTCTTACTTGTTGTCATGTTGTCATTCTTATTTGCTTGTTTCACTTTCTATTTGTTAAGAAAATATAACTTTATTTTGTGTCTCTGAACAATGTAATGAATTTAAAATGACCAAAAGAATTATTTTCATAAAGTTGGCTCCTTAAATATATAATTGTTCTTCTTACAAAGTCAAAAGATAGCACAGTGCTACCATAAATCTCATTCACTTTAAATTATCTCTTTAAGAAAACTTTTCTCTGCAAGATTGTAGTAAAGTTGGCTCCTTAAATATATAATTGTTCTTCTTACAAAGTCAAAAGATAGCACAGTGCTACCATAAATCTCATTCACTTTAAATTATCTCTTTAAGAAAACTTTTCTCTGCAAGATTGTAGTATGCTTACTATTTGAACAATTTTATAAATTGTTACATTGTTTAGAAACATGAAATATGGTAAGGCTCGATAAAAAAAACAATGACAAATAAATCTTTCCTTTAACCTGTAAAAGTGACCGAGCAGACTTTCTACCTCAGTTGTTACATTATATAGTGTATTGTATAGATGTTTATTTTGTTGGAACTGCTTTACTACACAGGCACATACAAGAAATACAGTACTACATGCATTTTATACATAAGGGATATATTTTCAGTGTGATCATTTACGTAACCATGGAAGGAAAAATGTTACTGTTTTTTTAAGTCACAATTGTCATATTTATTTCCTAAAATTTTGTTTTATTTCATAAATATCTTCAGCCTGTTAAAAGGTTTTGGAACGATAGGAAAAAGAAAAAGCAGTATAAAAATTAATTTATGCTAAATTTCCAAACTTTCCTAAATATTTTGCTTATTGCTTTGAAATGCAATAGCATTGAATAGTCTGTAAAGCATTTCAGAACACTGCCATAATTTTGTGTCTCCTTTATTGTATATAAGGACTGTGGCATTATATCATGTTTTAAATTCATATAACATTAAATTGCATGTCATTTTTCATGTAGAATTTTTAAAATTGTAAATGGTAAGCCATTAAATGTATTTTGACTTCATACAACATCTTGTTACAAATATCGTTAGTAACCTACAGTGTATTACGAAATCATTCATAAAACTTATAAATTTGATTGTATGGTAAAATGTATTTGCTATTGGCTGTTTATAATATTCAAGATATTACCCCCAAAAATAATGCTTGAAAATGAAAATATCTAGATGTAATGTTTACAAAGGACACCATGGACAATTTCTTGTGAATTTATAACATCATCAAGAATTTTAGAATATGATGAAAGATTTATAATAATAATAATATTTTTGGTAGAGAAAAAGTTTACTAAAATGAAACACACTGAGTTTTATGTTTCTAGACATCTCTATAAAAAAGTATTAATATTGTGCTGTGAAATTTTTTAAGTTTCAAATATATTTCATAGAATAATTCAAGACAATTAATTTTAAAAATGCATACATATAATATTCAGCCAATTGCAGAGTACACTATGGCTCAAAGAAACAGATGCATTCATAATCTACCTCAAATAATGTAACCGGTTGAAAGCCATTATTTAAGACAGTATCGTTCCGTCCTATCTATCAACTGTTCCAGGACAATCTCTCTAAGGAAATATTTTAAATTCTTTAAAATAAAACACATGAATATGGATTGAAATGTTTGATTTCAAAATAATTTTAAATTGATTTATAATTTTGATACAACTGCATATTCATAATAAATTAAATATCAGTCATATGATTCCGAATAAGTTTACCCTGTTTCTTCTCCACATGTACAATTGATAGCATGATAATAGCTACTTTTCGAATCAAATTTTTAGTTGAATGAATTTAAAACTCCCTCTGCTTACAAAGCCAAAATGAGGTATTGCTATCACTTGACATCTTTCCATAAACTTTTTAAATGTATTGGCCTTTTTGAAATCGGGTGGTAAATTGGAACCTCAATCATCCTTTGAGTATTAAAATTTCTAAAATATATTCAATGGAATCCACCGACAAACCAAGAGCATGACCTCTTTTACTATGGAAGGAAATTTTTTGGGTTTCTTTTGAAATTCTATATATGATTTTCCAGTTTGAATAAGTTTTGCTAGAATGATTTCCTATGATTTTCTTTCAAATTTACATCAAAAAGCCTCACCTAAAATCAAAGATGGTCATTCTATTCATAGGACTATTCTATTCATCAGAAAAAAATGATAATTCTGTGAAAACTTTGAGTGATTGGAATGACGTCTTGCCAGTCATGCTTATAGTATCTAGTTTAAAATGTTATATCTGATTTTCCTACCAGTCAACTGACACGACAGCTGCTACTTCGAGTTGAAATTTATCAAAATTTGATAAATATTCTTACCAATAATACCAGTTTTGGCACACATTTCCTATTCTTGAATCTCAGTTTGAATGTTTTTAATTTCCCCTTCATTAAAAACTATTTTACTTCACTTAGGTGGTACGTAAATGTTAAACATTAGAAATAATCTATTTAGTCAAATTTTAGATAAATTATGGTCGCCTTCTAGAAAATAATTCTCTGATTGAGTCAATACTATGCATCGTTGTCAGGTGAGTAGTACAAGCTTCTTCGGGCCTCAAATTTTCTTTTTTTTTGTTTTTGCTACATATTTTCAAATGCAGTAAAACCAGGAATTTCTTTTTAATAATTGCAATGAACTCTGTTGTATGTGCAAGTTGTGTCAAAGAACGATATTGTTTTCTTAAGCTTTCATTATGTTATAGTAGTAGTTTCTCAGTGTTGGCTAGGTCTTTGATTGTCAAACCAGTTCTACATTTGTGTAAAGTTTGTCTTAGGTCAAGGCCACTTCTTCATGTTAATGCTATATAAACTTGCATCTAAAATATAAGTTTAACTCTTAACATAATATTGAGGAAATAAAACACATTTTTACATGTAAGAATATTTAGGTTTATTTATTCAATATTTGATTAAATATGATTTACCGGTACTTGTAAAAGTTATTTTTGGATCAGATAGAAATCAATCTATTCCTCAAGTTGAATTTGATTGGATCGGATAGAAATCAATCTATTCCTCAAGTTTGATTTGATGATCAAAGATATTTTATTTGAATGATGAATAAAATCAGCAACCTGAAAGCTTATCTGTGATTTTAGAGACTAAGAATTAAATGGTTCTATAGACCATCAAAGCAGTATTGAAATATTTTTGATGTTGCTTTATGGGCTCCCTCTACTATTACTTGGTGTTTCATATATCTTTAAATCATAAGCCAAGTATTATATTTTCTTTTGTTATTTGGAGACAAATGTAGAATTGTTTTAACAGTATGATATATACTCTTTTTCAGGGATTATTTCATCATTAAGAGTATATAATGTCATTACCTCATGTCGTAATCATTGTATAAATTTCATTTAAATCATTGTGTCATTGTTTTCTTCATGTATCTTTATAAACAAAAAAGATTGAAATGAAATGTATAAAAAAATATTAAAAAGTACAAGAATGATAATAGTTATTTCTCAGTTGCCAGCATTGAGTACATTTTGATTGATTCCAAGTACCAGTATATTTAGTTTTATTTTTTATGCCCCAGCTGTAAGCAACAGGGGCAGTAAGTGTTAACTTTGACTGTCCTTCCGTCCGTCCCATTTTCTTTTCCGCACTCTAACTTAAGTTTATAAATTTTATAAAAGTCTTATACAATGAAAAGAACCAAAACATTTTTGCAGATTTTCGAAATTTGGGCATTGAGTCACTTACCGTTCTAGAGTTATGCCCCGTTATAACTTTAAAAATTGCAAAATTTTTTCGTGTCCGTGCTCTAACTTGAGTGTTCCTCATCCAAACTTTAAGAACCACATTATGCTGAAAGTGTTCTAATTTGGATTGTAAGTCATTTACTTTTCTAGAGTTATACTCCTTTATAACTTGGAAAATTGCAAAGCTTGAGCAGGGGCATTTGTGTCCTGAGACACGTTCTTCTTGTATTTGGACTATGTTGTGTGTTCAAGTACTCACCCTCTCTGTAAATGTAACAGCTGACTTTTATTTTTTGATGCATACTTATTCAAACCAATTATCAGGTTTTCTAGCAGATTCAAAGTCTAGTCACCAGTGTTAATAGCATGTCAAAGGGCAAAAGAAATAAAGATTTGGTTTCATCTTCAAGTTTACTATACATACACCTGATAATATGTATATATCAATTGTAAAGCCAAATGAAGGGACAGTTATTAATTTTAGAATTGGTAGAAGTTTTTGTGTATCCTTAGGTACCTAACATCAATCCTGGTAAGTATCTGTATATGATTCCTGGTGCAAATATCTGGGAGTAATAGTTGTACATTATTACTGCTACAATGTATTAGATAGTATTTTTATATTATTAGCTCACCTGGCCCAAAGGGCCAAGTGAGCTTTTCTCATCACTTGGCGTCCGTCGTCGTCAGCTTTTTACAAAAATCTTCTCCTCTGAAACCACTGGGCCAAATTTAACCAAACTTGGCCACAATCATCATTAGGGTATCTAGTTTAAAAAATGTGTCCGATGACCCCACCAACCAACCAAGATGGCCGCCATGGCTAAAAATAGAACATAGGGGTAACATGTAGATTTTGGCTTATATCTCTGAAACCAAAGCATTTAGAGTAAATCTGACAGGGGTAAAACTGATTATCAGGTCAAGATCTATCTGCCCTGAAATTTTCAGACAAATCTGACATCCTGTTGTTGGGTTGCTGCCCCTGAATTGGTAATTTTAAGGAAATTTTGCAGTTTTTGGTTTTCTGAATATTATTATAGATGGAGATAAACTGTAAACAGCAATAATGTTCAGCAAAGTAAGATCTACCAAAAGTTGTCATGACCAAAATTGTCAGTCGACCCCTTTAAGAGTTATTGCCCTTAATAGTCAATTTTTAACAATTTTTTGTAAATTTTTGTAATCTTTTACAAAAATCTTCTTCTCTGAAACTGCTGAGACAAATTTAACCATACTTGGCCATAATCATTATTAGGGTATCTAGTTTAAAAAATTTGTCAGATGACCCCGCCTTCTAACCATCATGGCCGACTTGGTTAAAAATAGAACATAGGGGTAAAATGCAGTTTTTATACACCGCAAAAAATTTTTGAGGTCGTATATTGGTATGACGTTGGCGTCGTCGTCGTCGTCTGGCGTCGGCGTCATCGTCCGAATACACAATGGTTTTCGCACTCTAACTTTAGTTTAAGTGAATGGATCTCTATGAAATTTTACCATAAGGTTCAATACCACAATAGGAAGGTGGGGATTGATTTTGGGGGTTATGGTACCAACAGTTAAGGAATTAGGGGCCAAAAAGGGGCCGAAAATAAGCATTTTTGTAACTTCCAGACATAACTTGTGTGTTAGCATATGGATCTCTTTGACATTGTACCACAAGATTCCATATCACAAAGGGTCAATGCTGGGATTGATTTTGGGGTTAATTGCCTCAAAATTTTAGGAATAAGGGGCCAAAAGGGGGCAAAAAACAAGCATTTTTCTAGTTTCATGACAATAACTTGTGTGTAAGTGTATGGATCTTTCTGAAATTTTACTACAAGGTTCCATTTCACAAAGGGAAAGCTGGAATTGAGTGTTGTGGTAATTGCCCAAAACGTTTAGTAATAAGGGGCCTAAAAAGGGGTTTAAAATAAGCATTTTTTAGTTTCTAGACAATAACTTGTGTTCAAGTGTATGGATCTCTCTAAAATTGTATTACAAGGTACCATACCACAAAGGCAAGGCTGTTATGGAGCTTGGTTTGGGGGGAAAGGGGGGTGGGGGTGATGAATCATAAGGGGGGCGGGGGTCAAAAAAGGGGTAATTTTTTTTTTTTCCTTTTTTTTTTGTTTAAAATTTACATTTTAAGTTAGTTATTTTTTATCACGAAGAGAAAGTAGGAATTGAGTTTTGGGGTTAATTGCTCAAACATTTATGAATAAGGGGCCAAATATTGGTCAAAAATAAGGATTTTTTTAGTTTGCAACAAAAACTTGTGTTCAAGTGTATGGATCTCTGTGAAATTGTATTGCAATGTACCATACCACAAATTGAAGGTTGTGATTGAGGTGGGGGATGATGAATCAAAAGGGGGTTGAAAAAATGTGTGGGAGGTAGGATTTTTTTTTTCCTTTTTTTTTCTTTAAAATTTTCCATTTAAAGATGGTTGTTTCGGATTTATATATGAAAGAAAATAATAATGATACAGTTATATATCATGAGGAATTGAAATTTAAAATTATTTATATTGGAAATTTAAGTTACATTGGAAAGTAATAATTGGCTTTGGGGGGGGAGGGGGGGGGGGTTATGGCTCTAATGTTTAAGGAATAAGGGGAAAAAAGGTTAAAAAACAAGGGTTTCCATTTTAATAGACAAATAATTGAGTAAAGAACATTATTTAAAAGCAGTGTAAGGTTGGTAATTCAAACTCATTTAAATATCTCATCTACACTGCTTTTAAATTATGTAAATTGGAAATTTGCCAATAACTTTATTGTTAATAAATGCATTGGAAATTTGCCAACAATTTTAGTGTAATAAACTTCATTGGAAATTTGCCAATATAAAATTTTGCTGATGAAGGTTTTTTTTTTACCTTTAGCCTTGACTATGAAGTCATTTTCTATTTTTATAGCCTTATGATGTAGTTGAATTATTTAATACTTTTATGATGTGTTTAAATGGGGTTTTATCATGTTTATGGTTGCAAATTTATTGTTTTAGTATAATAAACTCCATTTAAAATTTGCCAATAAAAAAAATTTTTGTTTATTTTTAGCTATGATTATGATGTCATTTTCTATTTTACTTTTATGGTTGCAAAGAAATTTTTATTTTTAGATATTACTGTTAAATGATGCTGATTAAGGTTTTTGCTATGTTTAGCCATGACTATGATGTCATTTTCTATTTTAATATCTGTTATGATGTATTTAAATGGGCTTTTATGGTTACAAAGGAATTTTATTTTTAGATATTACTATAAAATGTTGCTGATGCTGATTAAGGATTTTGTTTATTTTTAGCCATGACTATGATGTCATTTTCTATTTTAATACCTTTATGATGTAATTTCCATTTTTAAAGGCAGTGCTTTAATGCCTTTCTAGTTGCCGGGTTAATCCTTCCTTCCGCGATATCCAACTTATCTACGTTGGGGGTCATTAGACTCCAAGTAGATCCGGAAATGTTGAATTCTCTCCTCTTCTTATTGCGATATAAAATGTTTTTTGTTTCATTTCATTTACATTGGGAAATAGAGAAACGATCATTGTGTTTTGTTAGTTTTAAAAACTTTTGATATATTAGTATTTTGCATTATAAGCAGTCAACCGATTGACAAACTAGAATTATTTGAATTCCGTGTGGAAAGAGCTCGGGTTAATTTCGAGTGTTATCTGCAATCTAGATGTTTATAAATCATTTCAGTCGTTGATATAATAATTAAAGGTCGACTGAACATGAATTATATTATACAATTTAAAGCGCATTTCTGTTTATGCACGTGAACCCGTCTAACGTTATTTTCGCAGTTATATAAAGTAGCAAATTATCGTTCCTGAATAGGTGGCGCCGTGGTAGCGGATCCTTTTCCTCTGCTTCCGGTTTCTGCTCTGTGCAACTATTTTAGTTATATTTTTAATTAACGATGATAAGTACTTGTTGTTGTGTACCTGGATGTCATTTAAGAGGAGGACATGCATTTCCAAATGACTTAAAAAGAAGTTGGATCAACGCCATGGCCCATACGCAGATTGGACGAGAACACGATGATATCGTGGAGTCCATCTCAATCAGCTGTTGTTTGCAAGGCACGTTTTACTGAAAAAGACTACGTGCAGGAAACTATTCATGGTAAAAATCTATTTTCTTTGTGAAATATATAGTTATATATGTAATCGCCATGCGAATAAACCAAAGTCTGTTTACAACCGCAATTATCGTTTTAGAATAAAAGGGGGTGGGTAATTCAAGACGTCATAATTTTTTGGATTACGATTCAATGTGATCTGTTTGAGATTTTTTGGTGATTGCTACAATTATAATGATTTCTTACAAGAGGTATATCATACTGAGAATTATTTTAGTAGTAATTATGCTAATGTAGTAATGACAGGAATGCATAAGCTATGCCTCATAGACTTTCTTGAAAAATATCAATGACAATGTTAACAGGAACAAAACAATGACATGCTCTCATCTATATTATAGTTATTTAGGTACAAACAATGTACGTTTGTTGCATAAGTCTCTCATTGTTTGTCCTTTGGATTTACATAACATACATTGAATCAGGCAAACATAGTTTTATCCAGATTGTAATGAATAAATCTAGTTTATATTTCGCCAGGTAGTACAAAGTATACATTGCTAATGGAAGTTCATTTAATTATAAAAAAACTAATGTTTTATAACCTTTTTCAGGGCGCAAACCCACCATACAGAGACTTAAGTCTACTGCAATTCCCAGCCTATTTTCCTGGACCAAGCAAGAGACTGAATCGTCCGCAAAAAGAAAAATCAGGGCAGTTTCCTGTGAAAACAAAAGAAATAAACTTGATGAATATTGTAGTAGAAATCTAGAGGAAAGTTTTGATTGTAAAGTTGGTTTTCCTGAAGAAGTCATTCATACTGCAGAAAGGATTTATGACTGTCCACCACCAACTGCCGAGCTAATGTTGAGCTTCACAGATGGAATTACGCAAACACCAACAATGCCTATGTTTTCAGCAGAGAATTTTGAAATGAAGACACGTGACACAGCCATGCATTTTTATACCGGTTTAGAGTTGTATACTAAATTTTTATTTGTTTTGACCACACTTGGTCCAGCAGCACATTGTTTGAGATACATATCTTTTCAAATTGATAGGGTGTCAGTTGAAAATCAGTTTTTTTATGACTTTGATGAAATTGAGGCATCATACACCCAACTTTGAACTGTCTAGATTCTAGATTGAATCTAGTGTTAAGAATATTGTGTATACATGGATTGTTTTTATGTCTAAACAGTGGTGTGAGGCTAACACTTGGCCATCTAGTGGTTTAGTCAGTTATTTTTCACCATCCAACTTCAAATTAAAGTTTCCTACGACTTGGATTATTATTGACAGCACAGAATATCCCGTGATAAAACCTAAAGCTCCTAGAGCTCAGGCAACCTTTTCATCAAATAAAAACAGAAACACTGAAAATTCTTGAATGTTCGACGACTGTTGGTTTAGTCAACTATGTCTCTATGTCACATAGAGCGAATTATTGGACTTGGCAAAACATACAAAATTCTAATAAATCCTATGAATGGAACTGAAACAAAACTTTCATCTGAAATAACATTTAGTTGTTTTATGTTGTGTAATTTTAGAACTTGTATTGTGCCAAAGGATGCATAAATAAAAGTGACGCAATGAATTTTGTTCTGATATATATATATTTACAATTACATGCACATGTAAATTGTAATGCATATAAAAATAAGGAGATGTGGTATGATATTCAGTGAGTTTATCAAACTAAAGTGCATAAGAAATGGGTTTAAGCAGTTACAGGTGTTACTGTCACCGTACAATCTCCAACAATGAGAAAAACTCGTACCCTGTAAAAAATTTCAGAGATCTTACAACTAAGTTTTGTTGTCTCACCTTGACTTTGGTGAATTTTTATACGACCGCAAAAATTAAAAATTTTTTGGTCGTATATTGGTATGACGTTGGCGTCGTCGTCGTTGTCCGAAGACACATTGGTTTTCGCGCTCTAACTTTAGTTTAAGTGAATGGATCTCCATGAAATTTTACCATAAGGTTCAATACCACGAAAAGAAGGTTGGGATTGATTTTGGGGGTTATGGTACCAACAGTTAAGGAATTAGGGGCCAAAAATAAGCATTTTTGTAACTTTCAGGCAATAACTTGTGTGTAAGTGTATGGATCTCTCTTACATTGTACCACAAGGTTCCATATCACAAAGGGAAGGCTGTAATTGATTTTGGGGGTAATTGCCTCAAAATTTTAGGAATTAGGGGCCAAAAAAGGGGCAAAAAACAAGCATTTTTCTAGTTTCATGACAATAACTTGTGTGTAAGTGTTTGGATATTTCTGAAATTGTACTACAAGGTTTCATATCACAAAGGGAAAGCTGGAATTGAGTTCGGGGGTAATTGCCTGAAACGTTTAGGAATTGGGGGCCAAAAAGGGGCCAAAAATAAGTATTTTTCTAGTTTCAAGACAATAACTTGTGTTCAAGTGTATGGATCTCTCTGAAATTGTACTGCAAGGTACCATACCACAAAGGGAAGGCTGGGATTGAGTTTGGGGGTGATGAATCATAAGGGGGTTCAAAAAATTTTGGGGGGGGGGGATTTTTTTTTTCCTTTTTTTTTTCTTTTAAAATTTTCCATTTTAAGTTGGTTATTTCTGATTTATATTTAAAAGCAAATAATAATGATATGGTAGGAGATACACACCAAACAGAATGTGTAAATTTTTATATAATAAGTATTGTGCAATAGCAAGAAATTTTCAATTGCACAGTATTGCACAAAAGCAAGAAATCTTCAATTGCACAGTATTGCGCAATAGCAAGAAATCTCCAATAGCACAATATTGCGCAATAGCAAGAAATTGTCAATTGTACAGTATTGCGCAATAGCAAGAAATATTCAATTGCACAGTATTGTGCAAAAGAAGATACTTCTTATAAATTGCTTATTTCTTGATCAATTTCAATGGGGTTTTATTCTTGAATTCTTGGGGTTCTTTAATATGCTGAATATAATTGTGTATTAAGTTTTTGGATTTTGGGCCCCGTTTTTAAATTGGTCCACATTGAGGTCCAAAGGGTCCAAAATTTAACTTTGTTTGATTTCATCAAAAAATGAATTATTGGGGTTCTTTGATATGCCGAATCTTACCGTGTATTTAGATTCTTAATTTTTGGTTCCGTTTTCAAATTGGTCTACATTAAGGTCCAAAGGGTCCAAAATTAAACTTAGTTTGATTTTAACAAAAATTGAATTTTTAGTGTTCTTTGATATGCTGAATCTAAACATGTATTTAGATTTTTGATTATGGGCCCAGTTTTCAAGTTGGTCCAAATCGGGGTCCAAAATTAAACTTTGTTTGATTTCAACAAAAATTGAATATATGGGGTTCTTTGATATGCTGAATCTAACCATGTATTTAGATTTTTGGGCCCCGTTATCAACTTTGTCCACATTGAGGTCAAAAGGGTCCAAAATTAAACTTTGTTTGATTTCATCAAAAATTGAATTCTTGGGGTTCTTTGATATGCTGAATCTAACCATGTATTTAGATTTTGGATATTGGACCATAATAGGTGAATGTCCAATTTAAAATTTTTAAGTTCTTAGACCACATTCATTCTGTGTCAGAAACCTATGCTGTGTCAAATATTTAATCACAATCCAAATTCAGAGCTGTATCAAGCTTGAATGTTGTGTCCATACTTGCCCCAACTGTTCAGGGTTCGACCTCTGCGGTCGTATCAAGCTGCGCCCTGTGGAGCATTTTATTATTTATATCTGTTGATGTAAATATAAAAAAGAAGATGTGGTATGATTGCCAATGAGACAACTCTCCACACATGCACAAGAGACCAAATGACACAGAAATTAACAGCTATAGGTCACAGTACGGCCTTCAACAATGAGCAAAGCCCATACCGCACAGTCAGCTATAAAAGGCCCAGAAATGACAATGTAAAACAATTCAAACAAGAAAACTAACGGCCTATTTTATGTAAAAAAATGAACAAATATAACAAATATGCAACACATAAACAAACGACAACCACTGAATTACACTTTTATAGGCTCCTGACTTGGGACAGGCACATACATGTACATACAGAATGTGGCGGGCTTAAACATGTTAGCGGGATCCCAACCCTCCCCCTAACCTGGGACAGTGGTGTAACAGTACAATATAAGAAAGAACTATAAAAATCAGTTGAAAGAGGCTAAACTCATCAGATGGATAAATACAAATACAAGTGGACGTGGTCGGGTAGTTGTACATCCAAACAACAAAAAGACACTAAGTACAAATCTGAGAGTACTCGCAGTTACTGACAGCTAGTTCAAAGCCACTAACAACTGATTAAAAAAATCTTGCATCTAAGACTAAATTATCAATCCGTAAGCTCCCTTTAGAATTTTATAAATTTTAGATTTTACATTTCTGAGTTAGGGGGTTTTATTCATTAAAAAAGGGGGGATTTTCCAGTTTTTGGACAACAACTCAAAAATGCTTTAAGCAGTTCACATGAAACTTTGGTGAATTATTTATAGCTATTGGTGTAATCTCCCTATTGATTTTCATAAATTTCAAATATGACATTGAGAAGAAATTGAACTTTATTTGTTTATAGTCTGGCAACAGATTTATTAAGTATTCCACAACAGCACAGTGTATTGCACAACAGCAAGAAATCTTTAATTGAATATAAATTCAATTCATATAACCGATTTCAAGTTCATTGACTACATTTATTCAGAAACTATAATATGTCAAATATTTAATTACAATCCAAATTCAGACCTGTATCAAGCTTGAATATTGTGTCCATTTTTGCCCCAGCTGTTCAGGGTAGTACCTCTGCGGGTGTATCCAGCTTCGCTCAGCGAATCAGTTTTTTTCTTAATTAAGAACTCCTTTTTATACGACCGCAAAAAAATTTTTGTGGTCGTATATTGGTATGACGTTGGCGTCTTCGTCGTCCGAAGACACATTAGTTTTCGCACTCAGTTTAAGTGAATGGATCTCAATGAAATTTTAAAATAAGGTTCAATACCACAAAAGGAAAGTGGGGATTGATTTTGGGGGTTATGGTACCAACAGTTAAGGAATTAGGGGCCAAAAAGGGGCCAAAAATAAGCATTTTTGTAACTTCCAGACATAACTTGTGTGTAAGTGTATGGATCTCTCTAACATTGTACCACAAGATTCCATATCACAAAGGGAATGCTGGGATTGATTTTTGGGGGTAATTGCCTCCAAATTTTAGGAATTAGGGGCCAAAAAGGGGCAAAAAACAAGCATTTTTCTAGTTTCATGACAATAACTTGTGTGCAAGTCTATGGATCTCTCTGACATTGTATCACAAGGTTCCATATCACAAAGGGAATGCTGGGATTGATTTTTGGGGGTAATTGCCTCCAAATTTTAGGAATTAGGGGCCAAAAAGGGGCAAAAAACAAGCATTTTTCTAGTTTCATGGCAATAACTTGTGTGTAAGTGTATGGATCTTTACGAAATTGTACTACAAGGTTTCATATCACAAAGGGAAAGCTGGGTTTGAGTTTGGGGGTAATTGCCCTAAACGTTTAGGAATTTGGGACCAAAAAGGGGCCAAATAACAAGCATTTTTCTAGTTTCCAGACAATAACATGTGTTCAAGTGTATGGATCTCTCTGAAATTGTACTGCAAGGTACCATACCACAAAGGGAAGGCTGGGATTGAGTTTTGGGGTGATGAATCATAAGGGGGTTCAAAAAAATTTGGGGGGGGGATTCTTTTTCCTTTTTTTTCTTTAAAATTTTCCATTTTAAATTGGTTATTTCTGATTTATTTATAAAAGCAAATAATAATGATATGGTTTGAATAGGTAAATTAAATTTTTTTAAGTATCTTAGACCACTTTCATTCTGTGTCAGAAACCTATGCTGTGTCAAATATTTAATTACAATCCAAATTCAGTGCTGAATCAAGCTTGAATGTTGTGTTCATACTTGCCCCAACTGTTCAGGGTTCGACCTCTGCGGTCGTATCAAGCTGCGCCCCAGCGGAGCATTTTATTTCATTCATAAATTACTTTATGCTTGGAAATATAATTTTGCTTGGAGTTGAAAGAGTTGACATGTTGCAATGTACATTTACTCTACATAGTTCTATGGTACCAAATCAAAAGTTTATATAAAGAAAGAAGTCAAAGGTTTCCCATCATAGTTTAGTTACATACATTTTTTTTGTACCTGAGGTCGTTGAATATAGATCATTATATAAATAAGGAGATGTGTTATGATTGCCAATGAAAAAACTAAGGATTTTCTTATCCAAGGAATAGATTACCTTAGCCGTATTTGGCACAACTTTTTGGAATTTTGGGTCCTCAATGCTCTTCAACTTTGTACTTGTTTGGCTTTGTTACTATTTTGATCTGAACGTCACTGATGAGTCTTATGTAGACGAAACACACGTCTGGCGTATTAAATTATAATCCTGGTACCTTTGATAACTAATTTGACTATAAACATAGATAAAAAAGGTACAAACTGGACATAATGCACTAGTTCATAAACAAGTGAGAACAATCGCCTTCATATAGTGCTCAGAATATGACATTCATAAAACTTATTCAATATCATTAGAGAACTCTAAATCTTAAATACTGAAAGCCACCTCTGATAAGTACACTGTACTATGCAAGATAATGATATAACTGGACTTAAAATACACACAACCTGTAATTAACTGCCTTTACAGCGCTTTCGTGCTTTGATTAGATATTACTGTTAAATGATGCTGATTAAGGGTTTTTTGCTATGTTTAGCCATGACTATGATGTCATTTTCTATTTTAATATCTGTTATGATGTATTTAAATGGGCTTTTATGGTTACAAAGGAATTTTATTTTTAGATATTACTTTAAATGTTGCTGATTAAGGATTTTTGTTTATTTTTAGCCATGACTATGATGTCACTTTCTATTTTAATACCTTTATGATGTATTTAAATGGGCTCCCATGTATTTAGATTTTTGATTATTTATACATGTTACCAAATTGGTCCACATTGAACAAAAACGGTCCAAATTTCAACTTTATTACATTACATCAAACATTGAATTCTACATATTCTTTGATATATTGAAATTAACATACAATTTAGTTTATGGATATTCCACCATAATAGGTAAATTAAATTTTTTCCAGTTCTTACACCACATTCATCCTGTGTCAGAAACCTATGCTGTGTCAAATATTTAATGACAATCCAAAGTCATAGCTGTATCAAGCTTGAATTTTGTGTCCATACTTGCCCCAACTGTTCAGGGTTAGACCTCTGCGGTCGTATCAAGCTGCGCCCCAGCGAAGCATTTTATTGGTTTATATCTCTGAAACTAAAGCATTTAGAGCAAATCTGACAGGTGGCAAAAATGTTCATCAGATTTAGATTTATCTGCCCTGAAATTTTCAGACGAATCCGACAACCCCGTTGTTGGGTTGCTGCCCCTGACTTAGTAGTTTTACAAAAATTTTGCAGTTTTTTGTTATTATCTTAGATATCATTATAATATCTAATATCTAATACTATTAATTATGATTTTATCCTTATTTTACATGATTTCCAAACCATCAGTAAATACAGGTGAGCGACACAGGCTCTTGAGAGCCTCTAGTTTCTGGTACATACAACTTGAAAAATTGTCTGTACATGTACTTTACTATCAATACTTGGCACTTCAAGTAAAGAACAATTCATAAATGGACATCTGTTCATCATCAGTTACCTGGTACAAATATATATGAGACATGCGTACACCATTTCTGGTATAAATTGAGGACAACATCTTTACATCATATCTGAGACACCATTTCTGGTATGATATAAATAGGACACCAACTATACATCATTCCTTGTACAAATATCTGAGACATGTGTACACCATTTCTTGTACAAATATCTGGAACATTTTCTGTACATCAACTTTATTATCAATACTTGACACTTCAAGTAAATAACAATTCACAAACCCCAAGGTTTTCATATTTTATTGCACACAATTGGAACAGATAAGTTACAATATTATTGCACTTGCACATTAGAGTATTAAGATACAAAAAAAAGATATATTCTGTATTCAAATTGTATAAAAATAGCTGTATATAAAGTTTGATCAAAATCATTTTGTTGTTTTACAAGAAAATGTGAAAAACTATAATAGTTCATAGATTAAACCATATGAAAAGTCCTTTTGAGGTTATAGTTAAGTGTTACATACAGAAATATCAGAATCTGAGTGTGTTTCAATGTTGATAGCTTGCTTATTGAAATAATAAAAATTATAATTGGACTTAATCCATTACATGTTTACTCTGAAGAATTGAAATATACAAATTGAATACTTGCAAACATGGCTCTCTGCAACAGACAGTTAGTTTTAGTCTACATGAACCTTTCAGGTTCAAAGTATGTTTATTTACTGATTACATACAATTAACATTATCATAGTTTTATAAAATATGTCATTCAAAAATTAAAACCCAATCAAACAGATAAATGGAATTATAACTGTTGTAATGCAAATGTTGAAAGAAGATCAGTTTGGAAACAAATAGAAATCTAGTAGAATTTATGAACATCCTAGGAAAATTTTGACTTAAATACCACTTTTTATCTCTTAGATTTCTATTTTTATTAGACTAATTTCGAGTTCTTTTTTATGAATGAGTTACACTGATTGACTAAAGGTTGACTAAAGGTCAATCAGTGTAAATGACTTCATTGAACAATCAACTCTTACTGTGACATTTGACATGAGAAATATAAGGGAAAATGCACGAACGTGAAAGTCTTCTATGGCAATCACAAGATATCAAAATCTACCATTTTTTGTAATTGCTCCTTTTGATTTTTAATGGGGAATGAGATAACCAAACTGGCAATATGTATAAATGACAAAATATATGTTAATCTGAAGAGAAATCTGTCATACAATTGTATTGTTATGAAATTTGAATATAATAACAAAAAATGGCACAAATATCAAGCCGGATTATATGCAATCTTAAAATTTATATTTAAATCATTTGTTAATAAATATTTCAATTCTTTGATTAGAATGGCAGGAAGTATCTTTTAAGTAAAAAAAATGTTTTATGAAATATGTCAATGCAACTAATGAAATGATGGTGTGAGTTATGGAATGTGTTAAAATGAATTTCAGTTACTCTAATCAAAACAGTTAACAAACCAGAATTCAGTTACTCTCATCAAAACAGTTACCAAACTATACAAATAAATGATATTATGAGTCTATGACAAAGTTATTAGTTTCATCATAGGTTTTTGTTTTCATTTTAAAGTGAAAAGTATTACAATGATATTTTGCAATTTACGCATAATGACTTCTCCGATAAAAATAAATAAATAAATGGATTGAAAGAGACCATATATGGAGTACCATAATCCACCTTTAAAACTTGATTCACATGCAAAAATCCAAAGAATTTTATATTTTACATCAACCATTTCTAAATACATAAACCATAAACACTGGAAATCAAAGTCATTAAAAAGGTATTTTGCTATCCATTTGATTTCTTCTATTAAAAAGCACTACCATCATATGTTCTCATCAATTATACCCTTATGAAATGGTTCAATGTTTATTTACATGATGCATCAATTGTCTTTTCATGATGAAGTTGAGCTATAATTTGGGTTGGTCATTCCAGACATTTCATAGCCTCGTCCACCTGAACTATTTCCATATTGCCTAGAAATTAACATAATAAAGCATATTTCACTGTCTGACACTTAATATGATAATGTAATTTCATTATTTTATCTACTTTATAAGATGTACAGTTCCTTATTCATTTTTCAAATTCCACATTAAACATATTTATCTTACAAATTGACACTTGTTACATATATTTTTTTTCATTTATACATTTGAAATATGTAATCATAAAGTAACATTCATTATATTCATTTCTACAATTACATATAAATTATATTTGTTTTTGAAATTACAAACTGAACATACTTATTTTTCAAATGAGAAGATTTCTTTTGATATACCAAAAAGTGTAGAATTGGACTAAATGTCTGTAAAATTTATTATGTAAATAACTTACATTCTTTTTAGAAAGATAATAGCAGCCACTATAATTAGAACTATAACTACAGCTCCAGCAACCACTCCGGCAGTGATTCCTCCAGCATTTAATTTATTAGATGTTGGAGATGCTGGTTGTTGGTGTGCTGCCGCTGGATTTAATGGAGGACGTCCACTCACAACAGGATAACCATTGCCATTGGCTGAAATCAAATACAACAGTCAAAAAAATATTTGATGAGAAACGATATACCCAACCATTTTGTTCAATATGAAAATGGTAATGTTTAAGAAAAAACACATTTTACAGGAAAATTAAAGAACTAATTAACATCTAAAGTTCCCGAATTATAAACTGAGCGAACTTCAGTAATATATAAGAACCCCTTTTTTTAAAGTTCATCAGCTATGTGCAAGTTAAGATTAATTTGATTCAGTGGTTATACAGTTATCTTACATGTAGTAAAATTGTGATGACAAGAAATATATGTTACATGTATATATGGAATACCCATCTTCCAATGTTAACCAGTAAAAGTGTGATAACAAGAAATATATGTATACATGTATATATGGAATACAGATCTTCAAATGTTAACCAGTAAAAGTGTGATGACAAGAAATAAATGTATACATTTATATATGGAATACCTATCTTCCAATGTTAACCAGTAAAAGTGTGACAACAAGAAATATATGTATACATGTATATATAGAATACAGATCTTCAAATGTTAACCAGTAAAAGTGTGACGACAAGAAATATATGTATACATGTATATATAGAATACAGATCTTCAAATGTTAACCAGTAAAAGTGTGATGACAAGAAATATATGTATACATGTATATAAGGAATACCCATCTTCCAATGTTAACCAGTAAAAGTGTGATAACAAGAAATATATGTATACATGTATATATGGAATACAGATCTTCAAATGTTAACCAGTAAAAGTGTGATAACAAGAAATATATGTATACATTTATATATGGAATACAGATCTTCCAATGTTAACCAGTATAAGTGTGATGACAAGAAATATATGTATACATGTATATAAGGAATACCCATCTTCCAATGTTAACCAGTAAAAGTGTGATGACAAGAAATATATGTATACATATATATATATGGAATACAGATCTTCAAATGTTAACCAGTAAAAGTGTGATGACAAGAAATATATGTATACATGTATATATGGAATATCTATCTTCCAATGTTAACAGTAACAGGACATGCTGAAATATCTCTCCTGCTTTACTGATTTTATCTTAATTTATGTTGAAAGTCTGCAATGAAGGTCTAACAACATGTATCACAAAAAAATAACATTGATCTATGCTCTATGAAAATGATGTGAAGGGTACATGAAGACCTGTAAATATCACGATCATTCCAAAGTCCTAATGTAGTGGCCCTACTATAATAATGACCAAGAAAATGAATTAATTAAGAAAACTTAACATTGATCAAGGAACCATGATACAGAGGTTAAGGTCTAAATAACTAAGTCAGTCACACATGTTATCCTTATAAACATTCTAAATAAAATATATGTCATTTTTCTATTACATATACTGACTGAGAAAATGACAAATTGTTAACTACTATTAACCACCATTAAAATGAGGTCTAGGTTGTCAGATAAACATGCACACCTTATAATCATTTTATTCATCAAATATAGTTGACCTTCTACTTAATTTATTTAATAAAAACTGACCTAACCACACAACCTAAAGTTGATAAATGAATCATTAAACTGAGGTTAAGGTAAGATAAACACTGACTGATGGGCATGCCACAAAATCCTTCTATAGATGAACAAGAATGCACATGCTGGAACCTCTCGCCTGCTTTAATGATCATGTTTGAAGTCATGTTAAAAGTCTTTTAGATAAAGATTTTACTACTAGTATCATATAAACATAACTTGATCAATGGACAATAAAACTAGGTTTAGTTCAGGTGAACATGTACACCTTAAATCATTCCATAAACCCAATAAAGTAGACCTATTGCTTATAGTTTCTGAGAAACAGATCTAACCACATAAACTTTCCTTTGATCTCTTATCTATGAACTCTGTCAGACCGACATGTAAACCTTACTATCAATCCATATAACAAATATTGTTGATCTATTGCTTATAGTATCTAAGAATCAGATTTGACCAGGAAAAATTAATGATAACTGATCCATGAAATGAGGTTAAGGTTAGATGAACCCTGTCTGAGGGATATGCAGACCTTGCAATATTTTATATACCAACTGATAAAAAATGTGATAAAAAACTAGATTTTTTTAAGCAGTCACTGAACCTTGAAAATGAGGTCAAAGGAAACTTATTACTATTAACTGGAAAGCGGATCCAAACACAAACTCTTAATGTTGATTAATGAAACATGATCTTAAAGTCAAGGTTAATTATTTCAGACAAACTTTACTTATTAGATAAGTATAAAATAAAGAGGTTTTGTCTTCCTGAACTGTGTATAACATTGCTGTATGAAATCTATTGTGAAGGTAAACCACCAACATTAGAGTGTAGGATGGTATGATGTCAGACAGACATGTACATCTTAAATTCAGTGTAGGATGACATGATGTCAGACAGACATGTACATCTTAAATTCAATCTATTGTGAAGGTAAACCACCAACATTAGAGTGTAGGATGGTATGATGTCAGACAGACATGTACATCTTAAATTCAGTATAGGATGGCATGATGTCAGACAGACATGTACATCTTAAATTCAGTGTAGGATGACATGATGTCAGACAGACATGTACATCTTAAATTCAATCTATTGTGAAGGTAAACCACCAACATTAGAATGTAGGATGGTATGATGTCAGACAGACATGTACATCTTAAATTCAGTGTAGGATGGCATGATCTCAGACAGACATGTACATCTTAAATTCAGTGTAGGATGGCATGATGTCAGACAGACATGTACATCTTAAATTCAATCTATTGTGAAGGTAAACCACCAACATTAGAGTGTAGGATGGTATGATGTCAGACAGACATGTACATCTTAAATTCAGTGTAGGATGGCATGATCTCAGACAGACATGTACATCTTAAATTCAATCTATTGTGAAGGTAAACCACCAACATTAGAGTGTAGGGTGGTATGATGTCAGACAGACATGTACATCTTAAATTCAGTGTAGGATTGCATGATCTCAGACAGACATGTACATCTTAAATTCAGTGTAGGATGGTATGATGTCAGACAGACATGTACATCTTAAATTCAATCTATTGTGAAGGTAAACCACCAACATTAGAGTGTAGGATGGCATGATGTCAGACAGACATGTACATCTTAAATTCAGTGTAGGATGGCATGATGTCAGATAGACATGTACATCTTAAATTCAATCTATTGTGAAGGTAAACCACCAACATTAGAGTGTAGGATGGCATGATGTCAGACAGACATTTACATCTAAAATTCAATCTATTCTGAAGGTAAACCACCAGCATTAGAGTGTAGGATGGTATGATGTCAGACAGACATGTACATCTTAAATTCAGTGTAGGATGGCATGATGTCAGACAGACATGTACATCTTAAATTCAATCTATTGTGGAGGTAAACCACTAACAGAGTGTAGGATGGTATGATGTTAGACAGACATGTACATCTTAAATTCAATCTATTCTGAAGGTAAACCACCAATATTAGAGTGTAGGATGGCATGATGTCAGACAGACATTTACATCTAAAATTCAATCTATTGTGGAGGTAAACCACTAACAGAGTGTAGGATGGTATGATGTCAGACAGACATGTACATCTTAAATTCAATCTATTCTGAAGGTAAACCACCAACATTAGAGTATAGGATGGCATGATGTCAGACAGACATGTACATCTTAAATTCAATCTATTCTGAAGGTAAACCACCAATATTAGAGTGTAGGATGGCATGATGTCAGACAGACATTTACATCTAAAATTCAATCTATTGTGGAGGTAAACCACTAACAGAGTGTAGGATGGTATGATGTCAGACAGACATGTACATCTTAAATTCAATCTATTCTGAAGGTAAACCACCAACATTAGAGTGTAGGATGGTATGATGTCAGACAGACATGTACATCTTAAATTCAATTTATTGTGAAGGTAAACCACCAACATAAGAGTATAGGATGGCATGATGTCAGACAGACATGTACATCTTAAATTCAATCTATTGTGAAGGTAAACCACCAACATTAGAGTGTAGGATGGCATGATGTCAGACAGACATGTACATCTTAAATTCAGTGTAGGATGGTATGATGTCAGACAGACATGTACATCTTAAATTCAATCTATTGTGAAGGTAAACCACCAACATTAGAGTGTAGGATGGTATGATGTCAGACAGACATGTACATCTTAAATTCAGTGTAGGATGGCATGATGTCAGACCGACATGTACATCTTAAAATTCAATCTATTCTGAAGGTAAACCACCAACATTAGAGTGTAGGATGGCATGATGTCAGACAGACATGTACATCTTAAATTCAGTGTAGGATGGTATGATGTCAGACACACATGTACATCTTAAATTCAATCTATTGTGAAGGTAAACCACCAACATTAGAGTGTAGGATGGTATGATGTCAGACAGACATGTACATCTTAAATTCAGTGTAGGATGGTATGATGTCAGACAGACATGTACATCTTAAATTCAGTGTAGGATGGCATGATGTCAGACAGACATGTACATCTTAAACTCAATCTATTGTGAAGGTAAACCACCAACATTAGAGTGTAGGATGGCATGATGTCAGACAGACATGTACATCTTAAATTCAGTGTAGGATGGCATGATCTGACAGACAGACATGTACATCTTAAATTCAATCTATTGTGAAGGTAAACCACCAACATTAGAGCGTAGGATGGCATGATGTCAGACAGACATGTACATCTTAAATTCAATCTATTGTGAAGGTAAACCACCAACATTAGAGTGTAGGATGGAATGATGTCAGACAGACATGTACATCTTAAATTCAATCTATTGTGAAAGTAAACCACCAACATTAAAGTGTAGGATGGCATGATGTCAGACAGACATGTACATCTTAAATTCAATCTATTGTGAAGGTAAACCACCAACATTAGAGTGTAGGATGGCATGATGTCAGACAGACATGTACATCTTAAATTCAATCTATTGTGAAGGTAAACCACCAACATTAGAGTGTAGGATGGTATGATGTCAGACAGACATGTACATCTTAAATTCAATCTATTGTGAAAGTAAACCACCAACATTAGAGTGTAGGATGGCATGATGTCAGACAGACATGTACATCTTAAATTCAATCTATTGTGAAGGTAAACCACCAACATTAGAGTGTAGGATGGTATGATGTCAGACAGACATGTACATCTTAAATTCAATCTATTGTGAAGGTAAACCACCAACATTAGAGTGTAGGATGGCATGATGTCAGACAGACATGTACATCTTAAATTCAGTGTAGGATGGTATGATGTCAGACAGACATGTACATCTTAAATTCAGTGTAGGATGGTATGATGTCAGACAGACATGTACATCTTAAATTCAGTGTAGAATGGCATGATGTCAGACAGACATGTACATCTTAAATTCAGTGTAGGATGGTATAATGTCAGACAGACATGTACATCTTAAATTCAGTGTAGGATGGCATGATCTCAGACAGACATGTACATCTTAAATTCAGTGTAGGATGGTATGATGTCAGACAAACATGTACATCTTAAATTCAATCAATTGTGAAGGTAAACCACCAACGTTAGAGTGTAGGATGGTATGATGTCAGGCAGACATGTACATCTTAAATTCAGTGTAGGATGGCATGATCTCAGACAGACATGTACATCTTAAATTCAGTGTAGGATGGCATGATCTCAGACAGACATGTACATCTTAAATTCAATCTATTGTGAAGGTAAACCACCAACATTAGAGTGTAGGATGGTATGATGTCAGACAGACATGTACATCTTAAACTCAATCTATTGTGAAGGTAAACCACCAACATTAGAGTGTAGGATGGTATGATGTCAGACAGACAAGTACATCTTAAATTCAATCTATTCTGAAGGTAAACCACCAGCATTAGAGTGTAGGATGGCATGATGTCAGACAGACATGTACATCTTAAACTCAATCTATTGTGAAGGTAAACCACCAACATTAGAGTGTAGGATGGTATGATGTCAGACAGACATGTACATCTTAAATTCAATCTATTGTGAAGGTAAACCACCAACATTAGAGTGTAGGATGGTATGATGTCAGACAGACATGTACATCTTAAATTCAGTGTAGGATGGCATGATGTCAGACAGACATGTACATCTTAAATTCAATCTATTCTGAAGGTAAACCACCAACATTAGAGTGTAGGATGGTATGATGTCAGGCAGACATGTACATCTTAAATTCAGTGTAGGATGGTATGATGTCAGACAGACATGTACATCTTAAATTCAATCTATTGTGAAGGTAAACCACCAACATTAGAGTGTAGGATGGTATGATGTCAGACAGACATGTACATCTTAAATTCAGTGTAGGATGGCATGATGTCAGACAGACATGTACATCTTAAATTCAGTGTAGGATGGCATGATCTCAGACAGACATGTACATCTTAAATTCAGTGTAGGATGGCATGATGTCAGACAGACATGTACATCTTAAACTCAATCTATTGTGAAGGTAAACCACCAACATTAGAGTGTAGGATGGTATGATGTCAGACAGACATGTACATCTTAAATTCAGTGTAGGATGGCATGATGTCAGACAGACATGTACATCTTAAACTCAATCTATTGTGAAGGTAAACCACCAACATTAGAGTGTAGGATGGTATGATGTCAGGCAGACATGTACATCTTAAATTCAGTGTAGGATGGCATGATCTCAGACAGACATGTACATCTTAAATTCAGTGTAGGATGGCATGATCTCAGACAGACATGTACATCTTAAATTCAATCTATTGTGAAGGTAAACTACCAACATAAGAGTGTAGGATGGTATGATGTCAGACAGACATGTACATCTTAAATTCAATCTATTCTTAAGGTAAACCACCAGCATTAGAGTGTAGGATGGCATGATGTCAGACAGACATGTACATCTTAAACTCAATCTATTGTGAAGGTAAACCACCAACATTAGAGTGTAGGATGGTATGATGTCAGACAGACATGTACATCTTAAATTCAATCTATTGTGAAGGTAAACCACCAACATTAGAGTGTAGGATGGTATGATGTCAGACAGACATGTACATCTTAAATTCAGTGTAGGATGGCATGATGTCAGACAGACATGTACATCTTAAATTCAATCTATTCTGAAGGTAAACCACCAACATTAGAGTGTAGGATGGTATGATGTCAGGCAGACATGTACATCTTAAATTCAGTGTAGGATGGTATGATGTCAGACAGACATGTACATCTTAAATTCAATCTATTGTGAAGGTAAACCACCAACATAAGAGTGTAGGATGGTATGATGTCAGACAGACATGTACATCTTAAATTCAGTGTAGGATGGCATGATGTCAGACAGACATGTACATCTTAAATTCAGTGTAGGATGGCATGATGTCAGACAGACATGTACATCTTAAAGTCAATCTATTGTGAAGGTAAACCACCAACATTAGAGTGTAGGATGGTATGATGTCAGACAGACATGTACATCTTAAATTCAGTGTAGGATGGTATGATGTCAGACAGACATTTACATCTAAAATTCAATCTATTGTGGAGGTAAACCACTAACAGAGTGTAGGATGGTATGATGTCAGACAGACATGTACATCTTAAATTCAGTGTAGGATGGCATGATGTCAGACAGACATGTACATCTTAAATTCAATCTATTGTGAAGGTAAACCACCAACATTAGAGTGTAGGATGGTATGATGTCAGACAGACATGTACATCTTAAATTCAATCTATTGTGAAGGTAAACCACCAACATTAGAGTGTAGGATGGTAAGATGTCAGACAGACATGTACATCTTAAATTCAGTGTAGGATGGCATGATGTCAGGCAGACATGTACATCTTAAATTCAGTGTAGGATGGCATGATCTCAGACAGACATGTACATCTTAAATTCAGTGTAGGATGGCATGATGTCAGACAGACATGTACATCTTAAATTCAATCTATTGTGAAGGTAAACCACCAACATTAGAGTGTAGGATGGTATGATGTCAGACAGACATGTACATCTTAAATTCAATCTATTGTGAAGGTAAACCACCAACATGAGAGTATAGGGTGGTATGATGTCAGACAGACATGTACATCTTAAATTCAGTGTAGGATGGCATGATGTCAGACAGACATGTACATCTTAAATTCAATCTATTGTGAAGGTAAACCACCAACATTAGAGTGTAGGATGGTATGATGTCAGGCAGACATGTACATCTTAAATTCAGTGTAGGATGACATGATGTCAGACAGACATGTACATCTTAAATTCAATCTATTGTGAAGGTAAACCACCAACATTAGAGTGTAGGATGGTATGATGTCAGGCAGACATGTACATCTTAAATTCAGTGTAGGATGGCATGATCTCAGACAGACATGTACATCTTAAATTCAATCTATTGTGAAGGTAAACCACCAACATTAGAGTGTAGGATGGTATGATGTCAGGTAGACATGTACATCTTAAATTCAGTGTAGGATGACATGATGTCAGACAGACATGTACATCTTAAATTCAATCTATTGTGAAGGTAAACCACCAACATTAGAGTGTAGGATGGTATGATGTCAGACAGACATGTACATCTTAAATTCAGTGTAGGATGACATGATGTCAGACAGACATGTACATCTTAAATTCAATCTATTGTGAAGGTAAACCACCAACATTAGAGTGTAGGATGGTATGATGTCAGACAGACATGTACATCTTAAATTCAGTGTAGGATGGCATGATCTCAGACAGACATGTACATCTTAAATTCAGTGTAGGATGGCATGATGTCAGACAGACATGTACATCTTAAACTCAATCTATAAAACAATAAAGTTCACTTTACTTGTACATGTATATTAATAAAAATCTGACCTAATCATGATCACTTAGATTTGAGCAAAGAACCATAAAGAAACACCCAACGATGATTGTAAACCCATTAGTTCAAAATAGTGCAGTGGTTTCAGAGTAGTTTTACATATATCAAAAATGATTGCAATGAAAGACTAGTGATGTCAATAACTTACACTGTACATAAGTCCAAATCTGAATTACTTTTTAGGTCCAATCTGTCAAGATATCTTTTACTAAAGTATCCTAAAAGTTCAAACAATTTCTGCACAAAAATATGAGCACAGAGATGTTAATTTAGCCTATGTAACAACAGAAAAAGAAAAAAAAATTGCTTCATTCCTGTCTAAAATGTATTACTTACCAGGCATACAAGATAACAGCTGTCCTGTCCACTGTCCAGAGGAAGTACACATTCTACTTCCTGTGCCATATGCAGCCTGATATCCAGGGTTACAGCTCTGGGTACAGACTGTGTTTACTTTATATGGAGACTGACAACTTAGTTTTCCATTAGCTGGAGTTAATGGGTTAGGGCAAGTCATGGCTGTCAAAAATAAAACAAATATTACAAAATAATCACAACTCCTATGATCACCAGTATATTGACAATTTCAACTTGCTTGTATTGCTATAGAAGTATTATTATAATTGTGGATCCAAACAATCTTTTTTAATTGCTCTTACTCTTTAATGTGACCTGCTTGACAGAGAAGAAGCAGATAAAGTCTTCTCAAATCAAAAATGTAAATTAAAACAAGAAATGATTGTAACAGGATGCTGTTACGAAGTCTCCCAAACAAAGCTCCCATAATTCGTAATTCCCAGGGTCGCCTGACATTGGACAAAGTCCAGTGAAAATTGGTTTGGTCCAGTAAAGTTATATGCATAAGTGATGCCTGGGGACTAACCCTGTATATCATTCAAATCATCTTGGCATGACAAACCAGAATATATATGGTTTAGGGGTGGGGATCTCGACCATTTACAAAATACTAGAACATTGGGGGTGGGGGGAACCCCTGGGGACTGACCCTAAATGTCATTCAAATGTTCAAGACATGACAAACAGGAATATATATGGTTAAGGGGTGGGGATCACCACCATTTACAAGATATTAGAACTTTCTCAAATGACAAGGGGTCGGGATGACCCCTGGGGACTAACCCTGTATATCATTCAAACCATCTTGGTATGACAAACCAGAATATATATGGTTTAGGGGTGGGGATCTTGACCATTTACATGATATTAGAACATTCTTAAATAGCAGGGGGAGGGGATGACCCCTAGGGACTAACCCTGTATATCATTAAAACCATCTTCGCATGACAAACCAGAATATATATGGTTTAGGGGTGGGGATCTTGACCACTTACAAGTTATTAGAACTTTCTTAAATGGCTGGGGGTGGGGGTGACCCCTGGGGACTAACCCTGTATTTCATTTAATGTGCTTTATCATTTAGAACATTTTCAATTAAAAAGATTGTGTCTATCACAAACGGTTTTCAATTTATAATCATTTGAAAATTTTAAAAAATAAAATCCCATAGGGTTCTATAGTAAAACCCTCCTTTCTTATTGCCCCTCAAAGTACCCCTTTATAAACCCCATTGCACAAACAAACCCCTGATTGCACCACTAGACATGTTAGTCTAACATATTGTGAAACCCTAAGTTAATCTGACAAGCGGTTTTGGAGAACGGGTGCGGACAAGTTCAAATTTAAAAGTGGCGGAAGAAGAAGAAGAAGAAGAACTGAGCAAAACCAATAAGTCTTCCCAAACTTCGTTTGGGAGACTTAATAAGCATACTAAGGTTAATACACAACATAATATAAATCAGATAGTTCTAGTCCCATTACTCTGGAATGACATATCCAAACATTTCCAAAGTCGAAACATAACTTAGAAATTCCAATCCTAATCAATGTGTGAAAGTTCAAGAAAATTTGACCTTTAAAGACCTTTGACTCTTGAACAACAAACAAGGCAATTTCCAAAACCAAAAGGAAGCTTAATTTTACCACTCCCAACAAAACACTAACGTTTCAAGTAAATAGATCCAATTATACTCCAGTCAGTGCATGATATGTGAAAAATTGCCATAAATGTGACAATTAAAATCCTATAACTCTTAAACAACAACCAAAACATTTTTAAAATTGCAAAGAATTATTTCACCAATTAAAATATTCCATACAAGATGAATGAAATTTGATTAATATATTCTCTTTCTGTGATTAGACAGAATGAAGGAAATAAGAATACCATAGCACATCAATTTCTTGACAGACATAATAAAAAGTGTTAATTCTTATGAAATTGTTTTTGTGATCAACAATATACACAACTTTTGTCATAGAATAGAAATTCCTTTATTATATTAGTTCCAAATGGAAGAAATATTCTGGAATACTATTTCCACTGAGAAAAATATTATAGAATTTGTTCCTTACAGATTAAAGTGTTTATAAAACTTGTTCCATTAGATATTATAGCATTGTTCATAACAAATTTTTCAAAGGAAATTCTGTTAAGAGGAACAAATATATGTTAACACTTTGTTTGTATTATCTAATAAATATATTTGAGCTCTTTGAAAGGTAATTTTTTTTCAACCTTTCTGTACTGTAGAGTTGAATAAATCAAAGTACTGAAGTACTGAACATCGGATGACCGCAGGTTCTTGTGGATGGTCAAAAGCACATGTCACAGAAATAGATCACATCTCTATACCTGAAACTGAGGTTAATTTACAGAGATATATTTTTTTCTGATACAAGTTCGTGCATGGATGATGAATAAATGACAGGAAATTCAACCGCACCGTAATAACTATTATATTGTAGTGATACAAATCAGTATACCTGGGACTATTATACTAATATGATAATAGTGTCAGAGTATACACGTCTGGTTTGTTGTTATTTATTATATTAATATTACGGTTGCATGTATATATAATTTTCATCTATTTATATATCATTCTATTCTACTATTCTAATTATAGTGCAGTGCAAGTGCATGGTGGACACTCTTCTGTAAAAAAATCGATTTTTCTAAAAGATTGGATATGAGAAGCCATTCATATTTTCCCGCAAAACAATAAACAGCCTATTATTTACACTTGGAATTATTTTTAATTATGGAATTTGCATAATTTCTTGTGTTTGAAATTTTTAATAAATTCCATGTTTATTTGGACTTTAATGTTCTGTGCTGCGCACAACACTTTCTATTACAAAGAAGATAGTACATTTTCAATAGAATGTACTGTGCCGCGCACAACACTATCTATACAAAATACATTGTATGAGAAGTGTTATAAACTGCTCAAAACATTATAATACCAAATAAACATGGAATTTATTAAAAATTTCAAGCACAAGAAATTATGCAAATTCCATAATTGAAAATAATTCCAAGTTCAAATAATAGCCTGTTAATAACAGAGTTATCGGTCCTTGCCTGGAGTGTCGCAAAACGTTCTTGAGATATTCTTCCGTAAGCTTTAACACAATTTTTCGGTACGTGTGCATTTATATCATCAATGATTTTTTACTTTTATATATATATAACTAACGACAACACATTTTCATATTATTAATTTGTGTTTTAATAAAAATATTTATAGGAGTATCCATTGAAAAAATGAATTTGAAACAAGCGATAAGTAATGTTATTTTGCACTAGATAAGTGACCGCGGATCTATAATTTTTATAGATCGGTTGAAAACCCAAAACTAATTTGCATAATGGATATTTAGGCGATAGCAATACATCGATATGACCTCACGGTCATCGCGATGTAAAAAGTAATTTTCATTTCATTTAATATCATTATGATTTTATAAAATTTTGCTTTAAAGTGTATTTGCCTACATGTTAGTCATTTTGAACAAGTAAGTTTTTGCATTTATATGATAGTGAAAGGTGCTGTAGAAAATGTTCAAAGACTGTACTTTAGCAAACTAATAATGTCTTTGCTAACAGTAATAACAGTCAATATTTGGATCTTATTTAACTACCTTGACACTGGAGATTGTTAGGTGACCAGAATGCTTTGTTTGTAGCATCAGTTTGGCAGACGACAGCTCCTGAACCACCAATTAACTGGTACCCTTGTAAACATCCCACCTGACATTGAGCTCCATAATAGTTAGGACAGAGTGGTGTGACAATAATACCATTACTTGGTGCCTTCAGCTGAGGACATTTCAAAACTGAAAAAAATTTATTTGAATATAAATTTTTACACATAACACAATTTTGTTATTATAGTCACCATGTAAAGTTAATTCTTTAATACTACAATAATTTGTGTATATTTCTATATACATTTGTCTCACACAGTTTAGAATTTTTATTTCCAAATAGGATATACGTGTGCTTTTAAGGGACATGTTCCATTTTCTTTATAGGATCACATTATATCAAAGGTTATTTATTTCAAAACTAAAAGATATATATCATTCAAAAGCCAGTAAATGAACAAGTCAAATCAAACTATTCTTTGATTTATATGGAAAATCTCTACAGTTCATTCATACGGAAAGTGTCTGCAGTTCATGATAATGGAAAGTCAGGGGGGAGGGGGTTTCTTTCTATAAAGGTATACACTGATGTGCTGCTAGTATGGGTAACTTTTTTGGAATGTTAAATATATCAATGGGATGCTATTTCATGGAGGTGATATACCAATGGCATTTATTTCATTTATTGATAAATGACATTTATATGTCAATGGGTCATAAATGTCCATCTTCTGTTAAGACGTCTGTAAAAACTGTGTTCTGATCTATTTATCTATTAATTCAAATGATCCCATGTCACGATAACTCGGAAATATGTAAATTTTGTTTGTCATTTTCCAATGAAATATATGAATGGGTATGCGTTTTTGCAAAAATCAATATATGAATGGGGGTGATTTTCAAACCACAGTTGGACATATGTTTTCACAAAAAATTTTCATATCATTAGGGCCAAAATTGACAGTTAGTGAGCCAACTCTATTGAATTTTTTAAGTTAAACTTTTTATTAGATAAGTTGAGAACTGTCAAACTACTTGTTGTGAGATAAAACAGGATTTATATACTTATAATAGTAACAGAAGAAATAAAACATTTACTTTTTACAATGATGTTGAATGTACATGAAGCTGATTGTCCATTAACATCAGATGCCCATACATTGACTGTGTAAGTTCCTTCTCCTAGCGTTACTGGTGACTGCAGTGACTGGGATACACGTACTGCTTTACCCGAGTTATCTATAGGATTTGGTGGATTCCACTTCACTGTGGCTGTCTGAGATCCTTGATCAGCTACTGCTGATATGTCTAGCGGACAACTCAACAACGGAGCCTGGATATCTGTAAACAAGCAATGGAAATAAGGAATAAATTATTAACAATGTCATCATAGTAACCTGGTGTTATTGCTGAAACATCAGAATCACCATAGCTGGGCAATCATGTTTGGGTATCTATAAACACAAAAACAAGTTGATCTAGTCAGTAATTGCCGATTCAGCTAACAACAATAATACCTAGGTATCAAATGACATGTAGCTAACTTAATAACATACAGTGTACTAAATACTAACAATTGTCTTATATACTCTACTTCATTCTACAATATAATAAACATGCCAGGAATATATTTCAAAAATAATTCATGATATCCCATGCCACTTTCCTCTTATTGGTATATATACTACTAGGTCCTCATTTTAAACCCTTCTCCTTGTAATGCAACACAGTAAGTTAAGCTTGATATATTCAACTACTACAATAGATATAAAAAGGTAAAAAATGAATGATCTTAGTTTTGATAAAGACTAAACCAAACCTGATATAACTATTACCGGTATTTATTACTTTTTGTCTAATATCAGCCAAAAAAACATGGCTCACATTTTTAGGTGGTAAATTCATAGAAGTCAACCCTTGGCCAAATATTTCCTGAGGGGTAAACCAGTCAGTTCCTGAGGGGTAAATCTGGATGCCTTCTGAAAATGTTGGCCATAATTGTACCGGTATATTGTCGTTTTTAAAAAACACAAGAGTGCATTTTCTACTCCTTTCCTGGTCTGTCAAAAATTACCCACCTCTACAGAAATAATATGCTACATTTCCACTCCACTGTCCATTCGAACCACATGTGACTCTGGACTGACCATAAAGACTGTATCCTGTCCTACACACAACTGTACAGTTGCTACCTGGAGGAGATGGTCCAGAAGAACAGTTTTTGGGATTTACCATTGCATTTTCTGGTAGTGTAAAACTGGGACATGATTTAGCTATAAAATAATAGAAAAAAACATGTTACATATTCTAGACTCTCCTTACCATTGTCCAGTAATAAAATTTTAATATGTATGTGATCATTGTGTTAGTTTGTGTTACTTAAAGAGTGGTCATTTCTCAGCTAATTTACTATGAAGTTGAATGTGATAGTGATATCAATGTGATGCATTTATGTTTTATCACATGAAATAGTAGATTCTGAGTAACAATACATTCGCTCAATAACAATTTTGGAACTGACCTGATCAACATCAGACACAAGACAATGGACTGTACTGATCAGCAAATTTACTTGTTGCAGTTCATTTTGCTAATCCAGGACTTCTGCAGGCACTTTTCTATTTTGTTTCAAATTTAAAAATTTTGAGTTTTTACCCTAGCAGTATATCAAGGGATTCACATTTTTTTTTGGTCAAGTTAAATGTAAAGTTCTATCAGTTAAGTTTTTTTATTATATCTTTGTTTCAGTTATTTCCCGTTTTTCAATAATATTGTTTTACTATGAAAAAAACACAACTGGGACTGCAAACTGACAATTCTTTTGCTATTTAATTTCCCCTGATATAATCTTTGAAATGTTGCCACAGTGTAACAAACCTTGTGATGGTTTTTCCAGTGTTGGTATAACTGTGAGCACCACTCTCTGCTCAGTCCCTCCTCCAAATTTGGTCCCTACACTAAGCATTGAAGAGCTGGATCAATAATAAAAGCAGGAATCATGAATTTGCATATCTTTATCATAATTGGCAAATGGAGATAAATGCATTTTGGCCCATGAACACCCATAATGGCTAAACACTCAATAAAATTTTCTTACCTGTGCTACATGTAAGTCCATCAGGTTGAAGACTTAATGTTGATGGACAAGCACATTTCTTACTCTGTAAAGGACCAGGAAAACACAAATGGGAACAACCAGAATTAGAAGAGCAGCCATTTTGACCTAAAAATAAATGAAATCTCATACTAAGTAAAGTAAATGCTCTGCACTTTTTTAATATTTTTTTTTTAACTTTTTACATGTAACATTAGCATATACAAATACATGCCAATATTTCCTTTTTGTCTTTCTGACTGATTGATCTTATGGATTTTGTAACCTTAATCAACATTTGATGACTGATTGATCTTATGGATTAAGTAACCTTTATCAAGGTTTGATGACTGATTGATCTTATGGATTTAGTAACCTTAATCAACGTTTGATGACTGATTGATCTTATGGATTTAGTATCCTTAATCAACATTTGATGACTGATTGATCTTATGGATTTTGTAACCTCAATCAATGTTTGATGACTGATTGATCTTATGGATTTAGTAACCTTAATCAACGTTTGATGACTGATTGATCTTATGGATTTAGTAACTTTAATCAACGTTCGATGACTGATTGATGTTATGGATTTAGTAACCTTAATCAACGTTTGATGACCGATTGATCTTATGGATTTAGTATCCTTAATCAATGTTCGATGACTGATTGATCTTATGGATTTAGTAACCTTAATCAACGTTTGATGACTGATTGATCTTATGGATTTAGTATCCTTAATCAACATTTGATGACTGATTGATCTTATGGATTTTGTAACCTAATCAACATTTGATGACTGATTGATCTTATGGATTTAGTATCCTTAATCAACGTTCGATGACTGATTGATGTAATGGATTTAGTAACCTTAATCAACATTTGATGACTGATTGATCTTATGGATTTAGTAACCTTAATCAACGTTTGATGACTGATTGATCTTATGGATTTAGTAACCTTAATCAACGTTTGATGACTGATTGATCTTATGGATTTAGTATCCTTAATCAACGTTTAATCACTGATTGATCTCAAATAGCAACTTCTGTTATTCTGAAATGTATAATACCTGAACATATTCTGGGAAGAAAAATTTTTTTCAGGTTGTTTGGCTTGTGATAAAACAAATGACCTGCAGACCCTTTTTTTAAGTAGGTAACACTAAAATACATATCTTTTTTCTTGCTAAATGAATTGCACCTTCCAGGTTTATAAAATAAGAACAAGCAGGAGAAGTTGCACTCATTGTCCTGCTACACACACCCCCATTTGTAATTTAAATAATGGGAAAACAGGAATTAGGTGTCTGACAGGTATGAAAATAACTCATCACTGTCAAGCTGCTGATCAAATATGAAGTCATTCCATTAAGTAATTCCTGAGAAAAGTGAGATGAAAATATTTGTTAGACGAACAGATTGGTGACAAGGTGATTACAATATAACTCTATTAAGAGTGGGGGGGGGTATACAAATTGTATCCTATATATTCAGAAATATTTGATGTGCATTTATCATTGCATTTGTTAAACAATAAACAAAAATGTCATAATAGTTATTAAGATTCAAGGACATGCTGTATACAAATAATGCTATCAAATTATAAAATGTAAGATTTCATTTTTGAAAAACCTATCATGTCACAATAATCTAATGATACATTAGAAGAACTATTTTCACTACTAGGCCACAGAAACCCCAAATAGAAAAACATAAAACTGGTCAGTTTTGTTAACAATTTCTTAGACCAAATGCAGAAGGCATACAAAGTATAAACCTATCTTATTTTTATATACCTGTTATACCATAACCATTTTTATGGAAAGCCAATCCATTCAATCTCCCAAAAGTAGGTGGACCAACTGTTCCAGCATTAGTACCAGCGCTTAGGCCAATTGTCCTTACGGACCTAAAGCAAGTTGTCACATAATCAGTTCAAGCAAACATGTCAAATCTTGTACAAATTGTTGATCAGGACATAAATTGCAGTTGACATCAATTAATCAATATACTTATTGTCATTATATTGTTAGTAATTCTTACTGAAATCCTTGAAGTATCTGATTGTATTCTTGTATCACTTTTAAGATATCTTTTTCCAAATATTTCTTTCATTTCAAAGATGAAAGGATAGGCATTTGTTAAATAAAAGATGAAAAACTCAGTATTATATATATAAGATTTTATTTCACTGCAAAATTAAGGAATATGACTGTTACTATGATTACCATATTCAATATCAATGGATTTAATCAAACAATTGCATCTGTATCTACTTACTTGGCTGCCCAGTCAGTAAAATAAATGGTGTTTTGGTATTTAGCTAGATCAAAATAATGAGGATGGGGAGATTTTCGAGATTCATCTAGTAATGTTGTTCGTCCAGTTCCATCTAAATTTGCTGATTCCAGTTTGTAAGTTTTCCCATCAATCCAATATATTTTACCAGCTGGAAAAGAGGAAAACAGACCATGTCAAACATTTTGTTGTTTTTGTGGTACACATATATCAGATAAAAATTCAGGACCGAAATACACAAGTTGAGGCTGTTGTACCAATATGCATCAAAATAAACAATGAATTTGCATAGTCCATTAAACTCTTTCATCTTGGAATTTCTTTACATCTAAATAAAGCATACGTGCCTTGGTATTAGGTCGTTCTGGCCCTAAATTTATCCGGCCCCAAGATGATCCGGCCCAAAGTCGATCCGCCCCAAGTAGATCCGGCCCATAATAATGAATAATTTTAAATCGATACGAAAAATGAGTATGATTGGTACTGTTTGTAAAGCAGCATCAGCATGTAAATATCGTCTTGGTACCTGTTTTGACGCGGACCAGAAATGACGCACCGATTTAGTTAACGGTTTTATATTTCTAAACAAAAGCCGTGACGTCATCAACATTTGCTGTTCAAAACATGATGTTGAAGGTCATCTGACTACAACAAAGATGCCTAAAACTCTGCCCAGAAATGTTATTATTGCTTAAGATATTAAAGACGATGCAATTTCCGCCATTTTATTAAGGTCAAAAAAATTCTACCCTTCCCCGAAAGATTATCATTCCTATCTCCACTTTGGTCAAGAAAAGTATGTAACCGTAGGCTTCGCCATTTTGTGTTTTTCAAATCACGTGACTGTCATGTGATATGGCTTTACATTTAAGCGGGAATCACTGTAGAAAAAATGATCGTCGCTTATACCATTTTCTATGGTTTATCGATTTTTTTTCATTCAATGTATGAAGTATACATATGTACATTGATAAATGTATTATTGTCAATGTTGTTTAATGAATGCAATTACTTTTTATTTTCAAATATATGGAATATGTTTATCACTTTCATAAATTTTGGACAATTATATATCAAAATATAGGTTACAATTAAATTGATTAAAAATTTGGTGTTACAATCATCATGATCATTAAAGTGAATGAAAATTTCAAAAGTTGTTAATAAAATTGAATCTGTTGAACAGTTTTAACTTTAAAGAATCCGGATTGAAGCAATTTTTCGATTATCAGTTACGTACAAGTGGTTTCTACTGGTTTGTTTATAGTGCGTCATTACTGGTACCCATCATTAGTTGGCAGTCCGTTTGTTATGTTAGCAAACATGATTTTTATTGCTATTACTGTTTCAAATATCAACTGTTTAATAATTGAAATATAATAACAAGTTATCAATCTTTTATTCCATTCCGTTTTTCTAATTCTTTTAAATGGTAGATTAAATGCAGAGACAAAAACAACCTTAGGTGCGTCATTACTGGTTCCTCGGGGATATGAAGTTATTTTCCATGATAACTTGGAATATCACAGGGAAAAAAGTTTTTATTTAATTCACACATAGAAGAGATAAATCCAATGGATCATATTATTATGTAATCATCATAATGACTTGTTTAATTCAAACCATTAGTATATAATTAACGTCAGTCGTAATCACATAATTTAATCAAAATCATGATTGATAAAATTTACTTAAGCATCAAGGTCTTTTATTTGAAGTTCAAATAACTAATTGTTATATTTTTTTTAGATAACATGAAGAAGAAATGTACTATTATTTCTTTTCACCACTCTCTTCTTTGTGGTTTTTTTTTTGTACCATCGAATTGTGATATTAAAAGAAAAAAACCCATTTCTTCTCCTCTTTTATAGAAAGGATTCGGCAACCAAACAAAATTTTTCAATTTGAGAAGTTTTTATAACTTTAAACAAAAACAAACATAATTTGACAAACCTGCATACCAAGGTATCCACTTCAGGGACTCTATTGAAATGATTCACACAGGCGTTGGTTCACCAAACGGAGTTTAATTTAAAAACAAAGTTTGTATACATCAGCTTGTACGGTTGTGTATGTAACTATTTGTTATTACACCCATTGAAAGACTTGTTAATATCACAGTCAATTGAAAAATGCTAATTACTGCTGATTAATGTCGAAGGTACTAAATTCTGTTATATAAGTTTTTATTATAATTATGCATACCCAATAGTCTTGAAAACATAATTGTTTTATACTGCATAATCATCTGTATTCATTTAAGGTGTTAATTTGATTTAAATTCAAATATTTTATATAAAAATAATATTATATTCTGAATGTGAAATCTTAATATAAATTTTAAAAAAATATTCAAATAAATGTCTCATCTTATGAAAATTTAATATTCAAAGATCCTTGAAAGGCCAACTTTTTTACTGTCCACCTTTTATTTTATTATATCAAAATTCATAACTATTTATGAATTACACTGAATTCATATATATCTTTTTTTTATTCCTTATAAATATTTTTTATATTGGGGCCGGAACAACTTGGGCCGGATCGACTTGGGACGGAACAACTTGATACGGATGGACTTGGGGCCGGATCGACATGAAAGCCGTGCCTCAAGGTAGATCAGGTGTCTTTTTCAGAGCATCCCTTCTGTGCATGTTGCAAAAATACTTTAAAAATATTTTACCAAGTATCATCCAATATACAACAAAAACATCTAAAACTTCTTGAAATTTTAAGAATAAACTATCAAAAAAGAATCCATGACAAATCGCCCCACTGGCAAATCGCCCCACACATAATCGCCCCACTCATAATCGCCCCACTTTTTCACCAACTCGCCCCACTTTCTTAAAAATCGCCCCACTTTTGTTTACCAACTCGCCCCACTTATGAAAAGGATAAAATCCCATTGAAAATAGGTTGGATATATTGCTCCATTTATGAAAAGGGAAAAAAATCCCTCTGATATAAGGTCTGCCAACTCGCCCCACTTGTGAAAAATAGATAAATCCTGATGAATTTAGTGATGCCAACTCGACCCACTTATGAAAAATAGAAAATACCTGATGAATCAAGTTGAGTCATGCCAACTCAATGTCAATAATAATGATTTAGTAAATTTTCGTTTTTTTGTATTCTGTGTATAAGATTTTTTCAGTTAAGTGGGGCGAGTTGGCAGACCTGAAATTATATATTCATCTATAGGTTTACATTATTTCATTAAGTGGGGCGAATTTGCAGGAGAAAAATTAACGGGATTTGGGATTTAACCCTTTTCACAAGTGGGGCGATTTTTTTTAAAAGTGGGGCGAGTTGGTAAACCACTTTGGGGCGATTTTTTAAAAGTGGGGCGAGTTGGTGAAAAAAAGGGGCGATTTGGTGTGGGGCGATTTGCCAGTGGGGCGATTTGTCCTGCTTCCATCAAAAAACAGTGTTCTTAAGTGCATTTAAATGTTCAGAAAAAAAATCCTTATAAAATCAAGGGCAGATAACTATATTGAATTTGATAGGACAACTTGTATTATTTTTTTATTTTCAAGAAAATAAGGCCTGTGACCCAAGGATCCGGAAATTTTTTCACACAATTCCGGTCATTTCAGATGACTTAAAAGTAAGTGCCCTTTATCAAATTGTTGATATCACACTAGATATTCATAGCATCAAAAAACTTGTATTGACTGTTTCATCGCATTTACTTCGTGAATTTTCTTACCATTTTTCTAAAAACGTTCAAGAACAGTTTAGGGAAGGCAACAGTTTAAAATTGAAATGATTTTAATGACTCAAAATGATTATTTCTCAGACATCGCTAACGTTCATGATTTCTTCTAATTTTGAAGATGAAATTAAAACCGGAAGTTTTGGGACAATGCTAAAGTACGAGTAATGCCGGATTCATTTCCAGGATTCGTTTTGTTTATCAAATTGATAGGAAATCACTGGCTTTTTAATTTTATTACCTTTGAAAGTGTTTGAATATAACAGATAATAGTTGCACTCATTTAATTTAGCATGAAATCATTTTGCATTTTACGATTAAGTGTCTAATCTGCTGAAGACAATTTCACGCATGCGTATTACATAGTAAATAAAGCACATGTGTTACTCGTGAAAAATTACTTTTTTCTACGTAAATTAAATTAAGTTTTAATTTTCAAATCAGAATAATTGATTGTCTTTGCTGAAAACTAATTGAATAATAAATACAGATGTCATGGAATTTTAATTTCTTTATGATATTAGTTCTAAACTTGTAATCAATGTCAGGTGTGAATTAAAAACACAGGTTAAAAGTGATTAGCGATCATTAGCCAATATTTCCCGGAGGCATTAATATAGTTATCAGGAGGGTCCTCAAGATTATCAAACTATACTGGAGTGGCAGTTTTATTACAGGAAAGGGATTGTACAACAAAAGCAAGTGCAAAATGGCGATCAAGAAACCTGATCTCAATGAAATGACCGAAATCATTTCTGTAAAAAAATAAAATTTGTCCTAAATCCCAATTTTTTGTTTAGGACAAATAGCTTTCAGTTTAGGTCATTACCGGCAAATATGAATGTTTCCAGACCCTTGCTATGACCCTCTATTTTCATTAGGTATTTTGGAAGTTTCTTTCATTGAATTTTAACCAATTCTATCATTAAATGTTTCCTCAATAAGGAAAACCATATAAAATAACTTTGATTTCCTTAATTTCAATGCATTTTAATGGGGGGAAAAAAGTCTGTGGTCCCCAGTTTTTATATTGAAATTTGAAAGAACATTGACCCATAAGTCTTTTACAGAAGCTTAAGAAAAATCTATTGTCGACATTTAGACACCCCAGCTACCTTAACGTTACAATATTGACAAATTCTCTTGAATACAGATTCCTAAAAAAAATTACAAGTAAATACAGTATTTATCATATCTAAAATTATCTACAAAGATGAATATTTACCACTTGTATCTAAGGCTAATCCATTAGGCCAACCAAGAGATGAATTTACCAGGATTTGTCTATTAGAACCATCATAATTTGCCTTTTCAATCTTTGGACTTGAACCCCAATCAGTCCAGTACATCACACTGTAACACAAACATACATTTGCAATTAAGGATTATGATTTTATACGATTAAATTAAAAATCTTTTTCAATTCATATTTTCAATTACATACAATTCAATTTTGGTTGAGAAAGTGCCTAGGAATATATCAAATATCAACATAAAACATAAAACATTACAAAAGTATAAAACAAAAGCAGACATGTTGTTACCATACTAAAATCATAAAATCTAAAATAATTATTGATACATAATCTGGAATGCCCATGAAAGCATAACTACTTCTTTCCCATGGGGTTCATTCATGTTATATTCTTAAAAATATTAAAATAAAGAAATCATGACTTTGGCAGGTTTTATACTAATTATGCTACAAATAATTGACTACAACATTCAAGCATTCAAAATATAAAAATTTGCTATCAAAATTGTTGCTTTAGTTTCTTTTCTGACAGAAAAACCCTGGTTAAGCACTAACTTTTGCATAAGAATTACAATCAAATGCTAGAAGATAAAAACTCTTTTATTTCTTAATCAAAACCTCAAGTCCTGGAGTCGGTTTCACAAAAAAACTTAAGACTAAGATTGATCTTAAGTCATGAACAATTCAGTATACTTACGATCAATCTTAGTCGTAAGTTTTTTAGTGACACTGACTCCTGTATAATATGTTTTCTATATCCTCAATACTGTGGATTCATTAATTTTCGTTGGATACCAATTTTGTAGTTTTCGTGCGCACTCAAACCACGAATTTAAGTATCCAACAATAGGCATATTTTACATTGCGTTAATACTGAAAACCAACAAAACCATAAATTTAAGTATCCTAGAAACATCAAATTTTCCTTGAACCACAAAAATTTAATCCCACGAAAATAAATGAATTCACAGTACATGGTATAATCTGAATGTAGTCTAAGACTAATATTAAATATAGAACTAATATTACACTAGATTACAGATGTCTATTTTACCTTTTTTCACGCTTTTATAGAATCTGCTTACATCTTCTAGAATCAATCAAACAGCAAGTGTTTTTCACAAATAAACTGGTTAGTTTTATTCTGACATTGAGAAATTGGCATAAAATTCAGACATTCCTATTTAAGAAACTGAAATACACCATACTCATTTATAGAAACAAGACAGAGAGCCCTAGGTTGATCTAGTCCTTGGCTACATATCCATTTATAGTATCAAGACAGATAACCCTAGGTTGATCTAGTCCTTAGCTACATACCCATTTATAGTATCAAGACAGAGAGCTCTAGGTTGATCTAGTCCTTGGCTACATATCCATTTATAGTATCAAGACAGATAACCCTAGGTTGATCTAGTCCTTGGCTACATACCCATTTATAGTATCAAGACAGAGAGCCCTAGGTTGATCTAGTCCTTGGCTACATACCCATTTATAGTATCAAGACAGAGAGCCCTAGGTTGATCTAGTCCATGGCTACATACCCATTTATAGTATCAAGACAGATAGCCCTAGGTTGATCTAGTCCTTGGCTAACTACAACTCTACTAGCACTTCCATCAGCTCTCATGGCAACAATAACATCATATCCTGTATCAGTGTAAAACACCAGCTGTGATATTGGGTCTACTGCTATACCATCAGGAATAGAACCTGTAATAAAATGTTTTATGTTTTTGTGGGAGTTCAAAACAAAAATGGTAATCTAATTCCATCAGAAACTGTTGAAAATTAAAATAAATTAAGACTTCATTAATAATTTTCTTCCCTTAATCCAATTAAAATTAATTGATAGATTTTCATCCCTGCCCGCCCCTCTGAAATCGTCCCGCCCCGATTTTTTTTTATTTTAAAAAAATTACGACTCCCGGATTTTGTTCATTTCCGTTACCGATAATTTTGTTTCATTCAAAACTTCCTGTTTCAAATTTCGGTTTTCGTATTTCTTTGAGTAATTTAACCAAAATGATTAAGTCGACATATTCTGCTGCTCTGTGATGACAAAAATATCTACCGAGAATAGAGATTGATTACGAGAAGGGCATGAAATATTTTGGTTACGAGTAATACCCTGTGTCCAAGAACATAAACTGTGGATTTTTTTATCTATACAATGACTTTGTGTCAGGAAATTTGGACTTTGAATGATATCCAAAGCGCAAGAATCGTTGAACACATTGGTACAAAATACATGACTGGAATAAAAGAAATTGACACAAGCACGAACTTGAAAAATGTGAATTTTTAGTGGTTCCCAAGGATAATAAACCCGGCAAATAGTAAAAAAACCCTGTGTATTGAGTACAAAAAGTCGGCCAACATACAAAAATGTATTATAGCAAGCCCTTAGGTTTACCCAAGGCTGCCGTTTTTTGTTGACAAACAGCAAACACCCTCTGTCCCAATACGCTCAATAAAGTCATTAAACAACTTCTTCTTTTTGGTTAAGTTCATGTTTTACATTGTAATTATATTTTCATATTGCATAAGAATCTTGATAGCACCAACCCTATTATTTTCAACACTGAGTTTTCATTTTACTCTGTACTCATAATACTTGTGTTGCATACCAATGCATTTGCTTCATTTTATGGGCACTACAAACCATCGCTTAGAATGCAAAATAAATTTGGTGTACGTAGTCTAACTAAAGAGAGCATTTCTCCACGTTTTTACTTTTTACTTAAAATAGGTTTCTAAAGCGGCAATTACATGTAGAACAGTGGTTACCATCAGAGATATTAATTAAAGAATTTGAAAAATTATGTAAGATTCCTTATACATGTATATACATGATATAAGCTTATTATTACAGTTGCATATATGAAGAACACGTCACAAAAGGATTTCGTATGAAATAAAAATAGAAAAATAAAATCCTCCCATTCGCCCCATTTTTTTCAAAAATCTGGATGAAAATCTACTAATTAATTTTAGTTGGCCTTATAAACTGTGTACTGACAAAAAAAAAACTATATATTCATTTCCTGGACAAAGAAAACAAATTAAATGAACATTGAAATATTACCTCATAGAAACAAAAAAGAGCATCAATCAAAAATGTATTTACTTAGGATTCATTATGTTTTGTGGGATACCAATTTTTTCGGAATTTGTGAGTTTAGGTAAACCCCAAACTTAAATGTTCAACAAATTACAAATTTTCTATTATGATGCACAATTATTCATAGCACAGCATTTTGAATCATTCCACAAGAAATTGTGCAACAAGAAATCCTGAGTTCTTAAACCTGCCTATCTTAAGATATATCATTAACTGTTGACACAGAGATTTGTCTTGCCTTCAAGTAATTTTGATAGTATAATGGTAGTAGTAATAGTATAATAGTAAAACTTTGAAATTAAAATAGTTTCAAAGTCAATGAACCATGATGAGGGGGTAGGGCTATACAATCTCCATGGAAACAAGACTTGAAAATATTACAAACACTGAATAACAGCTTTTGACATTGGACAGTGTTTTATATCAGCATTTGAGTCCCTTGCAACTTCCAAAATTGTCAAAAATTTACATAACAGTCAAATATTCCAGACAATTAATCCCTGCTGCCTAACTGTAACAGTATAGTGACTTGTCTATCATCAATGTTAAAAACAATTACTCACTGCTGCCTAGCTGTAACGGTGTAGAGACTTGTCTATTATCAATGTTAAAAACAATTACTCACTGCTGCCTAGCTGTAACAGTGTAGAGACTTGTCTATTATCAATGTTAGCTTTCCTGATCTGTTTGCTGCCTACATCTGTCCAATACACTATCCTATTCAGGGGATCATAGTCGATGGCAATAGGGTTATCAGTGCCGATCAGTGGAATAGTAATGTAACCTCCTGTAGTTAAATCCATTCTATATATAGACTTATTTTTACTATCAGTTATCATCAACCAGTTGTCTGGGATCGTTGCTGTAAATAAGAATGTACATAAAACTTTAAATATAATGGGAGATAATTTAATCATTTGAACTGTTTGATTACTTTTCATTTCTGTTTTGAAATTCTGTATGAAAATATAGATTCCACCCCTGCATCAAGTGGGTTACGATATTTCTTCATTCGAGACAGTTAAATTTTAAAAGTTTAAAAGCTCGCGTCTTGCCAAGCTTTTTAAATATATGTTATTAAAATTAAACTGTTGAGAGTGGAGAAATATCGTAATTCATGAGTTATAGTGATGGAATCTGTTTCTTTACTGATTTTTAGACGATATCTAACCAAGTTTTATCCTTCCTTTACAAAGATTTGCACAAAGTTGTGTTCTTTATATGTGACATCATCAGGCATGGTCGCCTTTTTCATGATGTCACAATAGGAAATTCAGAAGACACCAAGAAAATTTGACGTCATAATTAGATTTTGACCAATCATTTGCCAAAAACAAAGTTTTCTCTAGAAATGAGAAATATTTTTCTCACACCGATCGAGAAATGTGAAAGAAACATGAAAATAAGAGAAATTTACTTCAGGCATCGCACAACATACTGCTCTTGCAGATGTTCATTAGAATGTAAGATTTATACGTCAATTTATGTACCAACACAAGCAAATGTAGTATATTCAATAATCCATAACATGACCACTTCTCCTAGCTAAAATTTTCAAATTATGTTTAAATGCCTATTATCACAAAAATCATAGTTAAAATGAAACTAGATAAAAAATATCTTCTTCATAAGATGTCATAATTTTTTATTTTCCTTCCAATATATGAAAATCAAGCCCCTTTGTGGTATCCTTGCTGCTATATACATGAAATAATCATGCATCAAGAAATATCTTAGGTATTGTCAAAAGTCTCCAAATCATTCCTAGTAAAAATCTAAACTGACAGGCCATGCAGTTTCAGACAAACAGGTGAAAATGTGAATTCCAATAGGGTTCAAAACAATCTGACATTTCGTTGTTGAAGGGTTTAACTTTTGACCACTTTGAAATATAGAATCTTTATATAGGGTGTCAAAATCATTTCTATAGAGCTTGTAATAATCTGACTATGTAGTCACAGAGAGAGGAGAAGAAATTTGGAAATTGACCATTCCGGAATAAGTGTAACAGGAGGAGGTCAGTGTGGACACCTCCTGGGACGTGAAGTGGCCAGTACTTCGTCCCTATTCAATCATCGGGATACCTGATATCAGACTTTGGCTGACTTACTTACTTATCCTCTTCATCCCCAGTGGGACATAAGGCAGATTTTGACTGAACAAAGTCATAAATCAAATAGAACTCAACAACTTATTTACAAATGTACAACAATCAAGTAAAACATAGTCAAATAAAATAATAAACTGTTAACACAGAGATATGTCTCGCCTATTTTGTAATTTTGATAATGCAAATGTTGAAATTAAAACAGCAATACTTTACCATGTAAGTTATGCAAATATGTCAATGAACCATGACTGAAAGTACATGGCTAAACAATCTCCATGGAAATGAGATGTGCCAATGCTAATACAACTGCATACCAAATACCATTGACTTATCATAAGTCATTCCTTTTAAACAAACCTAAACACAAACTTTAACTTGTAAACTATGTAAAAGTTTCAAAGTCAATGAACCATGATGAGGGGGTGGGGCTATATAATCTCCATGGAAACAAGACTTGCAAATATCAATAAATATGCATACCAAATATCATTGATTTAACATTAGCGGTTCATCTTAAACTGATCTAATCACAAACTAATACATGTAAACTAAGCAAAAGTTTCAAAGTCAATAGACCATGACTGAGGGGGCAGGGCCAACAATTCTCCATGGAAATGAGATGTGCTAATGCTTAAACAACTGCATACCAATTCACATTGGCCTAGCACTAATGGAACTCCCTGAACTGACCTAATCACAAACTAATACATGTAAACGAAGCAAAAGTTTCAAAGTCAATAGACCATGACTGAGGGGGTTGAGCCAAATTATCTCCATGGAAATGAGATATGTCAATTCTTATACAACTGCATACCAAATATCATTGACATACCACTTGTGGTTCCCCATAAACTGACCTTATCACAAACTAATACATGTAAACTATGCAAAAGTTTCAAAGTCAATAGACCATGACTGAGGGGACAGGGCCAAATAATCTCCATGGAAATGAGATGAGCCAATGCTAATACAACTGCATACCAAATATCATTGACCTACCACTAGTGGTTCACCATAAACTAGATCTAATCACAAACTTAAACATTGTTGACACTGCCGCTGCCAAAGCCGAAACAGCATACCTTTGACTCGCTTTTTGACTCAGTCAAGGCGAGACAATAACAGATAGTATTTCAAATGTTAAGTTAAATAAATGAATGGAGAATGTGTTCATGGGACACAAATGATGCCCCCGCTTGCATATAACATTATAGAGGGACATAACTCAAGAACGGTAAAAGTGACGCCACCCAAATTCAATCTTGATCTGAGTTTTGTGGTAATAACCATTTTTGTATAAGTTTCATAACATTTGATTGAGGCAAACTTGAGTTAGAGAACGGAAACCAAAAATTCAGTTATTTTTTCATTTGTAAAGGGGCATAACTCTAGAATGGTAAAAATGACGCCACCCAAATTCAAACTTGATCTGTTTTTTGTGGTAATAAGCATTGTGTATAAGTTTCATAACATTTGGTTGAGGCAAACTAAGTTAGAGAATGGCAACCAATTTCGGGATATACATACAGATGTATGGAATGACAAGCAATGGTAACACTTAATGCCACCTCCGCTGTGGCGTGGGCATAAAAATGAAAGGTAATTAAATAGTATTTCAAATTAAATGAAATCAAAATAATGAAATAAAATCTTATCACTTTCTAAGATATATCTAATGATATGGTATTAAAGAAATAGTAAATGAATGAATATTCATTAAATTTATAAAGTGATTTTAAATTTGAATACTTTTAAAGTTAAATTGATAAAGTCACTTTGTGTTCTAGTATGCTTAAATCAAAATTAAACATGAAATAAACATTTATTCAAGAAAATACTAATTCGAAACTAGTAAAAGGAGACTATCTTAATCACATCCATTACACAAGAAAAGCCTCCAGCTGTCTTGTATTTTGCATGATCATAACAAAATAAAATATTTAAAAAATACAAAAAAGCTTCCTTACATCATTCATGTCAAAAATGGTTGTGATTTTTTATGTAATTAAAGAAAAAGGTTAAAATTGGATTTCCAAAAGGATAAATGGAACCTATGAAGCTTCACTGCTACCCTTTATTCAACCTCATCAGTGTAAATGATGACTCTTTACAGTGGTCTCCAAAGCACCTCTTCTAAAGAGGTTTATAAAGTTTAGCCTTGGCATTTGAAATGAGAGTAATTTGATTGATTTTTTTTTTTATAAAAATAAAGAGATGTGATATGATTGCCAATGAGACAACTATTTAATTTAGCTTGTTCCATGTCCAGTAGCAAATATGTCATGCAAATTTAGGACAAAAGGACATTTAAAAACTGAATAATCACAAATAAGGAACAGCCATTTTGCTTGACAGGTTGATATGAAATACTTTCATAAAAGATCTTCTTGTATTGTTTCTGGCAAGTATGGATCAGATCATCCTTGTAGTTTCAGAGAAAAAGGTGAAAATGCTTTTCCAATAGCTTTCAAATGGAACCTATCAGGCATCATGGTCACCATGTTTGCCACCCAATGAGCACTAAATGTTGGAAACTGTTAAAGGGAGAAAGAACAAAAAATTCAAACATATTTTGTTAGATATGCATTTGGTTTGTTTTTTAATATAATGAGAAATAAATGGGTTGAGGGGCAAACACTAATGTATTGCCTACCTTGTTAGTGTAAAAACTATTAAACAAAAGACCATAACTAGAGCAGTATACATCCATTAAAATAAACAAGTACACAACATAATATGATCAACTAAGATTCCCAATAACAATCTCCCTGACTGCTATGTCTGACAGACATTTACCTTGAGAACAGACAACACCAGCATCTTCATTATGACCACAGTTATGTTGTCCCCATCCGTTGGATCTACATTGAGTTATACTGGACTCGGAACCAGTACAGTTTGTATTGTCTAACCAAATATGTCCTGTTCCCTCACCAAAGAATGCTCCTGTACGAGCAATTGCATTAGTCCTGTAATGTTAAAGTGAACTTATTAAAACAATTACCCTGGATACATTCAAGATACCTGAGTGTAACAGAATATCCTTGGTTCTTTTCTGACACATTTCCATCTCTGTTTCAGTTAATTTGAAATCTGGGTTAACTTGTGTAAAATAGCTATTAAATTGTACACCTTTGCTTGCTGAGGCAATGATACTGAAGATTTTAAAATATTTATAAAGAATACATACTGTACAAAAATATATTTTATTTCAATGTGGCAACTATCCGTAAATTATTTGTATAGCTATTATTGATAATTACAATTTATAGATTTTTGAATGGATAAAATGATAGACAAGTATATAGATGAAAAGATTGATTTCTATAACTTCATTCTGAGGATATGATTTGGAATAAATGAGTAGGAATGAATTGTATTAGAAGTTATATTTGCATTGCTGTAAAAGAAAATTTTGATGAAGGTTTTGGTCATATTGGTATATTTACAATAATTCCAATCTATTCATTCATTGACATTGTCAAATGATCAAACAATTTTATATTCCATAACAGGACGACAATTTGTGTTTTTTTTTCAAATATCATAAGTATCATATATTTTTTTTCTGATTTAGTGCTTAACTTTAACTTTCTCAAAAAGGTCAATTTATTAAGAAACATGAAATAAATGTTAAAGCAAAAAACAGTGAACCAGTATAAAGTCACCAATCATCATGTCAATAAGGTAATTTGGGACAGAATTATACTAAGTTATGGAGGTAAAGTGTGCAGTTTGGTAGCTATCATTAAAAATCATAATGCTATCATTAAAAAGAGCATTGGCTGTTGCTGAAGTTTGCTGACATGCAAAAAGAAGTTTTTAAATTTTGTGGTGTTCAAATTTACATAATATTATACATAATACAAATAAAAGTTATTTATTAATCTTACGTTTGATATCCCAGCATGCCACACACAACTCCTGCAGCACGAGCATTCCATTGATCATCACAAATTGTTCCCCAGAAACCAAATGCATACACTTCTACTCTTCCTGAGAACGAGTCTTTTCCGTTAACAAGCCTAACATACACTTGACTAGGGTTGGGAGTAGGTACTGCACCAGTGATTCGCCCTGGCCTGCTGGTGGTTAAGGATTGAATGCCTACAATATATATCATATACCTTTTTTAAGACTTCTTCTTGAAAACTCCTCTTATATATAAAGAAAGAGGTTAGGATATTTTTTTGCTATGTAAAATGTAGAAAATTATTGTTCTGCTCTATGGACCGGTTGTTTTATCTTTTATATAAATATCTTATTGCACCAATGCAAGTTATTAAAATCAAAGCTTTAATTAGACTTCCTGACAAGATCATTTAAATTGGTTTATCTGAAAAAGTAAGATAGTGAGATAAATAAGAATTTATATTAATTGATTGATTTATTGTAGGTGTTTAACATAACTTTTAGTACAGTTGGCTATATCATGGCAATCAGTTATCATTGGTGGAGGAAGACCATATATATACTGTTTGACATGACAATACTTCATATGGCTCCTCATTGATTGAGGATTAATTTCAAATATTTCTTGCATTTTAAGTGATGTACTCATAGTTGCCAACCTCTGACAATGACAAATCATGACATGACATGTCAAAAAGTGTGTGAAAACGCGTGACGTAGATGCAGACTTTTTAATATGAGTGGTGAAAAGCCTTGTACACGCCATGTGACAAAATCTTCGCGTGTAAACCGTTGAAAAAGCGTGTATTACACGCGAATATCATGTGAGTTGGCAACTACGGATGTACTATACTTGAAATGTCAGCCCCCACATTTCATTGACAAACTGTGTCTGAGTGTTCCATGTTAACCAATCACATTTCAAACATCAAAATCAAAGCTGATAATGTTTTATGCAAATCTACTACTAGAATATGGAATGGGTTTTTCTCATTGTTGAAGGTCATACTGTTGCCTTTAATTGCTTACAACCACTTCATTTGAACATTGAAGGATAGTTGTCTCATTGGCAATTATACCACATCTGCATATTTTCATCATTAAATACAAAACAACTTTCTATTTTTTATCATGAAAACAAAATAAAAGTATTAATTTAAAACAGATATTTTCCTAACAGTGATTCTGTAAAATATAAACAGCTTGACATTATAAAACTTATAAAAAATAAACGTTTGACAAGTGATTTGGAAAGGAATATGATGCTTTTAATACAATAAATGGATGAAACATTAACTAAAGGCAATTCTCATCAAGTTCTAATGAAGTAACAAACTTATTTTGTCAAAAATCTGAATGATTTGATGTACGCCCTCGAGAAACAAGTACCAGAAGTGAAAGAAAATACTTCATCTCTTTTCTATAAAGAAATTAATCGTTTATTTCTTTGAATGTCTTAACTTATAAATGAAAAATTTCTGTTTCATCGACTTGGTAAAACTGGAAAATTGCAGATGACAAAGCGACTGAAAACAACTATTGTGAAAATCTGGGCGACTAGATATTGCTTTTGACGATTGGGCACTGTAGGGACAGACATCAGACCTGCCAACTATCCCGATTTATGGGGGATATCCCCTATGAGAGGTGTTGACCTGAATTTTGAAATTCTTTATCATATGAACTGAATCTGATCTTCAGTAGTTGTCGTTTGTTGATGTGGTTCATAAGTGTTTCTCGCTTCTCGTTTTTTATATAGATTAGACCGTTGGTTTTCCCGTTTGAATGGTTTTACACTAGTAATATTTTAGGCCCTTTATAGCTTGCTGTTCGGTGTGAGCCAAGGCTCTGTGTTGAAGACTGTACTTTGATCTATAATGGTTTACTTTTATAAATTTTGACTTGGATGGAGAGTTGTCTCATTGGCACTCATACCACATCTTCTTATATCTATGAACACCTCAAAACAGGCCTTCAGATGAGTTAAAAGGGTATTTAAGCACATACATACTCATTCAAACAATATAGTAGTAGATTAAAATGAGTTCCTCTTTCGCTTAAAATCCCCATGGAGATTTTAAAAAGTTGGCAGGTATGCGACATGAAAGCGTGAGACCTGACATACTTCCAGTACCGATAATAAGTTAACATACTTCCAGTACAGATAATAAGAACACACTAGATGTCAGAACAGATACTAAGTACATACTTCCTGTACAGATAACACCAACATCTTCAGTATGATGACAGTTAGTTACACCCATTGGAGCATGCTGACACTGTGATAGACTAGTCTCATTTCCAGTACATCGTACATTGTCCAACCATATTTGTCCTGTTCCCCTTCCATAGAAAGCTCTCGACTTAGATACTGCTCCAGTACTATAAACAATATTGATATTGATAACTGAAGAGTTAAGATAAGATGGAAAGTCATTTATTAATATTTTAAACAAAGAAGGGCTCAAATTGCCTTGTCTTACACCTAATTTAATGCTAAATGAATCAGAAAGAGAAACTCCAACTCTGCACATGCTTTACTATGTTTGTACACATCAAATTTAATAATTTATAAAATAGAGTTCCAACTTTCATATTGATAAATTTCAGTTTTAAACCTACGTCAATTACAATGTTAAAAGCTTTATGGAAGTGTCTACAAAACAAGTATAGAGTCTACCCTCTTTACTGTGGCAGTATTTGTCTACAAGTGATATCAGAATAAAAATATGATATGAAGTTCTTGCATTTTTAGTATAGTCAATCCTAGAATAATGAATCAAATTTGAAACAGTGGAATAAATGATACTCACGAAGGATAACCAAGCATTTTACAGACAACATGAGCTGCTCTAGAATCAAAATAATCATCACAAACTGTTCCCCATGTGTTATTATACAGGACTTCTATCCTTCCATTATGTAGATTGTTACCATTTGTTAAACGAACCTGGAATGTTTCTGTAAACAAAATAATAGTCACTATAGAAAATATTAGTTTTATTAAGTAGATATGACCCCATATATATCCTATTAGGTCACTAGCACACTGTGAAACAAGTTTATCTTACCGACAATCTTAACATGTGGCATTTAGACTAGTGGCCTATCAAAGTGATCAATTCTTCAATATAAAGAACCTACTTCCATTGATCTTTACAAAAATAAATGCCAACAATAACAACTTGTTAGCTTTTAATGTGTTTTTTGCATTTATTTCAATCGTTCATCATCAATTTCTTCATCTGTTGTCCAGATGAAACATTTCAGATTTTTCAACAACGCTGTGTTGTTTTTTATAAAGGGACGTAACACCACTACTAACCATGTATTAAAATAAACCATGCCTACTAACCCCATATTAAATATACAGGGTCTCTACACGGTTGCTTTTAACCAATGATATTCCTGGAAATGTATAGGAGGTAAGATAATTCTATATCCCTTACATTTAGCAGTACAACAAATGTATCATTGATAATATATACATTTATTGGCAGTTTATACTTTTTCCCTTTGATCTTCTGGATTAAATTCTATTCAAATAAAGGACAGGACATGATACTTGAAAATATCAGGCAACAACATCACTTGGCACTGCAGCGATTGCATGCTTCCATGTCCATCCACGTCGATTCATCAATGAAATGCATGTGATTTCATTCATACAAAAAAATAACTATCACAAAATTTTGTACAAGTAAAACTAGTTTTACCAGCTATTTCATGTTAATATTTCTTATTCTAAGCAAAAACAAAACCTTATTGTTAAGACAAATCACTGATAAAAAGAATAATTCCACTTAATTTTTGATGCTGACTTTATCAGCTGGAATATTAGCCTATCCAGGCTTGCTTGATATTCTTGCTAATAAAGTCAGTATCAAAAACTAAAATGCCATTATTCTATATATCTTATATATTGAAGATGTTTAAGTTAGTTACTTTATAAGAACGAAAGAATCTTGAGTGAGCAAGCTTACATATACCCACCTCCCTTATAACAAAACAGAATATTATGTCCCCCTTCATGAAGAAAAATGGTCAACCATTTGAGATCTTTCTGATTATTGTTACTCCACTGATCAAGAGTATAAAGAGGAATGGTTAAGATCTAAAAAAAATATTCTATTCTTCTGTCCAAAATCAAAAACTTTTCAGTGATGGTTTTTTGTTATATCTTAATGTTTTTGTCATTTAAGGAATTGATATTAACAGTTCAATATATCTAAATAATTTCTAGACTAGTCAATTTAGAGCTTAACTACTTGTCTTTTACTTAACACATATACAATATCTAGATATTGTTTGGTATTTTTGTGTAACTGGGTGCTGTTTCATTGATATATAACCAATACCTCCTAAAATTCATACCTACCTATCTGACACATGACACCCACATCTTCCCGATGACGGCAGTTATTTGATCCAATTGGTTTTGATGAACATTGGAATATAGTGCTCTCTGTTCCTTCACATTTGACATCATCCAGTAAGATTGGTCCTGAACCTTGTCCATAGGTGCCACCACTCTTAACAACAGCTCCAGTTCTATAAATTATTAACATATTCAAAATGTAACTAAATACATTTGTCTAATCAGGTAAAAAAATAAACAGAATTAAATTGAATGAACAATCTGCAAAAGTTATTCTGTATTGTATTTTACAGGACTGAACTAAAAGTGTAAAACAATACAATTGTCACCAACCATTATTTAGAAAGCTGATGTCCTTATCAACAGCAAATAGGATGGGAACTTGGGCAACCATTCCATGAATAAAGGTGATCAAAATCACTGGTGGAAATATTGGAAGACTAGTTTGAATAATGTCAAATCATACTAAGGTATGGTATGGACGAAAAACATTGATAAAGCACATAAAATTTTGTAAACCATTGCAATTACTGAAGTTCTTTATCCATTTTCAGTAGTTAAAATCTACATAACATCTTCCTTATTTTAATCAAATAATGATCACAGTTTACTATTTTAAGTATACATCATTTGAAACAGAAGAAATGATCAAATAAAGATTCTTCTTATCAAGTTGATCATTTACATAGTTTTGCAATAACAAAAATGTATTATATAAAAAAGGTGAAATTATAAATGATCAAAACAATGAAGCAGAATGTTTTAATGTGTCTTTATAAATGTGGCAAAAGATAGAAATGATGCAGACAAAAACCATCCTAGTATCATAAAAAGTCACATAAAAATAGAAGCACCTGATCTTGAAATTAAAGAAATATCTGAAGAATTTATACACAAACAGATAATAAAACCAGTGTTAAAAAAAGCCACAGGAAGAAATTGAATATCAGCTAACCTACTAAAATAAGCAAACCCTGTCATTGTTAAACCAATAACAAATATGATAAATAAAACCTATTTAATAAAGCCAGTCATAGCAAATAAAGTGTAAACAGCTTTAACATCAACCTAACTACTCAACTCAATCATAGAATCCATAGGTAATTCTTAAAGCTATTTCATTAACCTTCCTACTAAATCCAGCCATAGAACAGACATGGCAGCTATAACAGCAACCTTCCTACTAAATCCAGCCATAGCACAGACATGGCAGCTATAACAGCAACCTTCTTACTAAATCCAGCCATAGCACAGATATGGCAGCTATAACATAAACCTTCCTACTAAATCCAGCCATAGCACAGACATGGCAACTATAACATTAACCTTCCTACTAAATCCAGCAATAGCACAGACATGGCAGCTATAACATTAACCTTCCTTCTAAATCCAGCCATAGCACAGACATGGCAGCTATAACATTAACCTTCCTACTAAATCCAGCCATAGCACAGACATGGCAGCTAGAACATTAACCTTCCTACTAAATGCAGCCATAGCACAGACATGGCAGCTATAACAGCAACCTTCCTACTAAATCCAGCCATAGCACAGACATGGCAGCTATAACATTAACCTTCCTACTAAATCCAGCTATAGCACAGATATGGCAGCTATAACATTAACCTTCCTACTAAATCCAGCCATAGCACAGACATGCCAGCTATAACATTAACCTTCCTTATAAATCAGCCATAGCACAAACATGGCAGCTATAACATTAATCTTCCTACTAAATCCAGCTATAGCACAGACATGGCAGCTATAACATTAACCTTCCTACTATATCCAGCCATAGCACAGACATGGCAGCTATAACATTAACCTTCCTACTAAATCCAGCCATAGCACAGACATGGCAGATATAACAGCAACCTTCCTACTAAATCCAGCTATAGCACAGATATGGCAGATATAACATTAACCTTCCTACTAAATCCAGCCATAGCACAGACATGGCAGCTAGAACATTAACCTTCCTACTAAATCCAGCCATAGCACAGATATGGCAGCTATAACATTAACCTTCCTACTATATCCAGCCATCGCACAGACATGGCAGCTATAACATTAACCTTCCTACTAAATCCAGCCATAGCACAAACATGGCAGCTATAACATTAACCTTCCTTCTAAATCCAGCCATAGAACAGACATGGCAACTATAACATTAACCTTCCTACTAAATCCAGCCATAGCACAGACATGGCAGCTATAACAGCAACCTTCCGACTAAATCCAGCCACAGCACAGACATGGCAGCTATAACATTAACCTTCCTACTAAATCCAGCCATAGCACAGACACTGCAGCTATAACATTAACCTTCCTACTAAATTCAGCCATAGCACAGACACGGCAGCTATAACATTAACCTTCCTACTAAATCCCACCATAGCACAGACATGGCAGCTATAACATTAACATTCCTACTAAATCCAGCCATAGCACAGATATGGCAGCTATAACATTAACCTTCATACTAAATCCAGCCATAGCACAGATATGGCAACTAGAACATTAACCTTCCTACTACCGGGTAAATACCACCATAGCACAGATATGGCAACTATAACATTAACCTTCATACTAAATCCCACCATAGCACAGATATGGCAACTAGAACATTAACCTTCCTACTACCATGTAAATACCACCATAGCACAGATATGGCAGCTATAACATTAACCTTCATACTAAATCCCACCATAGCACAGAAATGGCAACTAGAACATTAACCTTCCTACTACCGGGTTAATCCCACCATAGCACAGATATGGCAACTAGAACATTAACCTTCCTACTACTGGGTAAATCCAGCCATAGCACAGACATGGCAGCTATAACATTAACCTTCCTACTACTGGGTAAATCCAGCCATAGCACAGACATGGCAACTATAACATTAACCTTCCTACTACTGGGTAAATACCACCATAGCACAGATATGGCAACTATAACATTAACCTTCATACTAAATCCCACCGTAGCACAGATATGGCAACTAGAACATTAACCTTCCTACTACCGGGTAAATACCACCATAGCACAGATATGGCAGCTATAATATTAACCTTCATACTAAATCCCACCATAGCACAGAAATGGCAACTAGAACATTAACCTTCCTACTACTCGGTAAATCCAGCCATAGCACAGACATGGCAGCTATAACATTAACCTTCCTACTACTGGGTAAATCCAGCCATAGCACAGACATGGCAGCTATAATATTAACCTTCCTACTACTGGGTAAATCCAGCCATAGCACAGACATGGCAGCTATAACATTAACCTTCCTACTACTGGGTAAATCCAGCCATAGCACAGATATGGCAACTATAACATTAACCTTCCTACTACTGGGTAAATCCAGCCATAGCACAGATATGGCAACTACTGTGGATTCATTATTATTAGTGGGATACCAATTTTTGTAGATTTCATTGGTACACAAATACAAATATTCAACTAATTACAAATTTTGTATAGGCTTGTATGCAGACTTTGGTAAAACCATGAAATGTAGTATCCACAAAAATGTAAAATTTTCTCCATCCACGAAAAATAAATGAATCCACAGAATAACAGCAACCTACCTACTAAATCCAGCCATAGCACAGACAATGCTGGCAGCTTTAGCATCAAACATATCATCACACACTGTACCCCATGTACTGTTCACAAGGATCTCCACTCTGCCTTTGTTTGGTGACTGATCTGGACTTACAAGTCTGATAGGATAGGTCTGTGCTGAAAAATTATAAAATAAATGTGGATAGTGTCCACATGTGGACACAGATGATGCCCCCGCTTGCATATCATATAGTTATAAAGGGACATAACTGAAGAAAGATAAAAGTGACGCTAGCCAAATTTGAACTTGATCTGAGTTTTGTGGTAATAAGCATTTTGTGTAAGTCTCATAACATTTGGTTGAGGCTTACTTAAGTAGCGAACAGAAACTAAAAATTCTATTTGTAAACTCTAGAACAGTTATGTAGTTTTATAACATTTGGTTGAGACAAACTAAAAAATTAAGCAATTTTTATGTTTATAAAGGGACATAACTCAAGAATGGTAAAAGTGTCGCCACCAAATTTCTTACTTAATCTGTATTATGTAGTAATAAGCATTGTGTATAAGTTTCATAACATTTGGTTGAGGCAAACTAAAGTTAGAAAACGGAAACAAAATATTTGTACTTGATCTTAGTTTTGTGGTAATGAATATTGTGTATAGGTTTCATAATGTTTGGTTGGGGCAAACTTAAGTTACAGAATGGAAACTAAAAAATTCGCAATCTTTCGATTTATAAAGAGGCATAACTCAATAATGGTTAAAGTAACACTACCCAAATTCAACTTGATCTGTGTTTAATCAGTGGAAGTCAAAATTAAACATTGCATTGTAGTTGATTCAACTATAATCATGGACAAAGGAAGATAACTCCACTTTTAAAAATTACTTGATATTTAGAAGAAAATAATATATTTGCAATTTTTCTATTTATAAAGGGCATAACTCTAGAATGGTTAAAGTGATGCCACCAAAATTCAAACTTGATCTGTGTTTTGTGGTAATAAGCATTGTGTATAAGTTTCATAACATTTGGTTGAGGCAAACTTAAGTTAGAGAACGGAAACTAAAAATTTTGCAATTTTTCCATTTATAAAGGGGCATGACTCTAGAACGGCTAAAGTGACACCACCAAAATTCAAACTCGATCTGTGTTTTGTGGTAATAAGCATTGTGTATAAGTTTCATTACATTTGGTTGAGGCAAACTAAAGTTAGAGAACGGAAACTAAAAATTTTGCAATTTTTCCATTTATAAAGGGGCATAACTCTAGAACAGTTAAAGTGACACCGTCAAAATTCAAACTCGATCTGTGTTTTGTGGTAATAAGCATTGTGTATAAGTTTGATAACATTTGGTTGAGGCAAACTCAAGTTAGAGAACGGAAACCAATTTTGGGACATACGTACGTACGTACAGACGGACAAGGGTAAAACTTAATGCCCCCACCGCTATGGCGGGAAACTTAATGCCCCCACCGCTATGGCGGGAGCATAAAAAATATAATTTTTATCCCAGATGTAATAACAAATTTTTTAGTCGTTTAGAAATTATATCTGAGGGAGCAACACATGAAGCCTGAGAACATAACATATAGCTATAGTGAAGCTGGAATGTCTTATCAAGGCAATTCAAAATATATATGGTTTGAGGGTTGTTATCTGAAGAGTTTTTATATAAACCTATTTAACAATTTACAATTAAAAAGGTTGGACATGACCCTCAGGGATTAAACCTATGGTGCATTGAAAAGGCCTTTAAGTTATTCAGAATATATAAGGTTTAGAAGTAGCCATTTGAAGAGTTTTTGATATAATAACAAATCATAATATAAGAGGATTGGGCATGACCACAAGTGGTGTGGATCTGAACAGTCAGCAAAATATTTCAAGAATAAGAATTTGAAGTAGTCTGAACATACCCCGGGGCATATGCTGCACTAAAAATATCCTATCATGGCAAATAAGAATCTTAATATAGCTAAAATGTGGTAAAACCATTTGGAGCATTGAAAAAGTCATGGCCGGCAAGATTATATTATATGGTTTAAGGAAAATATAATATTTTCAAAAACTAGAGGCTGTACGTGTTGCTCACTCGGATCTATGTGCATCGTCAACTATGGCCATTCTCAAACATTGTAGACTAGAAGATAATTCATGACTAAAATTCTTTTTATTGCTGATGAGTGTTTGTTGTTCACATTTTCTCTCTACTATAGTTTTTGCCAAATATGCCAAAAAATGGACAAACAAAATTCATCATTTAAAGTCAATAACTCCTATAAGGAAAAGACTGACAATTTCAGCTATGTGAATTATTTCTGGATCTTGTCGGCAGATCATTTTTGCTGTTTGGTGTTTCCCTTTCGCTACTAAATTGTTGCCCAAAACACAAAAATGGGTTAAAATCATCATTTAAGGGCAATAACTCATATTAGGAGTTGGCAAACAATTTCAGCCATGTTGACTTATTGATCTTGTCTTGCTAATCATTTTTGCTGTTTAAAGTTACTTTATATCTATTATAGTTCTCAAGATCATATGCAAAAACATTGGTTAAAATAGTCATTGAAAGTCAATAACTCCTATAAGGAGTTGACTGACAAAATTTGGTCAAGCTACTTTATTTGTAGATCTTGTCTTGCTGATCACATTTACTAGTGAAAGTTTCTCCCTATTTTTCATACTTCTTAAGAAAATAGGCAACAACGAACAAAATTGGTAAAAATCATCATGTAATGGCAGTTACATCTATAAGGAGAAGATTTTTGTAAAAATTTACAAACAACAATGGATGATAACGAGAGACAACAGCATACCTGCCAAGTTTTCAAAATCTCCATGGGGGATTTCAAGAGCGAAATGACTTAATGCTTCTCTTATATTGTCATAAGACTTTCTAATCTACTACTATATTGTTTGAATGAGTATGCACGTGCTTAAATCCCCTTTTAACTCATTTGAATGCCTGTTTTCAGGTGTTAAATTTGTATAATAACCAATTTCAAAATTCAGGTCAACACCTCTCATGGGGGAAATCCCCCATAAAGCATGAAGGTTGGCAGGTCTGCAACAGATGATTGACGCCAAGTGATAGAAAGAGCTCACATTAGTATTTTGGGAGAGGTGAGCTAAAAAATGAATTACTTGTTTTTATATAATATATATACAAACTTCTACAGATAACACCAAGGTCCTCGTCACGACCACAATTGCTCTGTCCCCAAGGTCGAGCAGCACACCCATCTAATGATGACTCGTTTCCACTACATTTCACATCATCGAGCCATATCTTTCCTCTTCCTGCTCCAAAGTATGCCCTGGACTTCACTGCAACTGTTGGTCTAAAATTCACAATAATTGATACTGAATATCAATTACACAATATTCCACATAAATAGCTTAAACATATTTGACTGTTCATAATCAATACAAAAGGTGGATTTTTACAACTTGTGTCATGGATGGATATCATAACCTATATCCTTTGTTTTTCTTTTCTATCAAAGTCTTCTCCTGAAGTAATGTCTTCTCTGTCAATTCAAACTCAATGATTCTTATGTCATCTTAACCTAAATAAAGCTCTGTTTCACTAGTACTATCTGAAACTCTTTTTTACTGATTTAAAATTGGTTTAATGGTTAAATGATATGTCCATTTTAGGAAAATTATATTAGTCATAACTGTGAACTGTATATATATTTAATACATTATATTGAGGGATTTATCATCTTTATGTTCAAAAGGTAATGAGTTAATAACAATAGTCACCCCAATACAGTCCACCACCATAGCTTTTCTGATTAAATAAGCATTGGATAATAATAATATGAAGCTCTGTCTAAGTACTATTACATACTGTAAATTCAGAATTAATTGTGTGTAATTATAGATGCAATGGTTAAAAAAAAATACAAAATGTTAATGTGATTTTAGGAATGGTGCATTCTTCTAGTAGATAATGATTTCATTATTTAAAATTCCAGTTTAACTGATGGGCTACTCATTTTGCCCTTTTTTCCACATTATTAATAACATCACAAATATTTCTGAATTTACATTTATATAGGGCATTCAGATAATATTTCTGGATTTTTCTGTAAAACAAATTTTGTTTGTTTGTAATAACCTGGAAAGTTTATAAAATACCAAACAACAAGTTATTTTGTTGATTTACATGGTAATTAAATTTGAAAGTATATAATTCATTCATATTTAACCCTGATGTTTCAGCTACTGACATGAATTTAAAAATTTGAGACAAAAGAATTATGACATATATCAAATGAGAGTATAAACTGCTGAAAATCCAGAAATTGTTAATTACCCAAAATTAAGGACTAAAAATACATGCACTATGACAATAAGGGCAAAACAAAGAAAACGTTTATAAAACAAATTCTAAAAAAAAAACAGAAGGTGACACTAAAAAATGTCTTGCCTACTGCAAAACATGTATATAAATCATCTTAAAGGGTAATGCATTCTGGATCCAAGGTCAAGGTTAAATGACACCTGTAAGATGTACATCTTATAATGAATTAATTCACTTACAAATTATTGTTTATCTATCATGTATAATTTCTGATTCCAGATCAAATCTAGAAACTTAAAAATAATCTCAAATTTGATAAAATTATATCAAGGCCAAGGTCATAGATGGAAATATTCTCTCCACATCAAGTCTTGTTGGAATTCTTAATGAAAAAGAGACCATATCCAGGCAGTTTAACCTGACTATTGGAGCATTGAAATGAATTCAAAGCCATCTGATAGGACATATACTCTTTTTATAGACTTAGAAGACCCACATCTCCTTTTATTCACATTAAAAAGGACATCAATGTCAGATGACCTCATTTAAGATGGACATAATCTGCTAAAAAATCAAAATTTCATATACTGCGGATTCATTTATTTTGATGGGTACAAGTTTTCATGGATTGAGGAAACTTACATTTTCAAGGATATTTGATTTTGTGGTTTTGCCCAAGTCTGAATTAGGTCTGGGTCAAAAATAAAAATATTAAGGTATCTGAAATAGTTAATGATGACACTGGTGGAAAAACAATACCCAAGTCTTGCCTTTTGCAACATAATTACAGGGGAAATAATAAATCTATCAGAGTCACGTCCAATTCATTAGAACAGTTGCTGAAATTTGTATCCAAAAATAATGAACTCTCAGTTAAAAATATCAAAGCATTCTAATAATTTATTTGGTTAAACAAGTAATGTAAAATGAGGTGATATATGAAGATGACATATATGGAACTGTGAAGACTGGATATGACACTGAACACTAGCTACAACTGTACAGACACATGTAAGCAATATAACATAATAATGGAGGATATCTTACTCAAAATAATTTCTGCAAATAAAATGCAAGAATTGTGATGATTTAAACAAAAAATTATTACTGACAAAGTAATATCTGTTCATAATTGTAGAATAACCATACCTAACAAATGTATAACTCATATAAAGCCTTTTTCTCTATGGTAGATTTACTGACTGCAGGTGTGATGAGATGATCAAAGCTGTAAATATTCTCCTTGACAACATTTATGTACGCTTCGGCAATAAAGTTTATCGACAGGTTGTAGGTATTCCTATGGGCACCAATTGTGCCCCTTATATAGCAGACTTGTTCATGTACTGTTATGAATCGCAGTTTATGGCCAAACTCAGTAAAGATCCATCTAAATTCCATTTTATTGATAAATTCAACAACACTTACCACTATCTTGATGATATTTTATCGTTAAATAATCAAGAATTCTCTAAATATCATGCTGAAATTCACCCCAAGGAACTTATTTTTAATAAATCAAATAATAACAGCAATAACTGTCCTTTCCTAGATTTAGATATTTCAGTTTTACACAAGTAACTCTGCACAAAACAATTCCTTTTTTGGATGATGATGTTCCTTTGGCGCAGTCTTACAGTGCTTATATATCCCAACTCGTTCCCTATACCTGTGTCTGTAGTGACGTTTTGGATTTCAATGAGCGTAATCAATGTATTACTGGTAAATTATAAAGTCAGGAATTTTGTTACCACAAAATACTAATAAATTGTTTCGCTGAGCACAGCTGGATACGACCGCAGAGGTCCAACCTTGAACAGTTGGGGCAAAAATGGACACAATATTCACGCTTGGTACAGGTCTGAATTTGGATTGTAATTAAATATTTGACACATAATAGGTTTTTGACACAGAATAACTGTAGTAAAAGAACTTAGAATTGGATATATGATTTGAATTTATATTAAATTTTTTGCTTTTGTGCAATACACTATGCTGTTGCAAATTGACATCCCCCCCCCCCCCCCCCCCCCCCCAAAAAAAAATATTTTACCACCCCCTTTTTTTGAAAAAAAAAATTTGAAAAAATTTTCTTTTTAATTTCTGAAATCTGAAATGAGAAAAAATTGTCCCCCCCCCCCCTCACAATTTCTTTTTTTTACTCCCCCCCCCCCCTTTTTTCCCCCAAAAAAATTCTTTCCCTCAAGATATGGTCATAATCTGAATTCAAATTTCCAATGGAGTTTGCAACCATAATTACCCATTTAAATACATCATAAAAGTCTTAAAATAGAAAATGACATACATAATCATGGCTAAAATTAATATTCCTTACCAGCATTTTTAAACAGTAACTTCTAAAAATAAATTGACAGCTAATCACCTCAAGACAATACATTTCTTTATACATAATTTAAAAGCAGTGTAAGGGAGGTAATCCAAACATTACATCGTACTTGTTTTCAATTGTCCATTAATCAGGAAACCCTTGTTTTTCCCCCTTTTTTGCCCCTAATTCCTAAACAGTTTGAGCCATAACCCCCCCCCCCCCCACCCCCACCCCCAAAGCCAATCCTAAACATCCCTTTGTGGTATGGAAACTTGTGGTATAATTTCAGAGAGATCCATACACCGTTTATCAAAGTTTAATATTGTCTGGAAACTAGAAAAATGCTTATTTGGGCCCCTTTTTGGCCCCTAATTCATAAACTGTTAGGACTTTAACCCCCAAAATTAATCCCAACCTTCCTTTTGTGGTTACAAACCTTGTGTTTAAATTTCATACATTTATATTTACATTTACTAAAGTTACTGTCCGGAAACCAAATGTCTTCGGACGACGACGACAACGACGTGATACCAATATACGACCGCAAAATTTTTTGCGGTCATATAAAAACCTTTACTAAGTTCTTCCATAGATACAAAGTTTTGGTTTGAAAGTTTGGCTGTACCGGTACCTGTAGAAAACTTATATCAAACGGAATAGCACATACTAATTTTTCCGGTGATGTCGTTTACTGAGCTCGGAAATTTAGATACGATCTGGGTAATTTTTTGGATCCTTTAAATAAACTTATTCTAAAAGGTTACCAAATCAAAACTGTAATTAGATCTCTGAATATTGTTTTTATTGGTATAAATATTGATTTTGTTATCAATAAATCAAAACCATACTAAATATTGTTGTTATAAACATATGCACATTTAAGGTTCTACAATTTGTTGATACCTATATTTTGGCATTGCACAAGAGATGTTTTTCTCTGATTGTTAATGACGTCTTTACACTAAATCTATTAGATGTTGGATGTGTGCTGATTGATATTTTAGTCTTAGATACATGATTTTTTATTATTTTTGTTATTGGCTTTGAACTAGCTGTCAGTAATTGTGAGTAATCTCAGATCTGTACTTTGTATCTTTTTTGTTGTGAGGGATGTATAAATTCCCTGCCATGTCCTGTCTGTGTTTTTGTTATTTGTTTTTCTGTTTTGTATCCATCTGATGAGTTAAGCCCTTTTCAACTGATTTTCATAGTTAGTTTTTATGCTGTACTGTTACAACACTATCCCAGAATAGGGGAGGGTTGAGCACTCACAAACATGTTTAACCCAGTCACATTCTTTATGTGCCTTTCCCAAGTCTGGAGCCTGTAGTTCAGTGGTTGTTGTTGGTTCATGTTTGTTATATCTGTTTTTTCGTAAATTGTTTTGTTATAAATTAGGCCATTAGTTTTCTCTTTTAAATTGTTTCACATTATTCATGTCGGGGCCTTTTATAGCTGACTATATGGTATGGGTTTTTCTCACTGTTGAAGGCCTACGGTTGCCTATAATTGCTTACATTGACTTCATTTGAACTTTGGTGGATAGTGTCATTGACAATCATACCGCATCTCCTTATTTTTATATTGTCTTAGAATATAAAACTCATTTGTTCTGTAAATTTTCAGTTGAGAAAAATAACATAATTGTGCTTAAGCTAAGATGTATCTCTCAGGCAATGTTGATTTAATCCAATTTTGTTTATTCTAGCTAGGCACTTTTAGTTTTTGTGCTCTTCAACATATAAATTATGATTTTAGACAATAATATTGTTTTATGATGCTAATTGATTCTTTGAAAGTGTGATCTTGACCTTAGACCAAGTGACTCAAAAATCAATAGGAATCTTCCTCTTTATACTCTCAATATATGTGACCACATATCCAAGTATTGTTGCAATCCAATATAATACATACTGAAACCACTTTTCAATCTTCAGTCTTTTTTTAAGTACTTTGACCTTGACCATAGACATAGTGACCTCAAAATCAATACAGATCTTACTCTCATTAAATGTGACCATGTGTCCTAGTAAAATTGCAATCCCATATATAAATAAGATGTGATATGAGTGCCAATGAGACAACTCTCCATCCAAGTCACAATGTATAAAAAGGTTACAATTATAGGTCAAAGTACGGCCTTCAACACGGAGCCTTGGCTCACACCAAACAGCAAGCTATTAAGGGCCCCATATGTTTAGTATTTGATTTAGCACTAGGAAAACTCTTCTTTTCCGAAATTCTGTCTATATTTTGGTAACCTTGACCTTAAATATAGGGACCTTAAAAACGATACTGATCTACCTCTCATTATATGTGACCAGCCATGAGATTTTCAGGCTTACGGAGGTACCAGGGTCAAAATGATGTTTTTGCATTTTTATGAAGTTTACATAGATTTAAAACACCCTGGCAATTTATTTTGCTAGATTCCTCAAAATAACAGAATAATGGTCATTTTTGTTAGTTTCGATTTTATTAAAAATTTTCGATTTTTCTCAATTTTTCACATGTATGTTCATCTATTATAGATGCTATTCATATTGTTTGGGTTTTTTTTGGGGGGAGGGGGAGGGGGTTCAGGTCTCTAATTAATCAAAATGTAATTGCAGCTTTAATAACTAAATAACCGAAGAATTGTAATTCGGTCGCCATAGCAACAATGTACCAGAATCTCCAATCAAAATAATATTGACTTAAATATTTTTCTTTCCTTTGTAAGCAAAACTACATCAATGCTAAGAAAGTGAATACATTGGTATATAATAAAACCATCAAGGAGCTGTGTATTATTTGATATGCTTTCTTATGTTCATCTTTTATCTTATTGCAAACACCATGATCAATAATATTAGGGCATGTATGTGAAAGGGATGTAAGAAAACTTTCAACAACACATACATCTTGTTTATGTAGCTCTAAGACAGTCATAGATAAAAATAAATGTGGATAGTGTCCACATGTGGACACAGATGATGCCCCCGCTTGCGTATCATATAGTTATAAAGGGACTTAACTGAAGAACTGTAAAAGTGACACTACCCAAATTTGAACTTGATCTGAGTTTTGTGGTAATAAGCATTGTGTGTAAGTCTCATAACATTTGGTTGAGGCTAACTTAAGTAGAGAACAGAAACTAAAAATTCAGCAATTTTTCCATTTGTAAACATGCATAACTCTAGAACGGTTGTGTATAAGTTTTATAACATTTGGTTGAGACAAACTAAAGTTAGAGAACGGAAACAAAAAATTCAGCAATTTTTATGTTTATAAAGGGACATAACTCAAGAATGGTAAAAGTGTCGCCACCAAATTTCTTACTTAATCTGTATTATGTAGTAATAAGTATTGTGTATAAGTTTCATAACATTTGGTTGAGGCAAACTAAAGTTAGAAAACGGAAACAAAAAATTTGTACTTGATCTTAGTTTTGTGGTAATGAATATTGTGTATAGGTTTCATAATGTTTGGTTGGGGCAAACTTAAGTTACAGAATGGAAACTTAAAATTTTGCAATCTTTCGATTTATAAAGGGGCATAACTCAATAATGCTTAAAGTGACACTACCCAAATTCAACTTAATCTGTGTTTTATCAGTGGAAGTCAAAATTAAACATTGCATTGTATAAAGCATTGATTGTAGTTGATTCAACTATAATCATGGACAAAGGAAGATAACTCCAATTTTAAAAATTACTTGATATTTAAAAGAAAATAAAAATTTTGCAATTTTCCATTTATAAAGGACATAACTCTAGAACGGTTAAAGTGACGCCACCAAAATTCAAACTTGATCTGTGTTTTGTGGTAATAAGCATTGTTTATAAGTTTCATAACATTTGGTTGAGGTAAACTCAAGTTAGAGAACGGAAACCAATTTTGGGACGTACGTACAGACGGACAAGGGTAAAACTTAATGCCCCCACCGCTACGGCAGGGGCATAAAAACCTAGGAATAAACATGGGCCGCCCTGTGCCCTTTTTAAGATGCCCTGCCCTTTTTCGCAAGTCCATGCCTTTATTGTCGTATCATTTTCATGAAAATACTATAATTCTACCGGTCTTCATGATTCTGACAATTTTAAGACCCTCAGCTAATTAAAATTTACAGCAGGTGTCATAAGTTGTGATTAGATGTTTTCTAACTAACAAATGTACAGATTTCCTTAAAATATGATAAATTAAAAAAAAAAGTTGTGATTACAGGTAATCCACTTATCGCCATCAGATGGGTCACTAATCCTTTAATTTATAAACCTCATAATAGGCTATTATAATTATTTTTCCCAGTAAAATCGGTCATTCTGCATTTCAATTTCAATATTTTTCAAAAGACCACAATTTGCAGTTTGTTTATCCATAGATGTTTTTGTAGTTTCGTCAATTGAACAAAATTGTTTTCCCCCGGACAGTTCACATTTAAATTTCAAAACTTCTCAAAAGATCACTATTAGCAGCTCGTTTGACGTAGTTTTGTCACATGAACGTATTTTCATCACATTTTATATAACTTTTCTTCAAAATAATTCGACATTTTCAATTATAAATATAAAACTTTATTCAAAACGTTCAAAAATATTTTCACGAGTCAAAACAGGTGCTTTCTTTATCATGTACTGCGCATGCCTGAACGTTTTCTTATAATTTTAATAGACACTAAAACGTAAAATACGAAATCAATTAGTTTCAAATTAAACGAGAGAGACAAATATATTTCTTACTGAGCAACTTAATTTAAAAAATGATAATTTCCTGCCTTTTTGTTAAACACGAACCAATCCGTAGATGAATCAGGATTCATTCTAAATTCAATATCCTCTTGTCATTTCTCGTTTTCATTTCGTTTACAAATCGAAAGTAAACATGATGTAATCTTGATGAATTTAAAATATACAGTCATTTTAATCGTTTCAAGTTTATACAAATGAATTCCAAATATCGATTTAAACATTTTTACAGGGATAATGATTATGCAGTGAAATAGTCATTACAATTTCCTTTATGCTGTGATTTCTGGTTTTAAAAAAGAGGAACCCAACTTTTGTTGATCAGGAATGTCCCCTGAAAATAACTGAAATGAAATTGTGAACTAGATTTCCAGATCTTTGTTTTATTTAAGCATCACATCAGTCAAATCATGCAATAACTGCCTACATTTGTAGCATGCCTAAGGCCTTAAAAGATCCTGGTCCTTGAAGGACTTAGGCATATGGATAGCTAGTAATATGGTCCATTACTGTTACCCAAAATAAGGTTGATTTTCATCTCGCGTAAAAGTGACTAAAGCCCTCAAACTCCTAGCTGAAACCCCTGCTGTTTACATAATAAAAGACAATGTTTGACGTGCCCTTTTTGAATTATCAATCAGCGTGCTAAAGTGCCCTTTTCATGATTGGCTCCCTGCTCTTTTCAAATCCTAACTGGAACACTGTATACCCCCCTCCCCACTACATTATAGCGAGGGGTAAAAATGTTCCTTTTGGTGGGACTAACTTTCCAGCTGATTTTTACAGTTTTGAAAGATCTGTAAGCAATGACTTACCTATATATCAAAAAAGATTAGTCAGCCATGACTTAGCTAACTGATGACTTACCTAGTATATCCAAAGATCTGTTTACAGACAACCTGGGCTATATGGTAATTAGCTCCATCATCACACACTGTTCCCCATTGGCCATTGTGATATACCTCCACACGACCTTCATAGCGAGTACTGCCACCAACAAGTCTGACTGGTGAAGTTGCTGACCTTCCTGTGTATCAAAAACAGTAATTTGAAAACTTTGAAAAATTAAATCTATGACCTATTAGTCTGATTTCTAACATAAATCCTTGAGAGGATATCTTCAATTTCCTATACAATTATTTCTGTTGTATGAACAAGGGGTTACTAATGATACATTATCACATATTTTGTACTGATATGTACGTTTTTGCATGGCCAATAATAGCCGGAAGTCAAGGTTGGTTATCAGCCCTCGGGGCCAATATCGATATCAGCCCTTGAAATCCATATCGAGCCCCCGAGTTTAACTTCCGGTAACCTGTCAATCAAAAACTATTTGTAAACAAGTTGGCATCCGAAGCAGTTAGACGATCAGGAGAGGTTTCTCACAGATCAAATGACGATCTATGTAATACAAGAAATGAAAAATGAGAACACAATGAAAAGAAATTTAGAAATTTACGAATCTGCTGTAGTAGAAAAAATGTAAAAAATCAACAGTGGAAATCACAAAAGTTCCCGTAAAATTTGGACGTCATAAAGAATTTAGAAAATATATGACGTCACAATGAAAAAGCGATTGTTGTATGACATCGAAAGATCAAGCGGAACATATTTCCAAATCATAGTAGCGATATGGTGTATTCTTCGTCAGCATTAATTGGAAATGTAACACTTTTTAAAGTCGTTTAATATTTTCAATTCTGGGAATTAATATATTTATTGTTAATTATTTATTAAACTTTTCACAAAACTTTGTTTACTCACTGGGATACGAACTTTGTTAACTCACTGTGATACATTTTTAAATTTTTTTTCGTTAAATGTTTTTTTGAATTTTTGTTGAAAATATCAAACATAATTTGGTATATGCTATCTTTTTTCTCTTGCTTGAAAATATGTGATAAATAGATTATTACATGTCATTTTCCATATGGTCCGTGGTATCAGCCCACGACCCATATCAAGCCCTCGGGCTAAAGCCCTCTGGCTTGATATGGGAGTCTAGGGCTGATACCAGGGCCAATATGGAAAATGCCATGTAATAATCTATAAATATATGTCCTTAACATATATAATACACAGCATTCCATATCCTTTTAGGAATGATAATGAACTGAATTATTTTGTTTTCCAATTTTGCTGTTTACAGTTTCTCTCTTTGCATTTTTGTTAAGATAGTACTCCAAAAAATAGCAAGTTCATTCAAATTTTCATTAAAGGACAAAATATGTTCAATTTTTAATGATATTGGCCATGTTGGTTGATTAAGAAATAGTTCATGGGGGCTTGATATTAATTGAATTTACCAGGAGTTAACCCTTAATGCCAAATATTTACCAAAAGTGATAGCAAGTGCCAACCCTTGGTATACCAATTTTAATTCAAGCCCCCATCAATTATTTCTATTCTTATAGGACAATTACCGTAAATTTTATGGATTGAAGCACTCTAGGCCAAGGCAAAATTTTGCTGTTCTTGTAAATGACTATTATAAGTAAATTATTGTACTTTAAGGACAACAAATTCTATAAAAATGTCACTCCAGAAGGCCTGTACGAAGCTCAATTCATTTTGTAATAAAAATAAATAGGGTAAATGTCAATATTTGAACAGTTAGTTATCAGTATTTTTTGGAAGTTCATCTTTGAAGGGAATATTTAAGGTAAGGAATGCATAAGCATCCTTATGAAAATGAAATTAACTTTTCTTTATCTTAATGAAAAAATTTGTTGTATGATACAATACAATTTCTTTCTCTGATCTACCTTTCCTGGAAATAGATCCAACCTGAAGCAGATCTGATTTCATGCGCTGAACTGTAATGAAATTTGGAGGGCAGTTTAACTGGACTCGACAGTAGAGTTTTCAAGTAAATAGACCTACTCTGAAAAGTCTTTTAATTTATAAGAGTTCAAGCATTCTAAACGATGTTTGACTGTTACCTGCACAGCTGACAGACGCATCCTCACTATGTCCACAATTATTGACACCCCATCCACGACTGCCACATTGTGCAATACTGGTCTCATTACCAACACAGTTAACATTGTCTAGCCAAATCTGTCCACGCCCTGCACCATAAAATGCATTTCCTTTGGCAAGTGCTCCATAACTTCAATAAAAAAAATAGGGAGTTAGTCACTACTCCATAACTCAATCAAATCAACAGTGCGTAAGCCACTACTCCATTACTCTAATTAATAAATGTTGAGTAAGCCAATGCTCTGGTACACTGCTCCATAACTTCAATGAAGAATTACTGAGTAACTGAATCAATTCTCCATAACTTCTATAAAGAAGTAATGAGTTGATAACTGAACCATATTTTCAATAAATAATGATATTAATAAAAAGTATCTTCATTGTTTCCACAGTTTTAAAAGAACAAATTATCTAAAGTAAGAATAATTGGATTAAGGGCCATCTGCACAAATTTTATTCTTTTTTTTTATATTATTGTCAGTTATGCTTTTTGTAAATGCAATGCAGATTTGAAATACCATAATAGTTTCCAAGATTTACTTGTGTTTGATTCTGGTCATAAAAATATTGGTTTTGCTAGAAGACTGCATTTATTGATGATGCTTCAAATATGGCTGATAAAACTTATAATTCTTTTTGAAATAGGCTTTTGCTATTGGGGATGAGTATCCATCAGCAGCTTTCTACCGATGTTGTTAATGCTATAAGTTTTGTTTAAAGCTCATTTCCTTCCTAAATTCTCAAACAAGTTTAGAAATTGATATGTGTGTAATAAACAGCTGTATTGTATTCAACATTTAGATGGGAAGCAAGCTTTATATCCTTTCTTTCATAAAGCATTTTCTTACCTTGGTTTTCCTAGCATCCTACAGATAACCTGAGCCTCTCTTTGGTCCCAATAATCATCACAGATTGTTCCCCATGTGTTGTTGTAGAAAACCTCAACACGACCTTCATTATCACTCCTACCTCCAACTAATCGTACATTCAAATTAGTTGTCACCTGACCTCCTATTAAAGGTTTTAAAAAAAAAATATTTCTTATATTTAAACCCATTTTTTGGAAACATCAATTTCAAAACAAACAAAAAATCAACAAAGCAAACAATGGTTTTCAAACAAAACTGTTGTGTTCCTAACTTCAAAATGAATATTAAACTAGAGGATCTAAAGAGTCTGTGTCACCCACCTAGGTCTATGTGCATTGAACAAATGGACTCTCCTACACTAAAGACTAGTATATAATTCATAACTAGAGGCTGTAAAGAGCCTATGTCGCTCACTTAAGTTTATGTGCAATGAACACAATGGACTCTATTTTTCTATCTATCTATAATAGTTTTTCAGATATTAGACAAAAATGAAAAAAAATTGATAAAAATCTTCATTTAAGGGCAATAACTCCAATAAGGAGTCGTCTGACGATTTTCACTATGTGGACTTATTTGTAGAAAATAATTTTTCTCTCTATCTATTACAATTTTTCAAATATTTGGCAAACATAAAAAAAATCAGTAAAATTCGTCATTTAAGGTCAATTACTCCTATAAGAAATTGTCTGAAAGTTTTGAAGTAAATAAACAATATGTAGATGTAATCATTCTGAACATTTTCGCCCCAAGAGATTTTCTCCATTTAAAGCAGTTTTCAAGATAATAGACCAAACTTGCATTTTACCCCTATGTTCTATTTTTAGCCATGTTTGTAAGCAGGCACATTTTTTTAGACTAGATACCCTAATGAAGATTGTGCCCAAGTATGGTTAAATTTGGCCCAGTAGTTTCAGAGGAGAAGATTTTTGTAGAAGTTAACGACGAAGACGACTACGGACTACAACAACGACGACAATTGAAGACGGATGCCAAGTGATGAGAAAAGCTCACTTGGCTTTTTAGGCCAGGTGAGCTAAAAAGTGTAAAAAAATCACCATTCTAAGGCAATAAATCCCATTAGAAGACAACTGACAATTTCAACTACGCTGACCTTTGTGCAGATCTTATCTTGCTGCTCATATCTAATTGTTAAATTTTCTATCTATCTAATATAGTATTCAAGATCCTCCACATGGCACATGGCAGGTGTGCTAGACTCCATTCTCAACTGACTAGGATTGTCAGTTTTCCTATCAAATGTCGATGCATTGTACACATTTTATAACTACATACCCCATTAATGATTGTGGCCAAAGTCTGGTCAAATTTGGCCAAGTAGTTTCAGATTAGAAAATTTTCGTAAAAGTTAACGGACAATGATGATGAATGATGACAACCTCAGACAATGTACGCCAAGTGATGGGAAAAGCTCAGACTGGCACTATGGGCCAGGTAAACTAATAAAACTGATGATAAAGATAAATTGAAAACTTACGAGGTTGACATCTAACTCCTGCATCTTCATTGTGGCCACAATTATTATTACCAAATCCATTAAATGTACATTGTCCAAGGTTTGTTTCTGTTCCAACACACTGTACATTATCCATAATAACTTTACCAGTACCCTGACCAAACTTGGCTCTTAGCACTGCTGTAGCACCATCACTAATAACATTAAGACAAGTTTTTGTATTTTTCATATACTACAATGGCTTCTTTCTTTTTTATATTGTAGAGCCACAACTTCTGAAATAAACAGCTGCACCAACAGCTCATGACAATCCCGTCTTGCGCATATTGGAATTGTTGTGAGAATAAAATGGAATATTTAGAAGGCATTTAATCATAATTTAGTAAAATGGCTCTGAACATAAAATTGCCTGAGGATATCCTTAGGCATATAAATTATTGCTTTCAACATAACTGTTAAAAGTCCCATAACACACACATAACACAACACAATTTTCATAATCAAATTCTTTGACTACTACAAATCAAAAACTCTTGGCCTTAATATCCTTTAAGAGGACAGGAATAAAAGCCTACTTATAACTAAGTAAAAACTAATGTAACCATAGTCCCCACTTACGTAGAAAATCCCAGCATTCTACAGACAACAGCAGCGTCTGAGTTAGTCCACAAATCATCACATACTGTCCCCCATTGTCCACCAAAATTCACCTCTACTCTACCTTCCATACTAGAGCCACCATTTACAAGTCTAGCTGTCACATTCTGGATATTCCCTGCACCAAGTAAACAACTGAGTTTTTTATAAAGACCAATATGCAAAATAATATAGATACAAACTAATTTCAATAATTCTCTGATTTGTTGTTCTCTAAACAAATTTTTACCAAAAACAACAATGAAGATACAAAACTATAATCAACAGACTTATCATGCATTAATCTTACTTTGTTGGTAAGTTTTTTTAAATCCTAGAACTATTTATTTAGCATTATTTTTCAGAATCAAATGAGAAGCAGTGTATACAAAGTTTTAACCACAGCAGAATTCAATATAAACTTTATTCTATTAAATTTGAAAATTAATTTGTTTTTGGAAAAATTCATTTATAAAACTCTGAGACAATATATCATGCTCTTCCAAATAAAATATGTCATGTTCTTAAAATAGAATACAAAGATTATAAGAGTACTGTTTACCATCAAAACAGTAAACACCAGCATCCTCAGTATGATCGCAATCATTTTCCCCCCATCCTTTAAAGGTACAGTTCTGTATGTTAGTCTCCGATCCTAGACATTCAACATCATCCATCCAGATTGGTCCTGTACCTGTTCCAATTCCTGTTAAAGCTCTTCCACCTCTGAAATTATTCAGGAATATTTTGTTCATATTTATAAATATCTTTTTTTTTCAAACATCAATGAAATACTTAGGTATAGGTTTGTGATACTAAAACTTTTTCAAACTGATCTTGTTAACACCAAAAATGTTAATTTTGTTTTTTTCATTCTTTACTATTTGTAACTTATAACAGTTCACACAATCATTATAGTTCATAATAAGGGATAAGCATTCTGAGATAAAAATTGTGTCCTAAGTTTAAAATATCCGATTTAAAAGAAAATTATTATATGATAGTGTAATTTTTATATGAAAAATATTAAATAAACAATAATCAGCATAAAAATGTGATTTGGCAATGCTGAAAACAAATTTCATGCTTTTATATACCACACAAACTGTGTGTGACACAATATTTGGTACATTAGGAAATCATGTCTTTTTCACTTTATTTGTCAATATATACGAAAGAATCTTTATATAGTGAGCAAGACCAGATATCACTCCCCTCTACATGGATGAAAAGACAGAAGTTCCCTCCCCCCCCCAAAAAAAAATGCCATGCTTTTTGATCTGGATAACCAAAAGAGGTATGGTAAGACCCATTATTTGACCCCTGAAATTGCAATCCTTTCTAGATAATAGTTTTATTGCTAAATGATTCAATAGCATGAGATTTTAGATTTTACTGATTAAAGATTTTACAAGAATAACCATTCATACACATTTGATTTAATTTGGTTAGGAAACGAAAGTTATCAGATGACAAAAAAATATTGACATGCCAGTAGAGAGGTCAAACACATTTCCTATGTCAATTCCTTTGCCTGAGGTCAAATAAGTAAACAGCTATCTTATGATTTGTTTTCAGTTTTACTTTATATGTCTTATTTCATAAAATATTCATGAAAATATGACCAACTTTAGAATCCAATTTCTTTTTCTAAATTTACCTGGAATATCCTAACATTTTACAGACAACTTTAGCATCCCTGTCATCCCAAGAATCGTCACAAATTGCCCCCCAGACTCCATTGTAACTAACTTGTACTCTGCCTTGGGCATGTGTAAGTCCTCCAACCAAACGAACTGTTGGTGGTGTCTGTGCATTTGATGGAACTGTAAAATAAATTTTTAAAAAAAATGCTAGCAACTTAATTTGTATTTAAAGGCAGGTTTTGACACAATTGTGTTTGTCTTATACTTTTCCTTTCTCGGGTCTCTGCATTTGTGCTTCTAAGTTGTAATTAAACAGACCTGCAATAACAAATTGGATGTGCACACATAGACATGGTGATAAGAATTGTGGTAATTTACCTCCTACCAAAACTATAGCTGTTGAACTAATTCATTTATGTAGGTAAATTTAGAAGCAAATTTAAGCATGAAGGCAAGTAATGGCATAATGTTTCTTTTACAACATTGCAAGAAATTTAATGCAAACATACAGGTTATTTTTTGGGAAAAAAATCTATCACATGATATTTGATATATACAACCAAGCAAGGCAACAGCCTTAGAGTTCTATTCAAAGTAAACTAAAAGGGGATTGGGACAATATATTTTTTATTGTACCTCGGGTAAATAAGTGACGTTGTGATTGCTTTAACACCATCACGTGGTGACAACCTATGAATCTGTATGGGCCCGGTAGGTAGATTTCATAGGGGGTCATGACATCACGCCTTCTATAAATGTTATTGTATTTCATTTTTTATTTTAATACAAAACTTGGGAAGAAAAGTCCTGTGTAGGATAAATTCATAGAGGGTTAGTAAAATCGAGAGGGGACTTGGCCTTCGGCCTCATCCCCTGTGGATTTTACTACCCCTCTTTGGATCCGTAGGGGTTCAGTAGCAAACCATATAACTTATAGTATGGGGCTTTTAGTATGGCATTGTATTTACATTTATGGAGAGTAATAAAAGCAATCATTTCAAAAGTTATGTTTAACATACATTGACCATTCTGACACAAGGAAGTGATGACATTATTTTTTACTTTTGTGCATGCCTTTTAATAGTTACGGTCACTGATCTCAACCTGCCTTTATACATACCTATACATATAACAGAAGCATCTTCTGAATGGTCACAGTCATTCTGACCCCATGGTTTCCTCTGACACTGTCCTAAGTTTGTCTCTGTACCATTACAGTCTATATCATCTATCCAGATATTTCCTGTCCCATTTCCATAGTAAGAGTTGGCAACTGGCACACCAATCATACTAAAAAACAACCTTCAACACTGAAAAAACTATATACTTATTTATAAAAGAACAAGAAGTTGCATGCATTGTGGTGCTAAGGATACTCCTACACATAAATCAAAATATGGGAAAACAAGATGTAGGTGTCAGACAGGTCCAAAAAAGGTATTGGAGAAATGTGTAATGAAAAATAAAGTTCATTCAAAATATTGAAAAATTCAAAGCATTGGCAAACAAGAGGTTGGTGACTAACAAATCCAAAATATCTAACAGGTTACAACTAATAACTGTCAACCTGCTGACCAAAGATGGAAGTCATTCGGTTCAGTAGAGTGTCAGAAATATTTGTTGGACAAACAGATGGACAGACGGAATTAGACTGACAAACAGATGGACAGATGGAATTAGATTGACAAACAGAGATGGACAGACGGATTAGACTGACAAACAGATGGACAAACAGAATTAGACTGACAAACAGATGGACAGACGGAATTAGACTGAAAAACAGCTGGACAGACAGAATTAGACTGACAAACAGATGGACAGACGGAATTAGACTGACAAACAGATGGACAGACGGAATTAGGCTGACAAACAGCTGGACAGACAGAATTAAACTGACAAACAGATGGACAGACAGAATTAGACTGACAAACAGCTGGACAAACAGAATTAGACTGACAAACAGATGGACAGACGGAATTAGACTGACAAACAGATGGACAGGCAGAATTAGACTGACAAACAGATGGACAGACAGAATTAGACTGACAATCAGATGGACAGACAGAATTAGACTGACAAACAGACAACCAGGGGGGTTGCAATATAGATCCCACTCATTGATTTGGGGTTCAATATATTTCAACAACTTCTTAATAATATTTGAAATATCGACAACTTCTTATTTGAAATATCAACAACTTCTTATTTGAAGAAAAAAAATCAATTCACCATTTTAAGTATTTCACAGATATAAGAGAAATAGTCAAAAGTCATGTCAACTGTTTTTGGTCAACAAAATTTTATTCCACATTTTCTAAAGGTTTATTCTGTCAAAGCATTAGGTCATTCCAACTGATATGAATGGACTATACTTACTTTGAAAAGCCTAACATATGACAAACAACAGTTGCTTCAGGTACTCCCCATCCATCATCACAAACAGTACCCCACACTCCACCATGAAGTACTTCAACTCTACCTGCAGTCTGTTTTGGTCCTCTTAGACGTACCTGTACCTGAAGTGACTGAGCTGTTAAAATAATAATAATAATAACTTTAAATAAACTTACTACATGTCACATTTAAATGAAGCTAGTGGACAAACTGTATGCAAACTATATATTTAGCATCCATTTTCCTTAGACTTTTGGTGAAATAGCTTGTACAATTTCAGGAGGCTCAAATTTATAGTTTCTGAGAAAAATGCATAGAAATTTGCATTTATGGTCACTAAGTATTAGTAAACAAAAAGTTGATAAGCAACGAATATGAAAGTGCATCACATAGTATAGCAAGGTCAAATGAATGAAACCTGATACTAAAGTTAAGGAAAGTTTGATTTGTAGTTCCTCATAAAATGTGATGAAAATTTCATGGATCAGATGAACAAAGGTAAATATCCTTAACTCTGGATATATTCAAGACTAAACAAACATATTGTTGTTGATCTGTGTGCTGATATCTTTTGCTGGAATAATCAATGTTGAATCCCCCTTGTAAGAAAGAATAAGTAACTGAAATCAACAATTCTATGTGACATAGTACAAACCTGTTTCACAAATAATACCGACATCTTCTGAATGGTCACAGTCACTGACACCCCAAGGGTCATGTCCACAGTTAGCTAGAGAGCTTTCTGTACCACCACAATGAACACTATCTAACCATATAGGTCCCTGGAAATTCGACGAGGAATATTTGGAACCAGATACTGCAACTGCCTGTACACTAAAAAAGTTCAAATACAATGTCTAAAAATCCATTTTGCAACAATAAAAAAATTGTAAGCTAATATTATTAATATATGACTGAACGGCCTTTTATACATAGGGTATTTTGCATATTATCATTTTTATCTGTATCTATGTTATTGCCATGCTAGCTTCATTTTCCTTGAAGAGTGAAATAGATATACTATGTTCAACAAAAACTTCTGGGTTTTTAATATTACAAACTTACAACTGGACTCCTAATTGATTACACACCACTTTGGCAGCAGTACTGTTAAAATCATCATCACATACAGTCCCCCATTTACCCCCATAGTTAACTTGCAATAATCCAGCATTAGTTGAGTTTCCTCCTGTCAGACGGAGCTGAATATTCTTTGAAGCTGGTGCTAAAAATATATTGATTTCAATACTATCTTGCTGAATATATACATAAAATTTAAACAACTACTATACTTGTTTTTTTGTATACTGGAAAATCAATATCTTTGTGACAATGAATATTGTAACTAGAAACAAATTACTTTCTTTTTGATGATGTCCGAATGTAAAATATATGTTTTGTTGGATTGCTGTTTCATTGATGATTGATAACTCCCTGCAATTCTGTATTACGACAGATTTGTCCCAACAACTCTCTTTGGAACACTTACTATTATACAATTATAGCCTTTGTATGAGGTCGATACAAGGATATATTGACCTGAACCAAGTATATTGACTGAGGACAAAGACTAAGGTCGATATACATCTTTGGGTCCATATATCCTGATTGACCTCATACAAAGGCTACAATTGTTATATTAATAATTTCCGAACATATTTGTATCAAAATCGGCAGTGCCTTATATTTCCTTTTTTCGTTCATTTAATTTAGATTGGAATTTTCAAAGATTTTTATAGATATCATATTGTCTCTCTGACAATAACAAAATATTAGTTGTTATTTCAATTATTTTTTTATGTTTTTTATTTAGTACATCTTATGTACTTGAATATTATCTTTTTTAAATAATCAATCATAAATATACACATTTTAAAATTTTTTAAGCTAAATACATGACTTTGTGCAATGCCAATATATAAGTATGAACAGGATGTAATACATTAAGTGTTAATTCGTATATTAAACTATTTTAAAATTAGAAAAAATTAAAACAACAAAAATACCAAACTCTAACAATATCATGAAATTCATTAGATGACGTCACAAAGTATATTGGTTTTTAGATATTCAAAAATAGCCGTGCAATTAATTAATCTTAATTTTCTGGTTTAAATACTTACTGTTACTACAGATAACTTCCAACTTTTCTGGTTTAAATACTTACTATTACGACAGATAACACCTACATCTTCTGTATGATCACAGTCAGTGTCACCAATGGCATTTGTTTTACACTGTAATATGGTGGACTCATTTCCCATACATGTTACTTCATCCAAGTAAATATTTCCCGTTCCTTGTCCAAAACCTGCAGCTGTTACAGGTAATGCATTCTGACTGCAAAATCAAACTTTTTTTTAAACTGTGAACTATTGTATGTTTGTTTTCGATAGATACCTATAAGGTAATTGATTAACAAAACATTACCTGAAAGCCGAGTGTTCATTATACTCATCTAATTGATTTTCATTTATTCAAGTAATTAGATAAGTTGTTAAATAAAAAAAGATATGACTCAGACCCTTGTAGTATTCAAGCTCAAGAACTAGGCGATTATCAGATGTGCAAATTTAAATTTTGACAGGTATAATGTTTGCACGAATATATGGTTTTACGCTTGCATGAATTTACCTGAGTTTTACCTGTGTTTTAAACCTGCTAAAATATATAATCAGATAAACCTTATTTAGTTGAACTGAATTTTGTCCTTGTCTGTACATTTCACAAGCTGGGGTATTGTTACCACGAATTTTAGTATATGAAGTTGCCTAAACTTGCAGTATAATTTGTTTTCTTTCTCATTTATGTTCATCACTCGAGATCTCATGATTATGTTCATTTTTCCCCTAAGCAAAACTTCTTAACCATTATTTGCATATTTTCTTGGTTCATCTCCAGAAAATGTCTCCATTTCTTTAATTTTCAACCGAGGATTTATATAGAAAGTCTTACTATATAAATCCATGTTTCAACTCTATATCTACACATAAAGTATATCCTCCGAATATCAAGGACATTAAAAACACATTGTACCCTTTATTTGTCTCAGAGATGATTAACTCCATCTTGAATAAAATTAAGAATGGAATATAGATTTTCACCTTGTTGTTTTACTCTATTTTTTTCATTTCTAATCTATTTTGTTTTATTTCAGAAATAATGATTGCTTCCATTACTGCTTTTGACAGATAATTCAATTTATCCGTAAAAACGTAGTATGTTTTGAATAGGTAAATTTTCGAACAAATGTTGAAAATTTTTTGTGCAAACGAGTAAAGTTTTTGCTCAAATGTAATGCCCGTCGGAACTAATATAATTAAGAAATTCTATTGCATGACAAGTTACTTTACTATTTAATAATTTTTCAGCAAAGGCTGTCGACAATTCCAATTAAAATAAACAGCTGCGCCATGAGCGCATGATACGCCCGTCGTCTTGTGTGTGAATTTTTATGCAATAAGCATAAATAGTTTCTGACATACGGCGTGACATGCGAAAACCCCCCTTTTTTTTTACAAAAAACTCAATATCTCTAAAATCAAATTTTGAATCAAAACCAAAAAGTATACAGATCTTTAGATTAATATAACTAAGAAGTGTGTAAAATTTTAAGCAATAATCATAAATCTTTTTTGAGATACGGCGCGACATGTGAAAACCTCCCTTTTAAAAAAAAAAACTAGAGGCCATCAAGAGCCTGTGTCGCTCACCTGTATTTACTGATGCTTTGGAAATCATGTAAAATAAGGTTAAAATCATAATTAATAGTATTAGATATTAGTTATTATAATGATATCTAAGATAATAACAAAAAACTGCAAAATTTTTGTAAAATTACAAACTCAGGGGCAGCAACCCAACAACAGGTTGTCGGATTCGTCTGAAAATTTCAGGGCAGATAAATCTAAATTTGATGAACATTTTTGCCTTGTCAGATTTGCTCTAAATGCTTTAGTTTCAGAGATATAAACCAAAAACTGCATTTTACCCCTATGTTCTATTTTTAACCAAGTCGGCCATGATGGTTGGAAGGCGGGGTCATCGGACAATTTTTTTAAACTAGATACCCTAATAATGATTATGGCCAAGTATGGTTAAATTTGTCTCAATAGTTTCAGAGAAGAAGATTTTTGTAAAAGATTACAAAAATTTACCAAAAATTGACTATTAAGGGCAATAACTCCTAAAGGGGTCGACTGACAATTTTGGTCATGACAACTTATTTGTAGATCTTACTTTGCTGAACATTATTGCTGTTTACAGTTTATCTCTATCTATAATAATATTCAAGATAATAACCAAAAACTGCAAAATTTCCTTAAAATTACCAATTCAGGGGCAGCAACCCAACAACAGGTTGTCAGATTTGTCTGAAAATTTCAGGGCAGATAGATTTTGACCTGATAATCAGTTTAACCCTTTGTCAGATTTACTCTAAATGCTTTGGTTTCAGAGATATAAGCCAAAATCTACATTTTACCCCTATGTTCTATTTTTAGCCATGGCGGCCATCTTGGTTGGTTGGCGGGGTCATCGGACACATTTTTTAAACTAAATACCCTAATGATGATTGTGGCCAAGTTTGGTTAAATTTGGCCCAGTGGTTTCAGAGGAGAAGATTTTTGTAAAAAGCTAACGACGACGACGACGACGACGACAACGACGACGACGACGAACGACGGACGACGGACAACGGACGACAAGTGATGAGAAAAGCTCACTTAGCCCTTCGGGCCAGGTGAGCTAAAAATCAATATCTCAAAAATAAAATTTTGAATCAAAACCAAAAAGTATACAGATCTTTAGATTAGTATAACTAAGAAGTGTGTAAAATTTTAAGCAATAATCATAAATCGTTTTCTGGAATCATTCGTAATTTATGACTAACTTGAAACTTCAGGTTTTTATTTCATTTCTCAAAATCAAAAGTAGTGTGGTCAATTCCTGAGAAATTTACAGTTATCATTCATTAAAGTTATTTCCGTTTTAAAGTTTGGCATTCCATAAATCGTTTTTAAATGTTTTTACAAAAATGGTAAGAAATTTCATGAAGAAAATGCTGTTAAACCGTTAATAGAAGTTTGTTTATACTGTGACTTTTTGTATGAATTAGACAGTTTGAGAAAAAGGACCCTAGTGCTTTCAATTCCTCTAAAAATTACCGAAAGTGTGTGAAAAAAATCTGGATCCCTGACATTACTATACTGTAAATTTGTCTTTTCTTTAAAAAAATTTACCCTTAAGAATGAATTGGAAAACATTCAGATAAAAAAAGTGATACAAAGCTGTAAAATGTTTTATTATTTCTGATAAACGATTTTTAATGATGAAAACATTTCTTTGGTATTACCTTGGAAGGTTTAGACTTCTGCAGACTACAGATGCAGCATTCTGGTCAAATTTGTCATCACATACAGTACCCCATCTACCACCAATATTTATCTCCACTCGACCTTGGAATCTATTTGGACCATTTGTCAATCTTAGCTGTGGTTGTCCTAAAAAAAAGGTTACAATAACTTAAAGTGAAGTTTATCAGTTCATTTTTTCTAAGCTTCACAAGGAAGACTTAAAGGAAAAGTGATCTCAAAAACCTTAAACTACACAAATAAATTTGAATTTGTCTTGTTAATATATTCCCATATATTATAATATGAATATCCTATTAATCTGATATTTTTTCTTAAAAGTATTCATACTTCTGAAAAAAAATGTTTATATATATATATATAAACAAGTCTAAATTGAAAACAACATTCAAACCTATGATTGCGTTGGATAAAAACTGCAATTTTTATATGTGTGCATGCAAAACAAATTTCTTGATAGAGGGGTCTAAATACAGCACAAACAACATTTTCCAAAAGACCAAAAAAAGTGAACAAGTATATTTTAACAAAATGCATTTGACTAACAGGTCGAACAGCAGATGTTCTTAAACCCTGCTGACTGCCATTGGCGATTGCCAAATAAACGGATCACAAGATGTTACAAAATGGATCTTTTAAAATTATTAATTTAATACCAAACAGAAAACAATAAACTTGCGGAAAAGATGGTATACCGCAAACAAAAGGTGCAAAAATTAGTACACCATATCCAGATTTCGACAATTAATGTCTCTTCAGTGATGTTAGGGATCGAAACAGTATTTGGAAGGCCATATAATTTACCTCCATTTAGGATAGACTCTTGAATTTTGAAGAGTCGAAATATTAGAAATAGGATAAACGGATCATATAAACCCGAAGGAAAATATAATACAAGCCCAAACGAAAAAATATAAACAAGTCTAAATTGAAAACAGCGTTCAAACCTATGATTGCGTTGGATAAAAAACGCAATTTTTATATGTGTGCATGCAAAACAAATTTCTTGATAGAGGGGTCCAAATACAGCACAAACAACATTTTCCAAAAGACCAAAAAAGTGAAAAAGTATATTTTAACAAAACGCATTTGACTAACAGGTCGAACAACAGATGTTCTTAAACCCTGCTGACTGCCATTGGTGATTGCCAAATAAACGGATCACAAGATGTTACAAAATGGATCTTTTAAAATTATTAATTTAATACCAAACAGAAAACAATAAACTTGCGGAGAAGATGGTATACAGCAAACAAAAGGTGCAAAAATAAGTACACCATATCCGGATTTCGACAATTAATGTCTCTTCAGTGATGTTAGGGATCTAAACGGTATTTGGAAAGTCATATAATTTACCTCAATATATTACAAAAAGTGAAACAGTCGGAAATTACCATTTTTGATAAATCACATGTTTATACAGCAGACAATTTATTGAAATGTACAGATTATCATATTATCTACATATTGATATGATATATTATTCCCTTATGGATGGTGACCTGTTATCTAAATTCCTCACGAAGAGATATTTTTCACATCACACTGAGTGTGATATAAACATGTGATATGAAAAATATGTTAATTTGTTTGGCCTATCATGCAATGTGTTTTGAAATTGCAACATTTCCATTGGTTATTTGTTGGTTCAATAACACCTTTAAAAGGTCACATTTCCCTTTTGGCAATGGAGATTTGTGATTTCTTCGATAATATACAAAACATTCACATGTTTCACCTGAAAATATTCTTTTTGTCAAATTTGATTCCATACTGAAATGTATAAAAAGATTGAAAACCTCTGATGTTTACAGTAGTCTGATTACCCATGGACTTCAATTAGGAGTGATGCTAAATCGAAAATATTTCACCAAAACAAAGATCATTTTGACCATAACAGAAAGAGATTAAACAACTCACAAGACTTGGATATTGCTTGATATCAACTCTATTTATTTAATTTCAATCATAATAATCATTACCAGAGGCTCATTTATTATCATAATGAAATTAAATAACATGAGTTGATATCAAGCCATATCCAATTATCACATGTTATCAGACCTACTTCGAATATGAATCTTTTATGATGGGGTACAACAGAACAAGCCAAAAAGATCAATATTTGGTAAAGGGAATACTTTTTTACAATATTGATATATTGAAAATCTGATACCTTATTACTGTGACTTGACTGTTAGTGTTGCTCTCCACCTATTGCAACTCATTCAAAATTCTGGCCAAATTGCAATTTGTTTTATAAAACCAAACTGTTCAACTGTTCAGAAATTTGAACAAACTGCTGTAGAAAACCACAGTCAAGTCGTGAAAGTGCAAGGTGATAAAATAAAGCATACTTACAATCTTATCAGACTTTAATTCCACTTCAATGTTATTATGAAAAATCAGTCTAACAGTTTGTATAGAAATTTTATTGTTATTGTCATGCTAAAGGTGATGGATAGAAATTTTGAATTGCTATAAAAATGTCCAGACTAAGGTTTCTAACATTTTTTCTTTCAAAAAGTCTTCTATATTCATAAGAATCAGACATCATTTGAATTAAAACATTTTATATTCAGTAAAATATGTGTGAAATTACAATATGTTGTTAGGAAGTTTCCATGGAAGATAATCAATTTTTCTTTCGAAAAGTCTTCTATATTCAAAAGAATAATGTTTTAGGTTATTTCCCATGAAAACTTATTAACAACGTATTGTAATTTAACATATATTTTACTGAATATAAAATGTTTTAATTCAAATGATGTCAAATTCTTATGAATATAGAAGACTTTTGGAAAGAATAAACTGTTATCATAGAGATATGTCTTGCCTTTTTGTAATTTTGATAATGCAAATGTTGAAATTAAAATAGCAATACTCTAACATGTAAGTTATGCAAATATTCAAAGTGAATGAACCATGACTGAAGGTACAGGGCTAAACAATCTCCATGGAAATGAGATGTGCCAATGCTAATACAACTGCAAACCAAATACCATTGACTTTTCATAAGTTGTTCCCTTTAAACAAACCTCAACACAAACATTAACTTGTAAACTATGTAAAATGTTCAGTCAATGAACCATAATTAGGGGGTGGGGTTATATAATCTCCATGGAAATGAAACTTCCAAATGCCAATACATTTGCATACCAAATATCATTGACTTAACATTAGTGGTTCATCTTAAACTGACCTAATCACAAGCTAATACATGAAAACTAAGCAAAAGTTTCAATGTCAATAGACCATGAATGAGGGGGCGGGGCCAAATAATCTCCATGGAAATAAGATATGCCAATGCTTATACAAGTGCATACCAAATATCATTGACCTACCACTAGTGGTTCCTCATAAACTGACCTAATCACAAACTAATACATGTAAAGTAAGCAAAGTTTCAAAGTCAATAGACCTTGACTGAGGGGGCGGGGCCAAATAATCTCCATGGTAATGAGATGTGCCAATGCTAATACAACTGCATACCAAATATCATTGACCTACCACTAGTGGTTCACCATGAACTAGACCTAATCACAAACTAATACATTGCTGACGCCGCTGCTGCCGCCGCCGCCACAGCCGCCGCCGCCACAGCCGTCACCGACGCCGGAAACAGCATACCTATGTCTTGCTTTTTGACTCTGTCAAGGCGAGACAAAAATTGTATGAAAGCTTAGTTTGGACATTTTTACAGCAATTCAAAATTTCTATCCATCACCTTTAGCATGACAATAACAATAAAATTTCTATACAAACTGTTAGACTGATTTTTCATAATAACATTGAAGTGAAATTAAAGTCTGATAGGATTGTAAGTATGCTTTATTTTATCACCTTGCACTTTCACGACTTGACTGTGGTTTTCTACAGCAGTTTGTTCAAATTTCTGACGGGTTGAACAGTTTGGTTTTATAAAACAAGTTGCAATTTGGTCAGAATTTTGAATAAGTTGCAATAGTTGGAGAGCAACACTAACAGTCAAGTCACAGTAATTGTTTTGATTTGAGTGTTTTCTTGATCAAAATAATTATTTCAAAGGTGTTATAGGTGACCTTTGGATCAAATTTGACATCTTCAAGTCAAAAAATAATAACATCCAATGTAACTCAGGTTCAGATCTTTAAAAACCTCATAAACCCAGGGGGCCTCGGTGGCCGAGTGGTCTAAGTAGTTACTACTGTAATCACTAGCCAGTCAACACTGAGGTTGTGTGTTCGAACCCTGCTCGTGCGGGTGCATTCGACTCCAATCTTAATTGACTAGGATTGTCAGTTTTCCTATCGAAGGTCGGTGGTTTTCTCCGGGTACTCCGGCTTCCTCCACCAATAAAAACTGGCCGCCACGAAATAGCCCAAAAGCCGTGCTTAAAAGTGGCGTTAAAACACAAAAAATCAAAATCAAATCATAAACCCAGTATACAAGAAAATGTTAGGCAGAATTGTACAGAATTGAAATATTTAATGATTACTATATGCTTTTTCAAAAACTTACTTCTGATTTACTAAGTTTATATCATTTACTATTTTAATTCATTATATCATATTATATCATTATTGTCTTTTAGTGAGATTAATACAAAACGCCAGTTCCGAGATAGGGTAGTTATTATATCTGTCATGTGACTTCCATCACCACCTGGCAAAAATGTAGGCATCGTCACTTCCGACGCATGTTGGGCGAATGGGTGAAAAAGTTTGATGCTATACTGTGGTATGATTGCCAATAAGACAAATATCCACCAGAGCTCAAATGACGTGGATATTAGCAATTATAGATCACTGTACACCCTTCAACAATGAGAAAAAGCAATATCCTATACTTACTGGAATTACAAACAACACCAACATCTTCTGTATGATCACAGTTGTTTATATACCATCCTTTGTTGCGACATTGTATGATACTTCTCTCTGTTCCTGTACACTGTAGATCATCTAACAATATTGGACCAGGTCCACCACCATAGGATGAACCTGCTACTGATAAAGCTGAATCTCTGCAATAAAACATGCAACTTTATGAACTGATATCTAAGTAATGACCTTGATTACAAATGACCTCAGCATTTATTGTTCTACATGTACTGACATCTAAGTAATGACCTTGGTAACAACTGACTTCATCATTTATTGTTCTATATGTACTGATATCTAAGTAATGACCTTGGTAACAGCTGACCTCATCATTTATTGTTCTATGTGTACTGATATCCAAGTAATGACATTGGTAACAAACAACTTCATCATTTATTGTTCTATATGTACTGATATCTAAGTAATGACCTTGGTAACAGCTGACCTCATCATTTATTGTTCTATGTGTACTGATATCTAAGTAATGACCTTGGTAACAACCGACTTCATCATTTATTGTTCTATATTTACTGATATCTAAGTAATGACCTTGGTAACAGCTGACCTCAGCATTTATTGTTCTATATGTACTGATATCTAAGTAATGACCTTGGTAACAACTGACTTCATCATTTATTGTTCTATATGTACTGATATCTAAGTAATGACCTTGGTAACAACTGACCTCATCATTTATTGTTCTATATGTACTGATATCTAAGTAATGACCTTGGTAACAACCGACTTCATCTAATATTGTTCTATATGTACTGATATCTAAGTAATGACCTTGGTAACAACTGACCTCATCATTTATTGTTCTATGTGTACTGATATCTAAGTAATGACCTTGGTAACAACTGACATCATCATTTATTGTTCTATATGTACTGATATCTAAGTAATGACCTTGGTAACAACTGACTTCATCATTTATTGTTCTATATGTACTGATATCTAAGTAATGACCTTGGTAACAACTGACCTCAGCATTTATTGTTCTATATGTACTGATATCTAAGTAATGACCTTGGTAACAGCTGACCTCATCATTAATTGTTTTATATATACTGATATCTAAGTAATGACCTTGGTAACAACTGACCTCAGCATTTATTTTTCTATATGTACTGATATCTATGTAATGACCTTGGTAACAGCTGACCTCATCATTTATTGTTCTATATGTACTAATATCTAAGTAATGACCTTGGTAACAGCTGACCTCATCATTTATTGTTCTATATGTACTGATATCTAAGTAATGACCTTGGTAACAGCTAACCTCAGCATTAATTGTTTTATATGTACTGATATCTAAGTAATGACCTTGGTAACAACTGACTTCATCATTTATTGTTTTATATGTACTGATATCTAAGTAATGACATTGGTTAAAACTGACTTCAGCATTTATTGTTCTATATGTACTGATATCTAAGTTTTGACCTTAAATTTGGTAACAACTGACCTCAGCATTTATTGTCCAACAAATTTTTTAATTTATCTTTGAAAGACTGGCACTGACTAGAATACTGTGTGAAAGAATAAAAATTAATTACAATTTTGACATTTATTTTGTTAAAACCACCAGGAAATACTTCAGAAATACAAATCAGCACTCAAGTCAAGTTTTGTACACTTTAATTAAACTCCATATAAAGGTTTAAACTAATTCATAGCTATGCTCTTTTGGAACATTTTGAGTACTGAAGTGGTCAACATTTTATCATAACTCCCAAGTTGGGTACAACAATTTAATCTGGATCTTTATGCTTAAAAATCTTACCTTCTGAATCCTAACATTGAGCAAACAACACTAGCAGCTTGATTAGAGAATGAATCGTCACATATTGTTCCCCAAGTACTATTATAGAAGACTTCAACACGACCATTGGCTGAAGATGTACCATTCACAAGTCGAACTCTTAATCGTTTTACTGGGGATTACAAAAATGTTTCAAACAAAATAATATCTTCATAATAACCAAGTCAAATAAATCGTTTTCACCATAATGTTCAATATAGAAAATAACTTAAAATTAAGCATAAAGGCTTATATCACAAAAAGAGTTTACACCATTAATAATCTTTTATCTTAATAATCAATTACTCTTGTTGCCTTAGCAATCTGGTGATCCTGCATATAATCAAAGTTCACTGTGAAGGTAACAAATATATTTTTCTATTTCATTTATATTATTTTTTCATATCTTCTATCTAGTTAGTCTTTCCTTTTATGGCCTTCTTTTACTTCAGGATTAGGGTTCACTTATGGTTCAGTTAGGGGATGTTCTAGGTTAGGGTAGGTATGTGTTAAGGTAAGGTTTTGGGTAAAGGATAGTTTAGTTTAGCTTTATATGGGTTGGAACCCCAAATTAAAAGAAGGCCCATTTTATCTTTAGAGTACATCAAGAGGTCAATATCTTACATGTTCCACAAATCACACCAACATCTTCTGTGTGACCACAATTGTTCTGTCCCCATGGATTATGTTTACACAATGCAATATCTGTTTCATTACCATTACATTTAACATTATCTAATACTATCTGTCCAGTTCCTGCTCCAAAGAAACCTTTAGGACGTACTTGAGCACCTTGCCTTTAAAATAATGCATATTATTGTTAGAAATTAGTTGTTTTCAGTCAATTAAAATTACCACAGTAGACAATAGCAATTGCAGATTTAGGCCCCCTTTATGGAACTACATATATGGTTAACACATAGACTTTTTACAAGTCCTTCTCCCAATGTTGTCTTGACAGAGGGCCCCCTTTTTCAAAATACTGAATCCACACCTAAATAGCTTAACCATAAACTCTTAATTTTTTAAAAATAAATTGAAATCTAATATTCTAATTTTTGCTAACTTTTTGGCATTTGATAGCATTCTTGATTATGGTTGTGAGTCATTTTATAAATAATTCTGTTCCAAATGTGAAAAGGTCCATTAGTTCCCGTCTGACTTGAAAATGAAGTGAAAATTGTCATTTAGTCAGATAATCTTCCATTATAAATACATCTATGATGATTCAGAACACTTAATACAGATATACTGTTAACACAGAGATATGTCTCGCCTTTTTGTTATTTTGATAATGTAAATGTTGAAATTAAAATATCAATACTTTAACATGTAAGTTATGCAAATATTCAAAGTCAATAAACCATGACTGAAGGTACATGGCTAAGCAATCTCCATGGAAATGAGATGTGCCAATGCTAATATAATTGCATACCAAATATCATTGACTTATCATAAGTTGTTCCCTTTAAACAAATCTAAACACAAACATTAACTTGTAAACTATGTAAAAGTTTCAAAGTCAATGAACCATGATGAGAGGGTGGGGCTATATAATCTCCATGGAAATGAGACTTGCAAATGCCAATACATTTGCATACCAAATATCATTGACTTAACATTAGTGGTTCATCTTAAACTGATCTAATCACAAATTAATACATGTTAACTAAGCAAAAGTTTCAATGTCAATAGACCATGACTGAGGGGGCAGGGTCAAATAATCGCCATGGAAATGAGATATGCCAATACTTATACAACTGCATACCAAATATCAATGATGTACCACTAGTGGTTTCCCATAAACTGACCTAATCACAAACTAATTCATGTAAACTAAGCACAAGTTTCAAAGTCCATAGACCATGACTGAGGGAGTGGGGTCAAATAATCTCCATGGAAATGAGATGTACAGATACTAATACAACTGTATACCAAATATCATTGACCTACCACTAGTGGTTCACCATAAACTAGACCTAATCACAAACTAATACATTGTTGAAGCCGCCCCCGCCGAAACAGCATACCTATGTCTAGCTTTTTGACTACTATTTACCAAAGTGGTCTAAACTACCTTACTACTACTTACCAAGGCAATCCAAGTTCCCTGCAGACTACCTGTGCTGCAAAGTTGTCAAACAAATCATCACAAACAGTGCCCCAGGATCCCTGATAATTAATTTCTAATCGTCCTGATGATGATGTTGTTCCACCAACCAAACGTAAAGTGGTATTGGTAGTTCCACTAGGTGCTGAAGCTGCAAAAAACACATTTCATATATTTAACATGAATTGCACAACAAAATAATTTACAGAAAATTTGGTTAATTTCAATACAGTTCTAATTTGTTTTTCTTTCTTCCACCTGAACCCACTTCTCAACACAAACAACTGAAGCATCTTCTGTATGATCACAGTTACTTTTTCTTCAAGCTGAATCTATTTACCCACGCAAACAACTGAACATCTTCTGTATGAAAATACATGTAGTTACTTTTTCTTCCACCTGAATCCACTTACCTATACAAACAACTGAAGCATCTTCTGTGTAATCACAGTTAATTTTCTTCCACCCAAACCCACTTACCCACAAAAAACTGAAGTATCTTCTGTATAATCACAGTTACTTTTTCCCCATCCTGAATCCATTTACCTATACAAATACTTAAAGCATCTTCTGTATGATCACAGTTACTTTTTCTTCCACCTGAATCCACTTACCTATACAAACAACTGAAGCATCTTCTGTATAATCAGTTACTTTTTTTCCACCTGAATCCACTTACCCAGGCAAACAACTGAAGCATCTTCTGTATGATCAGTTACTTTTTCTTCCACCTGAATCCACTTACTTATACAAACAACTGAAGCATCTTCTGTATGATCATAGTTACTTTTCTTCCACCTGAATCCACTTACTTATACAAACAACTGAAGCATCTTCTGTATGATCACAGTTACTTTTCTTCCACCTGAATCCACTTACCTATACAAACAACTGAAGCATCTTCTGTATGATCACAGTTACTCTTTCCCCATCCTCGATGTCCACACAAGGCTAAGTTTTTCTCAGTTCCCTGACAAGACAAATCATCTAACTGAATAGGACCTGTTCCACGTCCATAAAATGAACTTCCTTTGGCAATTGCATTTGTACTGAAAAAGAAAAAAAAATTTAAAAACTATGTAACTGGTAGCACTTTTAAAATTTTAGCTCTTAATTCTTGGCAATTCTGTTGTTGAAATTTTGTACACAGTATTAAAAAGTACTTGTGGAAATGGATTCCATTACCAACTTATAAAGGTCTAATATTTAATATGCAGCTTAGAATATTTGTAGTACACATATTGATATTTTATTTTATACTAGACAAACATAAATAGTTTAAAACTTTTAAAACCCAAAAATTATCTAACTGTCTCAGTCATGATATTCTGTGTTCAACTTATTTCCTGTGTATTAGAATTGTTTCAGTCTTCCCTCTTTCTTTTAATTTCCATTTATGAATGTTGTTTCTTTCTTGTATATGAATTTTCTTTCCTTTCAAGTTAATATTAAGTAGATTCCTACTCTTTGTCAGTCTGTCTTTCTTCTTAAAGTTACTTACTTTCATGTGTTTTATTTAATCCAATGTTTTTAATAAATTTTCTTACATCTCAATGTAATTTGTTTGTTTTCTTGTTTTCAGACTGTTTCTGTCTTTTCAATGAGTTATTTGTTTCTTGAACTTCAATCATTTTTGCATTGTTCCCAAAATTTAAAAAAAAAAATACATGCAGTTTACAACATTTAGAAGTAAATTGCTCTCTGAAGGTATTTTTGTTGATGGTTTGCTGTCTCATTGATGAATTCCTCACATCTCCTTTAATCATTTCCTGTGTCTTTCATTTACCCATTTAGACCTAGTTGAGTACAAATGACTTGAGCTTCTTTGGTACCAAAGGCGTCATCACAAATGGTTCCCCATGTATTATTGTAAAAGACCTCCACTCTTCCTGCATAGGTTCCTGGTCCACCTCGTAGACGTACGTTTACACTGGCACTGTCTGAAATGATTGATGTAAAAGGTTTACTTCCAATTTTTACATGTAAACAAGAGATTCCTGTTAAATTTTTAATATCAAAATGAAATAATTTTAATTAAATTGAATTAATAAAAAACTTGCAATTATTTCTGAATTTGCTATTTTGGACTGACAGATAATTTGAAGTTTAAAACTTTCCACTTTTCAATTTAAGCAATATAGAATTTTAGTCACTGAATTATCTCCATAGATATTGCCACCTGTTTTCTTTTAACGATAAAAAGTAACACTGATGATTAATTAGTACTGATTGAGTACTTACTAGTTTGACATTTAACTCCTACATCTTCTGTATGCTGACAGTTACTGGTACGGATTGCAGAATGATTACAATTAAGCATGGTCATTTCTGTTCCTATACAATGTACATCATCCAACAAGATCTGTCCTGTCCCCAGGCCGTATGGTGAATGAGAATATCCAACAGCTCCGGAGCTGAAAGATAAAAAAAAATATTTATCAATTCTGTTCTTTTAAATTTTACTTGTGACAGCTAAAACTGAAATTTTCACTTACTTGCATGAATATAGATTACAGTACATACTTTCCTCCATTTGTACTTAATTAAGCTCATTTTTATAGCCATTTAAATATTTTGTAATGTGCTTTTCCCATGAAACATAAAGTAGTACTGAATATTGTTCCCTCTAAAGTACAACATTTGACTCACAATGGTAAATGTAACATTCGACACACAACTGCAGCAGCTGAATTATCAAAATGATCATCACAAACAGTCCCCCAGATACCATTATACTGTATTTCTACACGTCCTTCCTGGCTTGTTGGACCTCCAGCTAATCTGACGCTTATAGTGGGAGGAGTATCTACAGAAGAAAATAAAAAAGTTCATGTCTTGACTGAATATTAAAGCAGTTCAAATATACACACATGCACAAATATAAGCCAAATTCCTACTATAAGTAAAAAGAAATCATAAATATTAATACATTAACTAGAGGCTCTAAGGAGATATTGTACAGATTTTTTCCTAAAATCAATAACTTTTGATAATGCAATTTATATCTGGAAATTTCATAAGAAATGAAGACTTATATTGGTTTATATTCAACAGTGATAATTCCTTTTACAATTTGCCGTTTCAGAATCTAATGCATTCTGGGAAGTATTTTCAAAAATGTACACCAAAGCATTGTGATTGGTTAAAAAAGTCCTAAACAATTGCAATTCAAACAATGACGTGACATTATTTTCATTTTGTGGTATGAATAATAAAATTACCCATAGTCCTTTATATTCTGAAACGGCCAATTACAAAATATTCCTCCATTTTAGGGACACTAACTTAAAATGGAGAGGTCTTAGATACCAAGGGGTCTATATAAAACCTTAAGTAGAAGAGTGACAAACCCCAAAGGGCAAAAAGAAAAAAAAGGCATACAGACAAAACAAAATGTCCACAAAATAGATTGATCATAATCACAAATTGCATCTGTCGGTCATGTAATAACATCAGCAACTCATTTCACAAAAAATATTACGAGAAAAAATACTTGTAAGTCATGATCAATTTTTGTCGTAAGATTTTTTTTGGAAAAGAGCCTAGGACTTTTAATATAGAATATTTATGCATAGTATATAATATAAGTCTTTCTTTATTGATTTTTTTTTTCTTTACAGGAACTTAAAGAGAGGAAAATTTATGAAACAAAATCTATCAAATATAAAGTTAATCCAGTTAACAAGGTGAACTTACTTGAATTACACATAACTGCCACATCTTCATCATGTCCACAATTATTTACACCCCATGGTTTATGTATACAGCTCAGTAGACTGGATTCATTACCCTGACATTCCATGTCATCTAACCAAATAGGACCTTTCCTTCCACCAAAAGTTCTCCCTTTAATAACTGAACCTCCTCTGAAAATTTATATAAATATATTTAGTTTTAAAAAAAATAAATATATCTATCTGGTTTAAGAATCTGATGGGATAAATAATTCTAATGCTTCTAAGGCACCAAATACAAATAATTCTAATGCTTCTATGGCACCAAATACAAATAATTCTAATATTCTATGGCACCAAATACAAATAATTCTAATGCTTCTATGGCACAATACAAATAATTCTAATATTCTATGGCACCAAATACAAATAATTCTAATGCTTCTATGGCACCAAATACAAATAATTCTAATGCTTCTATGGCACCAAATACAAATAATTCTAATATTCTATGGCACCAAATACAAATAATTCTAATGCTTCTATGGCACAATACAAATAATTCTAATATTCTATGGCACCAAATACAAATAATTCTAATGCTTCTATGGCACCAAATACAAATAATTCTAATGCTTCTATGGCACCAAATACAAATAATTCTAATATTCTATGGCACCAAATACAAATAATTCTAATGCTTCTATGGCACCAAATACAAATAATTCTAATGCTTCTATGGCACCAAATACAAAATCTGGCATTAAATTTCTATTAATTTACATCTAGTGATGTTCTTCTGGTCCCTGATATCTGTTATGTAAAGCAGAATTTCCTCACTATAAAACCAGCACATTATAGTCCAAACATGGATACACCATGTCATATTTTGTACTATCTATGTCTGCAGTCGTGAGATGCCAAAGTCTCAATGGATGTTACAACGTAAGCTAAGTTTCCTACTGCTGACAGTACTGACCTAAATACGGGCTACAAGTAACTCTAGAACAACAATTCCCAGTATGTACATAAAAAAGGAGCCTTCCTGCAATACCTGGTTTAAATAAGATTAGCAGTTATCAAGACTAAACTTGTTTTATGTATTTCCTTCAATTTTCAGCTGGACATTGTGTGACAGCTAAGTAGTGCCAAAGTAACACCACCTTGTAAATGCCTCCTTAAACTTTCTTGTCATGATTGGATTTAAAACATTTTTGGTCACACAGGAGTGGGGCATAGGGTTATATGTTACATCCAAATTGGATCAGCAAAGTAGAATTACTGTCCCAATTATATAAGGAAAAGTTTTGCCATAACAAATCTAGTTTGCTCTATCAATTTGTGAGAAGATTCAAGTATTAATCATGTATGGGTACTAACTACTGGTAAATGCTTATACTTACTTTCATACCATTGAGCTTAAACAAACTCCTACATATACAATGTATTGATAAACAATACCATCTGGACTATACATTGTATTGACATACCTGTTAAATCCTAGCATTTTACAGACTACTCTGGCTTCTCGGGCATCAAATGAGTCATCACATATCGTTCCCCATCTGTTGTATACATATATCTCTACCCTGCCTTCATATCTATTTCTACCACCAGCTAGTCGAACCCGTACATTTGCTGGCTGTGCAGTAGCTTAAAGTATAAAATAATTTATAGTTTATGTAAAATTAATTTGAATTTTTACTTTAATATTATTTATAATCAATTAACTGAATGATAATATCATTAACTATGAAATAAGAATAATTACCAAAATAACTTTCTCAACATAACATTTCATTTAAATGTAGAACTTGTGAAAAGACATTTTGAATAATTGTTCTTCTCAAATGAGTACACTCATGAAATACTTGATTATAAACATACCTCCTTGTAAACAAAATACCCCTACATCTTCCCCATGGTCACAGTTGTTTGTTCCCCAAGGTTTGTGACTACATGCCCCAAGTCCTGGTTCATTTCCTGTACACTTGACATCATCTAACCATATAGGAAGATTAGAGGCATTCCCAAAAAAGGAACTGCTGATTGGAATGGCAACAGTACTGAAAATATAAAAATAACCATAAAATATCTCTTCATTCATTGCAAGCACATTTAAATTGTTCTACCATGCTGACCTGTGCACTTAATGTTTCAATAACAAGGAATTTATTATTCTATTCATATCAGGGTTTTCACTAAGGATTTTTGAAGGCAAGTCCAGGGACTTATTATTTTTGGCCATAACGAGTCAAGCAATGAGAGTAAGAAATTTTATTGCTATATAACTTATTATTTCAGCCTCAGCGATAAAAAAAGAGCAAAGAAATGACATCAAATAAAGTTTACTTTTAAACTTCTGCTATAAAATGATGATACTTTTTATCGTGTGCACATCAGGACAGATTTCCATGTATCCAGGATTGTATTCATTAACTATGTTAACTATGGAAAAATGGACAAAAGTAATCATTTAAGGGCAATAACTCCTATTAGGAGTCAGTAGAAATTTCAGTCATACAGACATATTTCTAGATCTTGTCTTGCTGATCATCTTTGCCTATCAAAGTTTTGCTATCTATCATAATTATCAAGATAATAGCCAAAAAAGGGCAAAAACTCCATTAAGCAGTTCATTGAAGATTTAGTTATATGACTTTTATGTAGATCTTGTATTGCTGATCATTATCGTGGTGAGCAGCTTTTGTCTATCTATCATAGTTTTCAATGCAAGGAATTTGGGTAAAATGCTGAAATTGGTACTCAAACAAAATAGACATTTAATGTTCATACATGTTTTAAACTTTTATAAGGGGGCAAATTACATTTTGGAAATACAAACATATATGTCCATTGTAAATTGAAAACTAAAGTTGAAAACGTGAAAAAAAAAATGGATGAAATTTTCCATTAAGGGCAACAAATCCTAGAAGAAGTAAATTGAAGATTTCTGTGACATAGACAAAAACCAAATTATTAATACTTGCTTTGATGTATAACCAATGGCAGCACAAACAATTTTAGCAGCATTGTTGTCAAACTCATCATCACATATTGTCCCCCATGTGTTGTTGTAAAAAACCTCAACACGACCCTCACTTGATTTTGTACCATCACGTAATCTTAGTTGTAAATTTGCATCACGAGCTGAAAAGAAGAAAATTGTATTAAGGGTGAATAAAAGAGCAGTCTTTAGATAATATTTCTTTATTATTTTGTGCTTTTAAACTTAGCCAAAGATCATGGGACAATTTGTGTTTCCTTTGAATAATCTGATACTTTGTTTGTACTTAAACATATGATAAATAAACTCTATTCATTAATATCATACATGTACCTTTATCTAAAGAACAGCATTGCCAATAAACTATGAACAAATGGCAGAATACTGTTTTATATTTGGTTACATAAGTTATTTAATTGAACAATTAATTACATGCACCACAATCGACATCTTCACAAGTCATTACATGCACCACAATCAACACCTTGACAATTCATTACATGCACCACAATATACTTGATAATTCATTACATGCACCACACTCTACATCTTCACAATTCATTACATACCCCACACTCTACATCTTCACAATTCATTACATACACCACACTCTACACCTTCACAATTCATTACCTGCACCACACTCTACATCTTCACAATTCATTACATACACCACACTCTACATCTTCACCATTCATTACATGCACCACAATCGACATCTTCACAAGTCATTACATGCACCACAATCAACACCTTGACAATTCATTACATGCACCACAATATACTTGATAATTCATTACATGCACCACACTCTACATCTTCACAATTCATTACATACACCACACTCTACATCTTCACCATTCATTACATGCACCACAATCTACACCTTCACAATTCATTACCTGCACCACAATCGACATCTTCACAAGTCATTACATGCACCACAATCAACACCTTGACAAGTCATTACATGGCACCACAATCTACATCTTCACAAGTCATTACATGCACCACAATCTACATCTTCACAAGTCATTACATGCACCACAATCGACATCTTCACAAGTCATTACATGCACCACAATATATTGACAAGTCATTACATGGCACCACAATCTACACCTTCACAATTCATTACATACACCACAATCTACATCTTCACAATTCATTACATACACCACAATCTATGCCTTCACAATTCTCTACATGCACCACAATCTACACCTTGACCATTCATAACCTTCACCACAATCTACATCTTCACAATTAATTATGTATACCATAATCTAAATCTTTACAATTCATTACCTGCACCACAATCTACACCTTGACAATTCTTTACCTGCACCACAATCTACACCTTGACAATTCATTACATGCACCAAATCTACACCTTCACAATTCATTACATGCACTACAATTGACATCTTCACAATTCATTACATGCACCACAATCAACACCTTCACAATCATTACATGCACCACAATCGACATCTTCACAATTCATTACATGCACCACAATCTACATCTTGACCATTCATAACCTTCACCACAATCTACATCTTCACAATTAATTATGTATACCATAATCTAAATCTTCACAAGTCATTACATACACCACAATCTACATCTTCCCAATTCATTACATGGCACCACAATCTAAATCTTCACAAGTCATTACATACACCACAATCTACATCTTCCCAATTCATTACCTGCACCACAATCTACACCTTCACAAGTCATTACATGCACCACAATCCACATCTTCCCAAGTCATTACATGCACCACAATCTACATCTTCACAATTCTTACATGCACCACAATCTATGCCTTGACAATTCATTACATGCACTACAATTGACATCTTCACAAGTCATGACATGCACCACAATCTATGCCTTGACAATTCATTACATGCACTACAATTGACATCTTCACAATTCATTACATGCACCACAATCTACACCTTGACAATTCATTATATGCACTACAATTGACATCTTCACAATTCATTACATGCACCACAATCTACACCTTGACAATTCATTACATGCACTACAATTGACATCTTCACAATTCATTACATGCACCACACTCTTCATCTTCACCATTCATTACATGCACCACAATCTACATCTTCACCATTCATTACATGCACCACACTCTACATCTTCACCATTCATTACATGCACCACAATCTACATCTTCACAATTCATTACATGCACCACACTCTACATCTTCACCATTCATTACATGCACCACACTCTACATCTTCACCATTCATTACATGCACCATAATCTACATCTTCACCATTCATTACATGCACCACAATCTACATCTTCACCATTCATTACATGCACCATAATCGACATCTTCACCATTCATTACGAGCACCACAATCGACATCTTCACAATTCATTACATGCACCACAATCTACATCTTCACAATTCATTACATGCACCACAATCGACATCTTCACAATTCATTACATGGCACCACAATCGACATCTTCACAATTCATTACATGTACCACAATCTACATCTTCACAATTCATTACATGTACCACAATCGACAACATCACAATTTGTTACCTGCATCACAATCTACATCTACACAATTCATTACATGCATCACAATCTACATCTTCACAATTCATTACATGTACCACAATCGACAACATCACAATTTGTTACCTGCATCACAATCTACATCTACACAATTCATTACATGCATCACAATCTACATCTTCACAATTCATTACATGTACCACAATCGACAACATCACAATTTGTTACCTGCATCACAATCTACACCAACATCTTCATTGTGTTTACAGTTCTGTCGACCAAAATCTTTGTGTTGACAATTAAGCAAACTGTTTTCATTTCCAGCACATGTCACATCGTCAAGCCAAATAGGATATGATGATGGAGCTGGACCAAAATACCCATTTGTTCTTGATAATGATATTTTACTTCTGTAAAAAAATCCTATCCAAATTAGAAAATCATAAATATCACAAAATTGAAAATATTCCTTAACGATTATTCATTTGACAATCAGCATGACCAGAGACATATTTTCAGCAAAGGAAATCTTATTTTGAAGCTTTAGGACACAACCCCAGCCTCCATATCGTAAAATCCAACTTGTCAATCCATAATCAACTTGAAACCTTATGTTTACATTATTTCTAAAAATCGACAGTAGCATGATCAATTCTTGAAGAATTTGCATTTTTAAGTCATTACAATCCTTTCAATCTTATTTAAACTGTTGCCTACCAAAAAATAATTTTCAAACATTTTACAAAAAAAGATTACTAATTTGATGTAGTTTAGGCTGTAAAATGGTTGACACAGGTTGGTTTATCAGTTTATGTAGTGACTAGTTCTTCTTCCAAATACTGCCCATATTCAACTTGAATATTCTGGCAAGTTTGAATTTGAGTATAAACAATGGACTCACAGGAGCCTGTTTCACTCACCTGGATCTTTTGTTAAAAATAAATAGATGCAATGTGGCCAATTCAGAAATTCGCTCCGGACACAGAAACCCAAAAGGGATCGCATACATGGTAATTCTGTCATCCTAAACAGGTTGGGGAGGATCCTTATAAATGGGTACTATCCCCACTTATGGGTATTATACCCCAAAATGGGTATCAGTTTTCAGTGATAAAAATATAAACTTTGGATTTAAAGATATTTTCTGTCATGGCGCAAACATTAAGGTAAAGGACAACATTTGGCCTAAAGACACCATGACTGAATTATCATCAGGATAAATGTTAACAGCCTTCAAAAAATAGGATTTTTGGAGGCCATTATATCTATATGTATTAAGTTCTCATTTGAACTATATATATATTGGTCTTAAAGGGAAAAATGTTGCCATTTATATTGTAACCGGAGAGCATGTTTCTTATGAGAAAATCACTTTGTCTCCTCCAGGACCTCTGTTTTACAAGGCAGCGCTCTAACCGACTGAGCTAAAGAAGACTTCAAGTATCTACATGTACTAAGGGAAGCAATCCCATCACACTTCCCCCACCTAAAGAGTCGTCATACCATTATGACTCTCATAACACATAACCTAGCTAGAAATCCTCTCTAACCATCGTGGGTTTTTTAGTTGGGCGCCAAATGTAAAGGAGAGCATGATTCTTATGAGAAAATCACTCAGTCTCATGCGGGACCCGAACCCGGGACCTCTGTGTTACAAGGCAGCGCTGACTAACCGACTGAGCTAAAGATGTACTTCTTTAGCTCAACCGCTTACAGCTGACTAAGTATCTACCACATGTATGGTCAGATCATATGTTTTCGTACGTCTTATGACTTCGTACTATGCATGCTTTTTCAATGGAAACTGTGTTGTCACAATGCATTCTTAATAGCACGAAAACCCATGAGACGAGGATAGTAAGTAAGGGAAGCAATCCTGTCACAATATGAATATTTGCGCCATGACAGCTTTTATAATGAAATACAAAATTTGATTTTTTATCACTGTAGATTGATACCAAATTTTGGGTATAATACCCATAAATTGGGATAATACCCATCTATGAGGATTCTCCCAAACCTGCTAAAATTTGGTGTCCTCAGTGCATTCTGATTCAGTAAAAACGAGTTCTATAGTGAAAAATTAGTATAACTATATAGTGATTATGATGCGATTCATGTTTTATTCTCTAGACAGACTGAAACAGAATGATTAGATACCCTAGGTGTCACAAGGAAAGGGAAAGAAACGAGCTTATTGTGTAGTTTTCAAAATAATGTGGGGGTATATGTGTTGACTTTTCACAGATTCTTATAATTTTATTGAGTGTTTTATAATTTTAAACAGATTGTAACGCTCCATGGACATGTCTGCATTATTTAGTTCTATTCAAAGATTGTAAGTAATATAATTTTGGACGTTATGTATACATAATGGTTTTATTTTACAAATTTTGACTTCGGGATGGAGAGTTGTCTCATTGACCCTCATTGGCACTCATACCACATATTCTTATATCTATGTAACGTTTAGTATTCTTTGCGTAATTGAGCGGCATTTTGGCGGGCTTTTGTCATATTTTGAACGCATTTGGTACTACATCTGAATATATAAACAGGAACTATCGAGCCCTCGAGGTCGAGCCAGTGTTATTAAGCCAATAGATAATTATAGTTGCTTTGGCATCTACCTCATTTGGTCTCTGGTGGATAGTTCAACGATCTCACGGCAATGGCACTCATAATGTCTTTTGTATACAAATATGCTATTTATTCTATACAAATTATGTATCTTGCTTTGCAGCTTATATGTTAATATCATCACAGTATCTTGTCATATCATTATTAACTATATTAGATTTGTATGCTTTTGTTCAAATACCTATTTTATCGTGATTATGGATTTCGCTTATAAAAATACCCGCATTCATAATTATCATGTGCGTGCATCAAATGTGAATTATTTACATTCTTATTGCAATGTTATGTCTTTTTTTTTTTCAATCTTTCAACCAGGTAATTGCTAGAATAATTGCCCTTCAGTCATAAATTAAATTGAAATTTCGAAATGTTAATGTTTTTATCGATGACGATTCGAATCTAGCAAACTATTTGAAATAAACAGGGGATATGAGCCCAGCCGGGCTTTACAGGGGATATCCCAAATAACATATAATATGGAAAGTTTGACGTTATTATGCTCAGAAATAGGTAAGATTTCTAATCATTTCTTTACTAAGCAAGAGCAGGAAAGAACTATAGCTTGCTTAATGATATTTAGCGCAAATCTGAATGAGAAACCCATGTAACGGTAAAAGACATTTCACTAATTAGATTTTATTACAGGTTAAATGTTTCGCCAAACTTCATCCATAAGCATAATTTATAGCAAATAACATTATTATCAAATAATACAACACATAGTTATAAGTTTTCTAATTCATAAAGATCTATGGTTTTCTACTGGTAGTCCGGTTTCTTCTACCAATCAAAAAATGGGCGCGATGATATAGCCATGTGTGCTGACAGTGGAAGTTAAACATAACACATTTTAAATTCATCTAGGATTAATAATAATTTGAGTAAAGACAAAGTTTATACACAATGAATTAGGAAGAAAGTTCATAGTTATATTTTTTCTGTTATCATATTTAATGATTTTTTATTGACTGATTGATTGTTGATGTTTAACTTCTACTTAAGATATGCATTTCTTTTAAGACACAATTTGTTTACCCAAGACCGTTTTCTGTTAATCTTTTTAAAATGAGAGTGAATTTCAGGACGGCCTTATATGCATGGTTTGTCAATTAAACCGTATCTTATCCAAAAACTTGAAAGTTTCATTCTGAGAAGAACAAAATACCGTGCAGGGTTAAAAAGAACAGACAACAGCACCAATACGTATACATAATAAACAGTGACTCGCAAAAAAGGAAAAGAACTGGATAACCAGCAGAAATCAAAACACTAGTGTGACTTATGAAGCTGTTTGATATTCTTATGTTGACAATTCAAATATAGGATAGTTTTTTGGGTTGGTCTGGACACTGTACTATTTATATGTCTCTGGTACTATATATATTGATATATGTTGATATGCAATTTTTTTTAATACTGTTGCTAGATCAGTTCAAATCCCAAACCTTCTTGAGAATATTAAAAGAAACAAGCATTCTGAGAGTATTGCATGGCAATACATAGTCCCATACCGGTTAAGAATTCATTGTACTGGAACAAAATGCTAACTTGATCTATAACTTGTCATGGTGTAAACTATATAACAAATATCAAGTAAATATCTTCAAGCATGATGAATTAAGTGTGGAAAACTGAGTATTTGAGGGAATTTTCTAAGTCCAAGGACCATAACTCTACACAAAATCATCAGACCAGAACAAAATTGGAACTTGATCTGTAACTTGTCATGATATAACTATATACCAATTATTAAATCAATATCTTCAAGCATGACAAAACAAAGTGCGGAAAAATGATTATTTTGAGTAATTTTTTTAAGTCCAAGGACCATAACTCTGCATAAATCTCAGACCGGAACAAAATTCTAACTTGATCTGTAACTTGTCATGATAAAACTATATACCAATTATTAAATCAATTATTAAATCAATATCTTCAAGCATGACAAAAATAAGTGCGGAAAACTGATCACATTTGAGTGAATTTTCTAAGTCCAAGGACCATAACTCTGCACAAAATCATCAGACCGGAACATAATTCAAACTTGATCTGTAACTTGTCACGATGAAACTATGTACCAAATATCAAATCAATATCTTCAAGCACGAAGAAAAAAGTGTGGAAAACTGATTTGCCGGACTGACGGATGGACAGACAGAAAGACAGACGGACGGAGTACAAACTTGAAGTCCCCTTCGACTTCGTCGGTAGGGGACTAATAAGTAAGACTTCTCTGTACATTACAGTATGGACAAATAGCATAGTGATAAATAGGGGATGCAATATTGCTAAGAAGAATTCAAATAAATTTTCTTACGACTGATAAAATCCAAGTTGTTTACAGGCTACTATAGAAGCATTGTTGTCGAAGTGGTCATCACAGATAGATCCCCAAGTGTTGTTATGATATATCTCTAATCTACCTTGAGTAGGTCTTTTACCATGCACCAGTCGTAAACTATTTGGTTGAGTTTGTCCTGTAAATTTGAAATACATTTTTCATGTAAAGTAGAATACCAGTCAATCATAATTTATGATACTGTCAAATACAATTGTAATCTCAAAATTAATAAAATGTTACCATAGAACAGGTTGCACACAGATACAGGTTCTAACAGAAATCAGTAAAACACTTCGTATCTCCGACAGTGTAACGTATAACCATTTGCATGAACCTTCTATCTGTCTTGGATACAAACCGAACACCGTCTGTACCTGTACTGTCATCATGACAAAATACGTTACCCATGGTAGAAAAATATTATACCTTTATGATATTTAGC